TTATGGGAACTTTTCGGACCTCCTGAAATATGTGCACCAAGATGGCGCACTACCTGAACTCAGGTTGTGTACCAGGTTAGGGTTCAGGTTGTGCGACATCTTGGTGCGCATACTTCAGGAATACCAACTTTTCTTTAAAACGCCACAGTAGACGCCTAGCATTACAGGAAATTCTTATGATTGTAAAATCGATATTATATAATTATAATTGAAACTGTTTCAAAAACGTCTATATTATTAAATTGCATCTCATTGTACATCTCCAGCAAAAAAAATGATGAAACCCCTTCCATTGAATTTTGTCTGCAAAACCATATTTTTCCTAATGATTTCGGAATCACTTATATTCGATATATCATGTTCTTGAATTAAAAAATATTCAAAATATTTTACATTATAAATTGGCATTTTTAGCAATTTAAAAATAGAAGTAAAGCTAAAATGAGCGATATTTAACTATCGATATTTGTAAAAATGAGTAGAAACAACGCATTTCACGGTATTATCAAGTTCGTTCGATCTTTTTAAAAGAGCTTTGAGATGTGACAATTTATTTTTAAAAATGACACAGTGTAGAATATATTTCAATTGAAGAAAACGTTTTCAGAATTAATCCGAAATAGTGGATTTTTTTCTATATTTCTAGTCCTCATTATTTACAAAGGTTCCAAGTATTGCTAAGTATGTTCATTCAAAATAGCATAACCTAATATAATAATATTATGGAATAATAAATCTATACGTTTAGACCGGTTCATTTCGTGCGATTCGGCATTTATATCAACGGTGTAAAAGTTTACGCGACATAAAATTTACGATATCGCAAACAGTGGGCGGGCTACTGGTTTTATTGCCAGTCCTTAATACACATTGAATTATATGGCATCCTTCATACCTTTATTTTCATAACCTAATGTCCCATAGATCACAAACGTTTTGACGGAGAAGAGATTGGTGCAACGTGGGAAATGACGCGAACATTCGAAAAATAGGTCGGTTAATTGAGATATTTTACAAAATTCTAAAAAATACAGCAAATTTAGTATTACTCCGTATTTCCTCATAATATCACTCAAAATACACTACTTCATTTTTTTTTTATTTGAGTACATTTAATGTGATTCGATCATACAGTCCAAGCATATCAAATCAATGCAAGCCAATCAATTCGCAAAATTGTTGAAAGTCCTTGACAGCCACCACCGTTACACATTATGTTTTGCTTATTCACACGTCAAATGTCATTGTAAGAATCGTCAGTATATAAATACTTTTTTTAATTTGTTTAACTCGCGGTGAGATACGGAGCATTGCAAATGTAAAGTTTATTTATTCCCGTAATTTAAACTGTAAAAACAGAAATATCAATTGTGTTTACTGGGGTGCTCTAAAAAGGACCTCTACTGAGGATAACATTCAAATGACAATTGACACCGTGTATCAATCCCTGTTTGCTCTTGTATCAAGAGCAAATAGGGAACTACGAAGATCGGAATGTCTACACGAAAACCCGCGAGAAAATTGAATTATTCTGAAATCATATTACAATTTAAAGCTTTTGTTTAAAGCTTTGTTGAATTTTACGTATGTTTGATATGTGTATTCATACAATACGCCAAAAAAAAGATGTCGATTTCTAAAGCAAATAAATAAATCGTTTAAGAATGTTTTTTCAGCTACTGTTACAGTAAACGGGCCAATTAAATTTAACAATTGAGTTGTGATGCCGCATAAAAATATTACGACGGTCAAACACCGCAGTGACAAAATGTTAAGTGGGGTTATGTAGGAAAATATTTAGAGAATGACCTTTTTATGGGCATCGTGCCGATGACGTCGATTTTTTTTTAAACAAAACAATGATATTTCTGTCATGTTGAATTACGACAAGCAAAGATGCTCAAAAATACAACGATTTAGAACATATATATATATATATATAGGAATGGGTTTTGAATGAATAACTTCTACTTTTTAACGAACCAACTTTCACTCGAATTTGAAAGAAATTAGCCGGATTTCTAGGAATTGTTTGAAAACCATATATTCAATGTTCTACTTTTTTTCTCTTTTGAGTCTGAAAATCTGTGCGAATTTGCTATCCGCAGTTCTTAGTATTTTTAAACACCAATTCAAAACAGTTCATGAAACCGGTTTTGGTAGAATGAAACAATCAAGCCTATTGTCATTGGAAAATTAAAAATAATTTTGTTCCGAGTACAACAGTGAATTGTCATCCGGCTCCGACTTCTTGGCGATGGAGCATCTGCGCATTCGCCCGCCTTGTGTTTAGTCATAGACACAAGTTTCTTGATTTAAATACACAACTTACGTCATTCAAATGACGCTAAATCACCAACAACATTAAACAAAATCGTCTGCTATAAATTTGAATATTTCCCAGTCAGGAAATATATTCTTACACCTCTCATTTATTCGTCTATAGCTATTTAAAAGTGACGCGGCATAAAAAAAATTCCACACTAAAAAGCGTGATATAAATATTTTATTTTGTGACTGAAGATTGACATAAAATGTGACCATCAATCGACATTAAAGTTTACGACATTGGACAAATAAAATACAGAAAGGGTACATCAAACAAGGTGGCTTTTATCTCATTGGCGAGGTCAAAATTCTCCATACTGAAAATCATACCTCCGAATTTCTCGCTACCAGGACTTTAGTGCAAAATTATCACCTATCCGTGAGATTAAAGATGAAGTCTTTAAAATTATATTCACTCCTCTCTCTCTTAGTAATTTCCACCTCCAAAATATTGTTTCAAATTCATACTTAAAAATTAAACCCATGTGTGAGTCCTAAAACCCCCAAATACAGGAATTAGATGATTCGTATTTGAACATGTCAAATCAGCTGCATTGCGTCATAAATAGAGGGGAAATGGATTTAAAATTAAGATTGCTGTTTACTGCTGGGAACCACAAATAATCACGTTCGAGGGGGCGATGTGTAAACAGTAGAAATATGACTGACAATGCGTCACATGCTTTAGGAATGGAGTCCAACTTGGGCGAGCGTCAGCATTAAATCGGGTACGGTAATTCTTACAAAGGGCGGCCTAAACGGACGGACGATCGAGTTGTAATAACCAGCAATATGTATAAATGATTAAATATGCATCCGGTATAACAAACGTCTGGACCAGTGAGTAACTTTATAATAAAGTAAACGCAGTATTTGTGCACAGGTAGCGCATTTACCCCTTTCATATTTAATCTGTTAATGAGGGTACGCGAGATTGATTTACATTGAAAAATTACCCCATTGCTTAGATTCACCTATAGGTCGTCTGAAGTGTCGATTTCCCAGATAATTGTTGGGGTCGGTAAACATAGTTACAATCCCGTCCGAGGTTAGCAAATACCCGACAGAATTATGATGCCGCCACAGTCCAGCAATAATGGACTAATTGAATGAATACCTTCCGTTTAGCATAGCTATGTACTGTTACATCGGTGCAATATCCTCCGCATTCCGTTTCGTCACCCCGTCTGGCGCACAACTACTCATTTTTGATCGGCCCAAATTGACTTCGTGGTATATCCATCAAGCCATAAGTTTCGCTCTGTTGGGCGAAAATTACTCGATATGTTTGATGGATGTCTGTCTGAGTCGCGACCACACGTTGCCGACGTCATCTTAATCATATTTTGTGTCAAAACGACACCTGCTGTAAAAACTTTTACATTTGGCACTAATCCTACTCTCTTTCGCCAGTGAAATTTTTAAAGGTTATAGCTGTGTCATACTTTCAAATAAAAGTAAAAGACGAAGCGTGTTTTAGGTCTTTGTCCGAGTATGTTGAAAATTCCATTAATTTTATTTTCAATTTAGGAAGGTATACACATAAATTTAAAATCAAATCGAAATGTAGGTTACGTCGTAGTTTATTTATACTCATAAACACTGATCTGACACTAAAAACACTAAAGCCAGCAATCAGTATAAGTGCATCAATTTTCCAAAATGTTCCTATTTATTTTTCATTCAGGGATCCATTTCAGTCATTTCAGATTGCAATCTCTTGTATATATACGAAAACTTTTGAAATATGACATCTAAGTATTTTGGACAATGCCCGTGTAACTTTTTAACATTACAACAAGTTCAACTTCGCATGAATACAAAAGAATCAAATTACGAAGAAATATTCATTACCAAAATCTTCGTCGACTACTATCATTTAACGAATTTGTATTTTGTGTAGTTATTAGCATTGAGCAGAATATCCTACATGCTTCAGTCTGCTATTCCCATATATATCACATATTTATATGGCATCCATTGCCACATTTGTATACCCTAGAAATATGGATCTTTCTTGGACTTAAAAGGCATCAAAGGCATGTTTTAAAACGGATCTGCGTCAAGTAAAATCATGTCATTTTCTTTTGGTCTGGAAGGTCAAAACATCTGTAAAGAGCACGTGGGTCGAAAAATACACACGCCTACTCCACAGAATTAATCCGTGACCAAAATCTGAATTTTTGTTCTATGTAAATCTACGAGTAGCATTCAGGAGTATTGAATAAGTTTCTCCTATATATACACAAGCTTCACTGCAACATAGACTATATTAAAAACATATATGTATGTATATTTTGTAAATAAAATGATACAAATATTTCGTATTAATCTGAATCGAAGTCATCTTATCAAATGTAATGCATACGTCAATTATCGACAAATGAAATGTTTTCTCGTTCAAGATTTTAGAATTTCATCAAATTAAACATTTTCTTTTGTAAATTGTTACCGAAACTGCCCGGTATTGTGGCCAGCATAAACGGCAACAACAATAAATGATTTCGCTTACACAACAACCTGCGTCCGGAGTCGAAAAATTGCGGCTACAAACCTGGCTAGAACGTTAGGTCCATGAAATGTGTATTTATCATTTGGGCTATAATATTTCCAGTACTGTCGATCTTATATTTTAATTGTATGTAGATTAAAATTACAAAAATTCCACTTACCACCATGTTGCACTGGCCATCAACGAACTCCAACTCCACACAAAACAAGCAAGAACGACGCACAATCTCGTCTTTTTGTATATCTTCATAGGTTCGACTTTTGTTGAAATATTTTCTTAGGATTGTGGTAACTTATCGGGTGACTTATTCAGGAAAAATTATACAACTTCGTTGTTAACTCATACATGTACAAATGATATTATATATACATTGATATACAGAATCTGTTAAAATAATGACATTTTCGTTAAATTATCTGATTTTGGTCCTGAATACAGACAGCGGATACTATTTTTGCATGTTATTCCCTACTCTTTTTTACTGAACTGAACATATTGAAATGCTCGTTCTTCCTATTGTCAATTGACATATCGTACATTTAAACTCACGTCTAATCAATTTGATATAACCCATCAACACGGGATGTTCGGAACTTTCAGTTTTTTAGATCAAATTTTTTTCCAAATTAAACTTAACAGAGCTTTTTATAACGAGATAAATTTATCCATACTAGGCAAGTAAAATACAATTGAAAATTTATAAAAAAAAAATAAGAAGCTTATTTTGAAGGCTTCCGTGTTTGATTTCATTATTTGTCAGATTCACCCATTATCAACGTTTCAAATAAACACTTCTTCTGTCAAATAATTCACGATAGAATCATTGCTTATCTTTTAAATGTAAAGTGATATTTAAAACATGAGAAAAGTAAACATTGAATGACATAAACAAATTACTTCTACGGGTGCAAAATAGCACGTTAAAGGGACACTTGGTGATGTTGCGTATAATTTGATCGTGAAAAAGTTGCTCATTTGGTTATTGAGATGGCTATTTTTCGTACAACTATTCATCTGAACATTTTCAGGTGAACATATAGAACTACCCTTTGCATATGTAACAGCTTTGGCATGTGACAATGACGTGAGTCCGCTTTCACTGTCAATATTTATTTTCTTCCCTAATATACATACTTTATTCTATAATTCTGCCTCTCGCTTACACACAAAAATCTCAGCTTTGTATTTGGTAAATCAATCGAATTTTCTACCAAGCATCGGAAATTCTTTAACCTATCCGGAACGTGTCTATTCTGCGCAAAAATGTTCGAAGTGGCATTATCCCTTACTGAAAAATGACATGTGCACACAGAAAAGTTCAATGATACAATTTATTACAGCAATTAAATATTCACAGATTTAAGGTTATTGGTGCTCAAGATATCTATCACAACAATCAGTTAATCTCGCGCTGCTTTCATATAAATTAAAACAATCTGATTATCTTTAAAATTATTATACGATTTTTGTTCATTCCCACCAAAGCAATTGCGCAAATAACTACATATTCCTTACACACTAGTTATATTACTTATTCTAAGTCAAATAAATTTATTTTCTTGCTCAGATTTTTTCACATACAAAAAATTTCATCTATTTTCAACTTACTAATTTTAGCATAATATCTGTTTCCGACAATTGATACGCGCGGTCAACACAAACGTTGCTTTATACGGAGGGTGTTGTCACAAAATATCTCCCCACCTGGATGTGATGGCGTTGAGAAACGTGAGAGAAAAACTTTCGCGGTGAAATTTTGATCTAAAATGGCGAATTTTATATTTGATTTCGGATTCGATTAATAAGACCGCTGAAAGTTGGGGTCAAGGGTCATCACATTTATGGGATTAGCGATTTTATTCCCACCGGTTGACACAAAGTGCTTGACGGGAAAACAATGCCCCATAACCTGCCTGATTTTGCATGTTAACCCGCAAATACTGTAGCAAAAATTATTCATTAAGAGAAGAGTCAAAGCATGGGTAATGTATACGTTGAATCGTCTTGGTGTTTAGACTTCAGTTCAACACCTGAGGGGAATAAAGGGTTCTTTGAGGTTTTGAACTTCCGGACCGTAACGCATCGTTGTCATCACCCCTAGATCCTTTAACAGCATTTTTAGACGCCTAGTTCCAAACACCCTTGTTGGTGCGCCCTCGTCTTTCATCGGCCACTCGCCTCTGCGAAAATCTCTCTCTCTTTTGGCGGGGCTGGAAAACATCTGTGCATTCGCGGACTTTTCGTTTTACATCAACAAAAGAATGCTTTCTAATGATGCGCGTCTAACGCGAAAATCTGGTTTTTGTTGTTTCCACCCAAACAGCAGAAAATGAAAAATCTGAAACCAAAACCATACGGTTTGACTTTGATTTCCGATACCACAATGCTAATGTGTCGGACAGTCGACGATTAACGATTTTGGCATTCCAAAGGGTTCTGAGCGACAACTTTACTATAGTAGAACATGTTGGGGCTTAACATGGACGTTTGATAATATGTAGCGCGAATTGACATGACATGCGCAATTTACCAGCCGAGTTTTCATTAATGCAAAGTTTAGTCTAGAAATTGGTCGTCCAAAACAATTTTTGTAAATTATTTTGGAATTTTCATTTCTTTAGTATACAAGATTATTTTTGAGAACAATGCTGTATTGTGGAAGACGATCAATCGCAAACTAAAAAAGTAGTGTTTAGTAATTACAATGTAAACCAGGAATCATTTGTCTCAAGTAAATAGTGGTAAAAATAATAGAACATTTCCAAAACTGTGCCAAACTGCATTCATAAAACTCTTTTCACATTGATATTCATATCAAAATTTCGAAACTTCTATTTAATTAATATTAATCGCGAAATGATATCTTTTTGATATTATTTGCGATGCTTCAAGTTTATTAGGTAACCTAATTAATTATCAAAGCAAATATATACATTTGCAAAAAACAGCTCATCCTCAGGCCAACAAGTTTTTTCATATATTGTCTAATCACTGATATTCGAATATCAACAACATTGGGAAATTAGGACGAAGAACGACTTCACTTACGTAGATGATCTTATATCTGGCCTTGAAACGAATAATCTTGCTGCCAAAATACAAAATGCTATTTAACAATTCCTTAAAAGGTTAGAACATATGCCAGGGTATCGAATTTTATCATTAAAAACCGCATTCGAAAACACACTTCCGAATATTGAAGTATTTCTGTCATCGAACGCCAAAAAATAACAACAAAAACGCGTGAGAAAACTGTGAAATTTGCGTCAAATAACTGTACCACATACTTCATACTCAAATATGCAAATCGCCCAAATTTCACGATTTGATAACGTAATTTGGCTCAAGTACAATTGCGCATTTCTCTAGCGGTTAATTACACTTTAGATGGCGATGACCTTGTCGACATTCAGACATGTTCGTCACGTTTTGAGAACTAAGCTACGATTGCAAAACTAGTATGAATCTCACTTGCAAATGCTATTTGGGAATCAAGTATTGAAAATAGTTTTATGATTTTCTTGAAATTAAATTATATATTTGAAAAATATAGTTCTTAAATTTTAATGGATTATTATATATGTCGTTAGCTAAGTACGAAAAGTGGCGCCAAAAAATGTCTGAGAAATATAAGAAAAGTGTACTTTATCAATAGAAACGTTTCAAACATCGCAATTTTACCAAAGCTTAAATAACCGCTCCGAGCTTAAATCTGGGATGAGTAGATTTGGATCCGTGACCGATAACAAATGATATGCCTAAATCTGCTAACAAAAAAAACGTTTTTTTATATATGGCCTTTGCCATATGAAGATATTTTTTATTTTATACGGATTTTTATTTCGAAATGACGCAGAAAATTTTTGTCTTTCCATTGTCAAAATTCTTGCAGCTGTCAAAAACGTTGTAGTTGCATAAATAAGTAGCGTTCCAAATACATGTGCGTCATTTGTAATTGACTAAAATCCCATGTAAAGGACAATTACCTCTGTCGAAATCTCATTGCAAACCACATTTCGAGTCGTATTTGGCCCCATTAACCAATTTCCGTGACCCGAACTATCTTCTCGCACGATCCACTTGCACTTAGCGTGGCGAAAAACCAAAGCACACCTGTTCTGGGAGCGTAAAATCCTAAATCTGTCCCACAATGCGACATCGACACCATCTACGGCACGTGGCCGATGTTGACGACACAAACATCCGGCAGAATAACTCAAAATTACCCCTCGCTCTCGTTCTTACTCATGATCCCCGATGCCCCAGTTACCTTTTTTCTCTAAAAAAATACTTTTTTTATTTAGAAAATATTTATTATTAGCTCTAGCGTAGGCAATGGGAGCATCAAATACGAATGATAACGTACTTTCGCAACTTGTGTCTTTATATACGCTTACACTACTAAGAAAATTGAACGATTTACTTATATATATATATTTAACAGTAAGACAAGCGAGATTCAAAAGTTGGATCGTGCATTCTTATAGATATAGCAATAGAGTTTAACCATATCAAATCCGGATGCTATATTAAACTACTAGAAAAACTGAATAAAAATACAGATTGACATTTCTAATTTTGGCGTAAAACCAAATGAATTCGTGTTTTCTATTAAATATCGCGTGAATATGGTTCGGCACGTTTTACTACGCCACTATTGAGTACTAAAGAAAAGTCATTGTTCCCGATGCCAATGATTTATGCATTCTGTCATATTCCGATGATTTGCTCATTTAATGAGAGATACGGCTAAAGTCTTGTGGGGTCATCGATCATCGCCAAACACAATCGAAAACGGAAGGCTATTGTGACGAAATGTCGTTTCGTATGCATACAGTAGTGGTGACTTTAATGGCTTTCACTGTCACGCAAAGTTGCGTAATAAGTGTTTCTTTGGTTTCTTTACTTGGCTAAATGGGTGAAATCAACTAAAATTCATCAGGTTTCCAAAGATTTTCTATACTAGCTAAATGTTAATAGAGATAAATCACTCAAGTTTATTTTGGATTCCGTCAAGTTTATGGAAGTATATATATATATATCAATGTTTTATGCCACCCCTTATTATAATAAAGACAGAATAAGCCCTTCCAATAAAAGATGACTCGCAAATTTTTACAGGTACAAACGATATTCAAATTTCCACCAGAAGTCCCTTTGCAACAAATATCTTGTGCTAGTATAGTGTCCAAAAATGAGCATTTCCTTCGTATGTTTGCATCGTAGTGTGGTTATTCTTGGTTTAACTTTGGGATTTGAATCAGCTTTCGATTCGTAGTCGAGAATACCAATCAAAGTAAAAAAATATTTTGATCCTGGTGTAGGACTCAATGCTTTTGTTGAATACAGTCGGGTTTTAGCATAAATCGAAGTCGGAGTGAAGGAAGCAAGCCGAAACAAGAACGAAAGAAATTCAGGGCTCAAGTGACTTGAAACAAAAAATAAATTTTGTCTCAGTAACAGCAACAACTATTTATAAAAACGATTAATATGTATAAAAACTTTGTGTCCAATAATAACACGAATTAAAAAAAGGTTATCGCTCCTAGTGTTCGGATGCGTTATAGAAATTGTATTTGCTCATTGGCCTACGGTTTTTTCAAAAGATTTTCAGTTAAACACCCCTAAATTAGGCCTCTCTTCCAAAATATACGTCTTTTAGTGATGACATACGATTACCTCAGTCACAATGGTTGCTTATGGGCGCGTCGTGAATCTTGGTGATTTTAAGGGATGTAGTTTAACTGAAACGGCGGTGTGTAAAGTTAAAATGTACTATAACTGTTGTTATATACTTGGGGTTGCCAAATTTAACGCGCTGCCTGATGGCAGGTGGTGGCGTCATGAAACGAAATTTTGAGCTTGTGTTGTATGTTATTATTTTTCCTAGATGTGGATAGATCCCTTTTAAATATAAATGTATACGGTCATTTGTATCTTTATGCAGTTACCAGACTTTTCACAGTGCAAAAGCAATTTTGGATTCGGCCAACACCGATGACCAAAAAACAGTTCAAAATTATAGAATAAGATTCCCTATGTCAGTGTCAGTGTCCAATCATGTGTCTGTCATTCAATCCACAGATAACTCTGTGGCGAAAACAGAACGCGGGGCCACTGTGCACATTATTAGAGAATTGAAGTGGGATTCCTCCTTCACTTTTACTTCTTCGGGGTATGGTTTCTCTTGAAATTTTTGGTACCGTCTATACTTCCTTGAATAAAGTGACCTCAGCATTACCCTAAGAGCTCTTAGTGGTTAGGTGACACATGTTTGGCACATTTATTGCCATAAGTTGAAATTAAGACAGATGGGGAGGGTTGTTGTGAAATATAACTCCAACTTCTCCATGCCAGAGCAATTATGCCAAAAAATACCTTGGTCGCTAAACTTGTCCTTTCTTTCCTTTTTTTTGTTTCTCCCAGTTCATCTATTTCGCACAAATATCACCATTTTTTTTATTTCTGCTATGGACATTTATGGCCTTACTGTTGGAAAAAGTAATGGTTGCATTGCAAGTATTCAGAATTTGTGGGTTTAAATTTGCGTGGATGCAGTTTACGAGTGAGCGTTTGGCACAATTTTTAATTCAATCTCCAATACGTCTGATTTGTATGGATTACATCAATGAATAAAAGTAAAGTAACAACTAGGTAGTATAAGTCAAATTCAATTTAATTCTTGAAATAAAAAAGAAAGAAAAGGGAGAAACAAAAAATCCGATTAATATAACACGCCACGCTAAAAATACATAGCCTAAAATTGCTCCGTTGAGCAAATATGATAATCAAAAACAGTAAGAAAAAACTCGTGATGCAACAACCACTGCAAGCAAGAAATGGTGTTGATACTAAAAACGAATTCAAAATAAAATATGCATAATGGATCACAAAATCGAAGTCGAAATAGTCGAAGAAAGTAATCCGAATTTGGCAGTCATAGCTAAACATTTTGCCATATCAAAAGATTGTCTTGTGCAAAATTTCAGGTGCATTGTTTCGACGGTTAATTTACGATATATCCAAGTTTGACAAAATAATGGGATGAAAAGTGCAAATCAAACTAATCTTGACTGGACAAAGCTATGCGCCAGACAAAGCTATTAAATCGTATAGTTGAGACTATATATCTCCATGCCGTCGCACGGTGCATTGTTAATTAAACTAATAAATACTGATCTTAAATAAACAATAACAAAACAGAAAATGAAAAAAATTACCGGTCACAAACTACCAGGTAAAATCACGGCCACGTTCTCCCGTGCTCTCAGAAAGCATGTGAAGTGAGGAAAACCAAAACCCTGAAAGTGAGTATTGATCTTTTTGCAAAAAAGTGAGGTGATATGATTAAATATTCCCTATTCAACAATAAAACTTGGCATAAAATACATTGCGATAATATAAAATAGGAAAATACATGCGCGTTGCATATACATGATGATAATCATGAAGTTGGCATATTTTGCAGAGGTTTTCACACAAAAATGTGAGTATTGAAGTCTTAGTATATCTGTAACAAACGGCATTTTAAAATATTCAGTAGTATTCGTTTCTGCTGCCATTGCAAACTATGGAGGTCGAAATTCTTTCGGGCGAATGATAGTAATTAGTCAATATTATGATTTTTTACTACTGTGGCTATTTTGGAACAAGGCTCCAGTTCGGTGCACGATGTTGATAAGTATAAGGATTACGGACCACTGCAGCGGGATGATGCAATCTTGGATGCATCAAAAAAGTCTGTGGAAATAACTCCGAGTGCGTACCAACACCTGCACCAGTGCCTTTAGTGAAATTATTCCGACCATAAATCGATGTGTTCAATGGAACATGGTTTTCCATCCCAGAAAATTGACGTGTTGATAAAAAATAATTTGGGTCGTGCAACGAAGGCTTTGGCGGAAATGGTAAATGATGTGAAGGGAACTGGGATTGTGGAATATCTGGGTGACAACTACTGTTTTGATGTACAGAAAAAGTATTTATACCGCCCGGAAAATAATTGATGGGAGAACCAGGAATAGAAGAAGATGGTGTCGGGGGATTTGATGGCATCGGAGAAGGCGGAAAATAGACGGGCTGTCGCGGTAATCTATTACTGGTACCAAATTCAAAACCAGTTGAATTATGAATACCAAGATGAGGTGGAATAGTACTTGTTATATTAGCCGTCTTTCCGGCTAATATTGATGCCTGTTCTTTTATAAAATCGAATTGATCCGGGAAAATATTGTTGTTGGGAACTGCGAGATTCACACAATTTATTGTATCCATTGTCTCGACTTGATTTGATATATTATTGTTGTTAAGATTTGAACAATGTTCAACAGCAGGATCCGTGTTTTGAGGCGACATATTTTGATGAAGCAAATGCGTGACAACAGAATCGAGTTGAGTCGTTTTCTCAGATATTGGTAAAGTCACGTTTGGAGGACCGACCGGTTCAAATGACTTGCTGTTTCCTTCGCCAGAATCGTCTCTTGAGGCGATTTCTGTGCACGCTTTTTGTGTTTTCGTTTTTTCGATTGCTGAGAACGGTGCTTGATTGGGAGGTGGAACTTTAGCAGTCAGTTCGGAGTTTGCAGAGGGCAGTGGAGAGACCGGTGTTACCACGGGCAGGGATTTGGATTTGACAACTTGATCCGGATCAATATATTCTGCTGATTTCGAGCCTCCGTAATGTAAGACAGTTGTTTGATCAACTTGATCATCCACGACCTTATTCATGATCGTATCTTCACTATCTTTCTCTTCTTTGTCACGGACAAGTTTCTTAGAAGACTCAGTGGCGATTTCAAGAGAATTTGTAGAAGAATTGGAAGACAATCGACTGCTGTCACTAGCACCACACGAATTTGAAAGCAATTTTGTTGGAGCGTTCTCATTCTCTGCCATCCTTTTGTCCCTCCTGTTGTGACAAATTACAGACAATACTAAGTAAATTATTATAAAACAGGGATGTGACAGCAATACGGCTATTTAGAAACACTCTGAAGCAGTTAGAATTTGAAAGAAATCTTACTTACTACTGGGATCAAGCGGTGTTTAAGTCGAATAGGGGGAAAATGGTTTGAAATAATAATCAATGTGTTAGATGCCCCGCTTTTTTATATGATATATATTTAAATGGGGAAAGTTTGTAGCAGGTCAAATAAAATACCTTTCGGTGATATTATAGTACATAATAGCCAGGCTTGTCCATGAGACATATTTAATAAAATTTCTGGTATCAAATAAAAAGGACTGAAAAAAACTATGGCCAGCCACAACGTTAACAAGAACCCAAAACGGATTTTTTATTGATTAACCTACCTAAAAGCATGTTGCAATCTTCTTTGTCTGTTATATTTAGCATTCTTTCTCTTTCTCATACAGCCATTGTTTGTTTTTGATTTATCACTGTTACTTTGCGCTAGATGTCGAGTTTCAGAATCCGAAGACGTCTCAGTTGGGACAGGGCTGTCTGAAGAATACCTTCTTGTGTCCAAGGGTTGCATTCCATTGGCAAGTGACAGATCCGGAAAATTCAGTCCCGAAGAGACCGCTCTGTATATTGCAATTAACTTCATTATTACAGAAAACAAATCCGTACTTTGTATTTTTCTTTGCATCTGGTCTTTTATTCCAATTTATTTGGAGAAAGCATGCAGCGAATCATATCATATCAAGTAGGTAATCCAAATAATTGTTAACTCGCAAACTTGGAGAAATATGAAGTATATGTATGATACAGATGGGAGTTCATTCAATATTCAAATTTGTTTGAAAAAAACTGAGTTTTATAAAAATCACGTGCATATTAAAAATGCATAACAAATGTGCCTGCATCGATGTACACTATGGAATCAATAAATGGTTTGTTTGAACGTTTAATATGGTTTGAACGGCATATTTGTCGGTCTTTAATTAGCACAGGTTCGCGAATGAATAAAGTGTAATAGTCTTATTTATGTTATAGATTGTTGCGCAAATTTGCATAACATATCCAATAACCAATTGGAGAACTTGTTATTCCATAATAATGGCGTATTTGAGTAGCTATCGTTTTCATAAAAAAAACACGGAAAAAAAAGGTGATTTAGGCATCGTTATAAAAAAAATTTACCCAATTTCACTGCAGTTCTCTATTTGAGGAGTCGGTGTTGGCAGGCTGTGCAGTGATGGCAACTGTGCGAGACTCTGCATCGCGCAATTATTTGCTTGCAATGCAGATCCTCTACCGCCATCGTCTGGTTGTTGAATTGATGCAAGTGGTTCATTGTGAATCGTGATTTTCTCTTCGGGAAAGATATTTGGCGGTGAAAACTGGGAAAAGTCTGAATGGAAAAATTTACAGTAAAGCATGTGAACAGCGGTAATATATGGCACAAAAATCAACCTTTCAAGCATACACTGCTTGCAACAGCTGAAACGTAAATTGGCAGCGGAAATACAATTCTCTAATTGATGTCTGGATATATATATATTACCAATCTATATTGATTTTGCATCAAAAGTCTTCTTCTACGCGGCCATGACGTACAAATGATTGCCTTGAGCAGCAAGTGAGATTATTATGTATTAATGTATTCTCTTGATGCTGTTTATGGCATTCTTTAGGACATTGTCGATGACCTTATCAAACACAAGTGCCCTTGTTATTTGCCTCAAGTTTTAAATATGAAATGATTCAATTTGCGCTTACGCTTTTGAATATGATGATTACTTTAAATCTGATTTTAATACGGTAATTAGGAACTGGTTTTCCGATAATACCGACCCAATTTTCTCAACCTACCAGCTGATACATTGCTGCCAGGAGTCGGTGCTAAGCTTCCAGAGTTGCTTGACGACGTCGTATAGCCAGCGCTTTGTCGTTCCAAGTTAGAAGAGCCAGTTGTGGATCCACAGTATGATTCATTTGGGAATGATCCTATGTCGAAAAATCCATCTTGTAACGACGTAACATGCTTTGCGGAAGCTCTCAATTGCCCGGTTTCGAGGTCGAAAATATCATTCAGATCTCTAGATGTAAATGATAATTTGGTTTTGTCCAAGTCTCGCATCAAGATTTTAAGGTTCTGTGCATATTAAACTAATGCATACAAGACAAGTTTCCGAAGGAATATACATTGCTCATCAACAATATTGTGTACATATCATCAATGTATAGAGCAGAAATTATGTATTTTCACTGCTGAAGTACATGTATAATATATATATGTATATATGATAAGCTACAAAAATATCTTAATATCGTATAAATTAAAGTCATCGGGCCTTCAATACTTTTCTCAACATGATATTATTCGTTATAAAGGCGTTAAAAGTTTCTCACAGTACCAACTTAACAAATCTGGATAATCCTCAAGACAGGATTAAGATTGATCAAATAGCTAATATTTACCTCGCGTAAGAAAATCCAGGTGCCACGTTCCTTGATACAGCGGTGTTTTGACGTTTCAGTTTATCTGGTGGTATTTTAGCGATGTCTACTGTCCAATAGTTTCCCTTGGAATGGGGTCGAGAGGGATCGGGAAGAACCTATGAGTATTTGATTTAAAAGGCAATTCAAATAATGAAAAACAACAGAGAGAAAAATAGTCAAGGTTCAAGTTTACGCCACGGAAAGTCGTCAAAAAGCTGCAACATTGAACTGTTATAGTAATTCGCAATGAACAGCATGAAAATCCGAGGCGGTTGTGAGTATTCACAACAAACCTATGTCGACGGTTGTACTAATCTATATTTAATTGGTATGCAAATCTAATATATTCTTGAAATTAGGTAATTTACATCTTCTTCAATCAATTATTTCAGCCTAATTCATTCAGTTTTTGAAGTAATTAAGTTCAATGACTATCTCTTTTCGTCCAAGTGGGTGCTCTTCTACGCGTATACTCTTAAAATGCCACCTGCCATCAACCTACCTTTTTAAAGCATGAATTTTGAGAAAGATTATGCCGAACCGAGTCTCTCCACCCCTGATATTCCCCCTGAAAAGGTAAAGAAAAAATGTTAATAAAAACTTGTGCAAAATCGAACGCCACATTTGAATAATATAAATTTTACATACATTTCAACAATTACCTCATTTGAAGTGTAAGTTATATCGTATTAATGCTATTTCGATCACACTATAATCTCTCTGTATAGACCATTCTTCTATTCTTATGGAGTTCATTGTTTGAAAACGGTGACAAATAATAACCATACAACAATCTATTGTTATGTTCTTGGAAAGCATTGGTGTAAAATTCACCAAATGTCATTTTTTAAGACTCATAAGTGAAAATATAGTAAAAATATTGTGGATTGAAGCAATTTACAAATTCAATATTACAATCAACGCACCTTGAAGAAGGGGAACATAGTACTAATCTTGGAAAGAATCTCCGACAGCTTGAGCATCTTCGTCGGAGAACTTTGAATAGCGAGCGCGATCAAACCCACGTAAGAATACGGTGGCTTGGCGTGTCGGTGATACCTGAAACAAAACATTGTTGATAATTAACATTTGTTTATAAATTGAATATGGTTATCATAGGAAATAATGTAAACTCACTTCTTTTCCGACATTTTCTTTTTCTTCATCCTCATCTCCTGATTCTCCTCTACTTCCTCCACCATTCTCTTCTTGCTGAGGCACCTGTTGATATCTACTTCTGGAACAGTGTTGACGTATTTTGGAAAATATACCGAAGGGCTTCCAAATCCCACTTGATGATGAAGGCGCTGAAACAGTAGGCCTACATGTTAGAATTGAGCAAGGCAAAAGGTTAGTTATATATCCAACTAAGAATGAAAAGTCCAACCAAGTTGGCAGGTGGCTGATTCACTACAAAACAAAGTATTTAGCTAAAGTTCGTAGAATTTTAGTTCCTCTATTATTGGACACGAAGCGGGCCTATTTATCATAATGTTGTCGTTAAAATAAAAAATGTTCTTTTCATTTATAACACCTGAACATACAAATCTGTTACTGTTCAAGGAACGGTAACGTTTTCAACATTTAAATAAAAAGAGTCAACAGTTTAACCACCGGCCACATGTTAATGTTTTAATCATTAAGCAATGACGCGGTTAATTATTTTGTCACATAAATGAATGCCATAAAATCGAGTTTAGAAATCGCTTTCCTTTTTCAATTACAGCGCGGACTTACGCACTGGTGCGCACATAACCGTTTCCTCGTTAACTGAATCAAATCGAAGGCAAAAAGTGAACTGATTTGACCCCTATTATTCAATTAATGCATTTCTGTAACGGCTGAATATTTATCATAAATTATTAAATGAAATTGCTGTATGATACTTTCAGAAATAATAATAGTACGCAATTGGTATCATAATACCACCATCCGATTTTTTTCTAATAAAAACAATTTAAAAAATTTATACAAGCAAGCAATCTTTTAAAACTTTATTTACAAAAATAAGTCAGATGATATATGAGTGCAATGTATCTGAAAATGAAACACTTGCTTAACTATCGTCATTATGATCTCTTTGTGCTGAATATGTCAATCAGTCACTAATATATACGAAGCTATATACTGGGCAACTTAATCTATTGACAACACCTCTCATGAAATGGTTGTCGACTGCATTTAAATATAAGATGCCTGATTTGCGTAGCAACACTCGACCTTGATATATCAAACCTGCTCAGTCCAATGGCGGACAGCCACTCATTTCAACTATCTATATGAATTTTTCCTAGATTACAATGGGAAGACCATAATAGTGACGGAGAACGCGATACAAAATTCCAAACTTTAAGACAAATTTATATTTTTCACAAAAAATATAGTCACGCTCCTTAATGCAAATTGCGTTTGACGCCAGATATGATTCCTGATTCTAACTTTTTTCAATGCTTCAATATACCTACTAACAATATCCAAGGAGTGCTCTAATGTAAGCAAAGCAACACTGCTCAAGCAGAAACAGATCAACAGCTTTTCAGTTAGTAATCGGGGCCACACTTTCTGACATACTTTTCGAGAGCAAATTAAACAGATAATTTCGATGTTGAGGATTATTACCAGGTCGGGAAAATCCGAGATTAAAAGATGAAAATATTATTTTGTTTTTATATTGTCATTGTATTAAACCATAACAAGGAGAATAAGTTTTTAATAATCTGTTTGGGAAATAAAATATTTCTATTATAACTTTTTATATTCGAGTTTCCACAAATTGGCAATATTTAAGATTTAATTATATGAGAGCGAAAAACAAACGTTTTTAAGCCGTCAATTTTGTCCCAAAGACTCCCTTAAATTCTTTAAATAATATTAATTGATTCGTTGTCGGAAAACGGGTCTATGATTTTTTTTTTTATATATATACATGTCAAAATTCACTCCTTATTCGTTACCCGCTAGCAATTCAATGCGATAGTGTAAGGATAACTCAAGTTATCATCGCCGATTGGAGGCCTACACAGCCGTACTCAAGACTAAGTATACCAAAATCGTATTATTCGATATCAAGAAAGTGATGATATTTAACCATTGATGTCAACTTTAGTTTTGCTAACGCCCTGAAACATCGTAATAACGTTACCAAAACATTCCTAGCAACTTCTTGCTATAAAATAATATATATAATTTAAGAAATCAATGTATCTCCGCTGTACATTTTCAGTCTGAAAAAAAAATGTTGGCTTACATTTTTCGTCTGTCCCGCCATTTGATGAAGCGTCGAATTGTATGCATAATCCAAGTTTCTCGGAAGACATATTGATGGTGTACTCTGAACCGCTGTTTCTGCTAGAATGGAACCCCTGAAATCTCCCATGTGACGCTAAAACATTAATAAAATTATTAGTTTCGAATGAAAACATAGATGCACATCAAATTTATTTGCTGCATATATTTTTATCAAAGTACTCATTATTTAGAGATCGTTGGTTAACTCAAAGTACTCAACGTTTCGAAGAAAAAGATTCGGATCTTTTGTACAAAGCCCCGCCATTAATGCAAAAAATGGTGAGATTTGAGAGAAATACCTCCACCACGTTGATTTAAAAATTAGAATATCCAGCGCAATCTGAATTTCTAACCCTAACTGGATAATTAATATCTTTTTTACTTTGAGCATTGGCGGGGGGTGTTTTTAGGCGGGAGCTTTGTACAAAAGATTCCTTTGTGTAAGATGAAAATGATTGGGGGGTTTGTATACACGTTTCTCGTCCAATTATTTTGGACAACGTTTTTCAAATTATACACAAAATACATATATTTCAGAACAGTCCGAAACTGGTACTGGTTACGATATATAATTGAAAGCTACTCACATTTCCTTGACATAACGATTCCCTTCCGTTCTGATATATTTCCACTTTTACCGGATCCAAATTGATTTTTGAGTCTGTACTAAATGGAATTGTCAAATCTTCAGAATATTTACTGCACAAATTAGTCGACCTGTCGCTGTTATTGTTTTCGCTAATGATCAGAGATCTACTTTCGATGTCTGTTTTCAACCGCTCGTTACCGCATAACAAAGAAAGGAAACTTGAAATTTGGTCTTCGCGGCGCCTCTTTCTTGTATGTCTTGGACGATTAGAAGGGCAGTTATAGTTTACATGCACGTCGATTATCGAATTGATGTGTTCATGTGGTGATTTTCTTTTTTCTCTGCAATGAAGATCGTAACTTGGTCGATAAGTGTTCGCCGAACAGCCGTCGCTCTCTTCAAAATGCCCCGTATACGAACTGACGCTATTGAACTTCGTAGTGAACGTATCGCCGTAAAATTGAAATGTACTTCGATCTTGACGAGCTGGACAACTGTCGTTTTGTGTTTCGTGCTGGATGAAAGCTGCGGGAGCGAATGCGACACCTACAATTAGCAGCATGTTGCGTTTCTTTCGCTTTCCTTTCGCTAATCGCCTTTAACCACAGGACAACGATTCAGTCCGATTGTGCTATTGTTTCATTATGTATTAACACCCATAAAAGCCTTTGTCACCGCTGCGATGTACCGTTCACACGTTTATTGAAAACAATAACCAGCTCAAAATATGAATATGAATGCAAATATCTGCTCTAATTTCACAGAATTTGAAGCTTAGCTGGAAGACAACACTCGTTTTTGAAAACAAAGTATTGCTGTGGTCGCGAGAAGTTGCGCGTAGTCCAGAAAAATAAATCAGAGATTTAACTAAATTTGCAAGCATTCCAAGACTAAGATTTGATAACAGAAGAAGTCAATGAATCAACTATGGGCCAAGCATATGTACCTAACATATAACCAAATTTGTCAACAAATTCAACTCAATTTTCTGATATTTTTCAAGATGACAGACTTTCAATTCAATTAATCGGCGACAAGTCAAAACAACGCTCAATTAATCAACAATTGAAATCAATTATCGACGAACTTTTCGTTTTATTTTCAATAATGATGTTTAGAAACATGTGGTACCATGTTGTCGCGTGTATCTAATCGAGATAAGTATCGTCGAAGAAAAAACAAATAATTTCTCTTTAGTTCAAAGTCCGCGTCGTTACGTGTAGCAGGTTCAAAGCAGACGCGTTGGAATTGTAATATTAAAATCTAATATATTTTCATAAATGGTACCAATTTATATAAACTGACTTGGTGTGGACGAAGACGCGCCACTGAAAACAACATCACTTCTGGCAATACTGCTTTTGTGTGTTGTCTATACCGCTCATCTTCTGGTCATAACATTCTCAATTGCAAACTTCCTTTTACGTTTCCAAAGACTCTTCAGGGATCCAACCATACCAATAATAAATATATGAGTAGGTTATGCCATGTCGGGAATGAGCTCCATGAAATTCAGTAAATACATATGGAGAGTATTCTTGGAAGCAAGTGTGCGAAATAAATACAAAAATTCGTCAAATATTGCTATTAAGCAACAGATATACACATCCTTAGTCGTTGACTTATTTCCTATCCACATTTGGCTTGTTTCACGCTCATTATTCATTCTATAGTAGGTAAATAGTTTTCGCGGTGGTCCGGTGGACCGTATATTCATGGTGTAACTCCAGTATCCTCCGTTTTACCCTCCACTAGAAGAAAATTTTATCGCTACTGCATCTGTTTCTGCCAGGAAGAGGCGATTATAAAACTGAGACTATTTCCGAAGAGACTTTTGTATTGCAGTTGGGATTTTCATATACTTACTTCAAGTAAACGTGTATAACAATTTCATCATTAATTTCTTTCATCCGTGTCAACAGATATATATTAGTGGTATTCCCGCCTGTACGATGAAACGTCCTCTTGGTTCTTGAGAGGACGAAATCGGCCTTTTTTTGCTCTATGAATTATGATTGCAGTCATTGGTTATGTTATAAGACATTCTACAGACATTCCTGTCAGTTTGAGATGTTGATGTTTTAAATCTGAATGAGATTACTTATTCGAATACGGATACGATAAACAAGAAATTCGATTTGTGATTAATTGGAATTGTATTTATAACATTAGCAAGGGAGCGATTCTCAAGTATATAGACACGAATAACAAAAATTAGTTATACGGGTAAGCAAGCTGCCAAAACTACCGATACCGTCACGACGAACGCGGACCGCCACAAGGTGCGCAATTTTTGATGGCGTCATTGCACACGAAAAAAACGGATCCCATCGAGCCACCCCACAGAAATTTTTGAAATTAAAAAAAGTAATAGCCTTCTAGCGAAAAATAGAACCTTAATCACTAAAAATTGGTAAAGCAATTGGTTCAGTAATTGATGAAAAAGGCGATTTTTCATAGGAATAAAAATACCAACAAGACAACAACAACATAATGTTCAATAAAGATAACTGTGTTTTATAAAGTGTATACTGCAAAAAACGAAATGACAACATATATTTCTTGGTCATACGGGTATTCAGTTATTTTGTATTTAATCACAGCCACAAGACAGTTTTGCATGTTAACAGTGTATCAATTCGTACAGGTCTTTGTTCGTTTAGTAACAAATATTTTTAAGACTATTTCACATTATTAACAGAATCTCGGTCAAAGCAACACTTATGATAGATACGCTTCAATATAATAAGCTATTCATCGGTGACACACAGAAAACACGAATCATCGAATTTTCATAATTTTTTATTATATCATATATATAATTGGTCGTAATCTAATCATGTTTTGTTTTTAATATACCCAGCTACTGATTTGTATGAAGTAATAGACCAGTACTGTATTATTTCTGTGCAATATAATGAGCTTATAAAAATCTTTTGCGGCATATCACCCGTGACTGACCGCGCCTTAAAGTCGGTCGGTAGAAATTACTTAGTTTATTTAAATATTATGCTTGCTCGTCAAGTCGTTCCCCAGGTCTAAATCGAGCCATAAAGCAAAAATAGTCATCTATCAACATTTGACCAAACATTATTACTGACCAGAATTGTGTATACGATGCGTTTTTTGATTCACCATAAAATATTTAAAAAACAATGTTGCATTTTATTTTACCACGAAAAAGTTGGCAACCCAATATTTGATACTTGAATTTGAGGTATCGGAGAAGTAGATATTGTCCCGATAGATATCAGGTGAATATTTTATAGCGAGTGTTGTAACAGAAAGAGAACTTGCTAAACACTACGTTAAATGTGTTGCGAGATGAAGCTAGATTATGAAGTTATCATTTTGAGCTAAATGTCATGAATAGTTTTTAAACGCTCACCAAGCTTCTGTATGTTAACATAATTTTTTTGGTAGAATTTAAAAATCAAACAATTTAAATGTAAGATACATAGGCATGGAAGAGTACGAGCAAGATTCGCTCAAAATTGACGATTTTGATACGATGTGGCTAATTAGGTTACGATGAACGGTAAATGTTCGCCTGGACATCTGAATATATATACAAGTAATAGGTATAGTAAATAAAAACGAAATTTCGTGAGATGACCAATCCATACTGTTGTTTTTGTAGAAATTTTACGTGATGCAACTCACCAGAAAAGTGAGAATTTATTTTATAGTAGTTAAGATACTTATTGATCCATATATTCCATAAATAATTGTCATTCTACCGTTACTATCATAATACTTGATAACTTATATAATCGTATTGGCAAGTCTTATATTTCAAATTATAACTTTGCCAATACAAACATTACCCATTTTGTAAAGTAATGCAAAATTCCGGAACAGTGGAAATGTTTAAGTTTTACCGCGGTGTATGGTTTGCGGTTATTTCTCAGAAAGCATGAGATTTGAGAAATATAAAAATTCCTCCATACTTATTAATTTTAGTGTTAAATAAGTATTGTTAGGTGCGGACGCTAATGATCTTTGGTTGTATGAAGCTAGGTATACGATTTCATTAGAATACTTGCAAGATAGTGATATAAGATAGAATATAACAATTTATAGTAGGTTTCACCGCACATAACAATAACTACCTAATCATTTTGAGCCATAGTTCAAATATGAAACGCTAGGCAAAAGGTTAGAGCATGCGTATGGAGCGAGGTTAGTAGTAAAATTGTTCGTCCATCCAAAAAAAAAGTTTCAAAACGAAACTGACCTAGGGTGGGCTTTAGCGGGCGTTAATTACTCGGCTATATTTTTAGAAATGCAATACAGTGCTGAGCCGTAGCGATCAAGAATGACAAGTTTCGCTAAAATCACATTTTTGGCAGTTGCTGATAGATTTTGTTCTTGTCCGCATTATGTAATACTTTTGTCCAAATTTTGAAACGATGAATTGACTACGGTTTTTGACAGCAATAAACAGTCTGAAAAATTCATGATTTTTGTTTGTACAAGGAATCCGAAACCTTCATCACCTCATGTCGTGATAACTCGACGCTAGAAATATTATATATAGTTTAGTCGTTGTTTTAAATTATGCATTTGTTATTTTCAGTATTTTAAGTTTAAAACGATTATAGCAATCAATTTGCCAGTACTTAAGCATAAAGAGCTTATGACAGGGCGAAGACAGAAAACTCTATTTGCCACGTTCATTTGACAACGAATATGCACAACACTTAAACTTAGGATGCGAGCTCAGCTTATAATTGTTTTAATGACGTAAATGAATTATTGATTTTAAAAATACCAACTTGAACCTATAGATAATATCTGAGCCTCAATATAATAAAAATTGATGTACCTACTCTATTTTGCTTATAATAGAATATCTTTGAAGAATGAGAAACGTGAAAGCAAAATTACTGATTGCAATCTAGAACTGAAGATTTCGAGCAGATATGTTTGAATAAGATTCATTTAAGCATACATAAAACAGTTTTAGAAATCGGGATCTTCTGACCGACATTTATGTTGAACTGCAGCAACGAAGTTTCGTATAATCGCTGCTGACTGTAAATGGCAAAATTATTTATTTCATATTAATGTGTTTCATCAGTGCATATTATGATGTCAATGACATTTTATGGGTGTTATGCATTATGACTTTATACAGCGCCATATTGCCGAGGTCATCAACAAGCTGGGTACAAAGTAATGCTGGTTGGTTGAATTGGGCTTCGCATTGTATTGACTGAGGTTCGAACTCAAATTTGTGAGATTTGATATATATATATATATATCAGCATTTTGTCCACAACAGTACTTGGATTCCATGTATTCATACTAAGCCAAAACTAGTAACGCCCCCACATCTTAGTTAGGCAGATTTTTTAGTTTACCAAATTTATGCGGATAAATGAAATATCAATTCAGAAGAGAATAATTTTAATTGGGATTTGGTTATTTTTCATAATTATTATATAGTCTTAGTATAGATCTTGCGCTATTGCCCATGATTGAACGCTAACATTAAAAATAGACGGTGATCGACAACCAGAACTTGGAATATGGCTGAGAAATCAAAAACGAATAAAGAGGAATCGGAATATGATTTCGAATTTGTCAGTTCAACAACACTACATGGAGTATACTTTTGTTACGTCAGTCAATCGAAAATTGCAAAATTCTTCTGGGCCATTCTGATTATAGGTATTCTGATAATAGTATTTGAGATGTGAACGTGTCGTGTACAATTTGCACCATTGCTGTCATTTTTAATTATACACGTACAAAAAGAGTGTTCTTCATGGCAAACTATAGTTTCAATTGGATAATCTATTTTCTATATGTATGGCGCGCGATTAGTGGAGAACGCCATTTCAGACAAGGCCACGCGCAACACCTTACAACGTCAATACTGAAACGTGGCTACGACACGCGGTTGTCATGTTTGTTGGATTATGAATGTTCTTTAGTGAATATATCGAAGTCTTTTATCTAAGGTATGATTGGTATATTGTTCTGGCAAATAAGCATTCGAATCAGAGAATACTTGGAATATGCAACAAGCACCGACATTTCGGAAGAATTTGTTTCATATCTTCCATTTCCTGCTGTCACCATATGCAGTTTTAATCGGTAAGTTGGAATAATCAAACGTTTTATGTTTCTAATTGAAATCAGGTTTGTTTTTATCATTTAAAATAGTTTAAAATCTAGAAGTTAAAGTAATAAAGAGTAATACAAAATGAATGATATCAACATTGTACCATATATAACTAATGCCTTATTTCTCACTTATTTAATAGCAAGTATTTTAGTTTGACCATTTATTTTAATGTGTTGTTCAACTTTGTCAAAATAGTATAGTTTGGATTAAGGAATTTTACGCTACTTGCTACAATTACCCTAAATAAAATTGACTCATTCGATTTGGACATCTCCAAACATTCTTGCCCGGTATTTGGTATATAAAAATTCCTGATGTGACTTAATACTACTCCAGTTATTTTGTGGCGTCTCCGAACCTCCGAACACTTCGAGCCATTCACACAATAAACCAAATGACATCGTCTTCGTACATGGCTTATGCAAAGAATAATAACATGAAACCAAATATCTCGAGAATAGATGGATTTGGCCAAAACTTCGATATAAAGACATTCACAAACAAGCGGGGATTTTCTATTGGAGGGAAATTTATGCCACAATGCCGGTAAGTAGTCTCAAACACGCATCTGAATTTATTGGAATACATTTCTAACATTTTTTTTGAGACTTTGGCACTACTTTTATAAATACATAATGATATATATCACCAAAATTTCAAAGATGTTCAATGGTCTAATTCGAAAGTGTTAATCTATTTGCGTATGTATGTCTACCTACATGTTTTATTCATAAGCATAAGTGATCGTCATTTTGATATAACATATTTAGGGAGATTTTCAGAAATGATAAATCAGGTAAATGTAGTTTAAGGTATTATTGCAGGTTCAAATCGTCTGATTGCGATCTGAACGACTTCACTACGATTTTTACGACGTTGGGAAAATGTTATACATTTAATGAAGGGGATTATAACAAAACTCAGAACATTCCTGGCTCTGGTCATGGTCTGTCGGTAACTCTAGATGTGCGACAAGACTTGTACACCGAACAACCTTTCCTTGGAAACTCGGAAGCAGGAATAAAGCTACAGGTTTGCAACTTTCTTGCAAGAATATTGAATAAACATTTGATTTGTGTATTTGTTAACTTATATTTATAAATATTGGACGTGTTTAGCTAATCTAGGGATAAATATCGAGGTACATTTGCTATAAGTAAATTCTAATTGACATTGCTAAAAGATCAGAAAATAAACCATTATTTTATTGCAAGATGTAAACATTTTTTTAAAACCAGCAGCAATTAATTTTTATCACATATAATATACACTTGTTTAAAATTAATTTAGTTGATGTCACACCTTTCAATTTCTCGCTTTTCATGCATATTTATTCGTTTCAGACCAGCGTCTTCAGGTTCAGATCAAGTTACTTTAGCGAGATTTAAACCCATTTGTACTAACTTTGCCACGCAAAGGGATAGATTAACAGATGGCGTGATAACGTTTGCAAAAAGCGAGTCTTGCACTAATATATTTCGTTCACCATTGTCAAAAAGCATATTTCTCACCGTGAGAAAAGGATGAAGTGAAAATAACATTTAAATGCTGCGGTCTTCGTTGTTGCCACACCCACGTCTAAAAAATATTGATTTAGGTGGAAAATTCGTCACATTGAATAAAAAGTTCTGGTTTTGTGACTGAGCGTTTTTTATTAACATTGCAGATACATCCACAACACGATGTTCCAGATGTCGAAACGTTTGGAGTATCAGTTCCAGTTGGTACAAAAGCGTCAATAGAAATAACTCGATCTGATTACAAATTAATGTACGGACCTTGGGGACAGTGTGATCCAAATAGGGAGAATCTGAAGTATTTTTCAACCTATAGCTTGAATAATTGCATGAATGGTGAGTTGTAAGTTGGATGTAACTTTATTACTTACTTAATTTAACGTTAATTCATTGAAAGCATAATATTAAACAGACGATTTCGAAACGGCCCTATATGCCGCGGTCAGTCATTAGGTTCCTTATACGATATTCTATATAAACGTCAGATCAGTCTAATTTGCTTGCGAATCGTGAAGTTTTGTTTCATTACCACTGTTTACCAGTACATATTATTATATTCACGGTACACTACTTTCTCAATTTTAAGGCACCAAATGTACATATTGCTCGTCCTCTTATTATTTTGTTGTTCTTGTTAGTCATTCTTGTCTTCCTCTTGTGAAAAATTGCTTTATAAATCACTAATTACTTTGAAATCCTCAATGGTCAAGATTGTATTATTCGCTATCATAAATTTCTGCGAGGTCCATGGGATTCGTTTTTGTGTGCGATGACGTCATCGAAAGTCCTGAAATCACAGCGCTTCTATGTAACTGAATAAAAATAGCTATTCGTTTCCTTGTATTGAAAGGAAGCTAGTCGATAAAAAATTACGTATTGATGTTCAGTAAAAGTTTATCATATTAGTTTTTTTAAGAATGCCTCACGGACATGGTAGTGAATGAATGTGGCTGTCATTTATTTACGCAATATTGGGCTGCAAACTTTTCCAGAGAATGTACTGCTCAAGATATGTATGACTGCGCTTCTGCATATGCGGTTGCAATGCAAGAAAATGTAAGTGATCGCTTATCTGCAATAGATACAGTATTGGGTTACAGAAACCATACGATACAGCAAATTACTTGTCGTATTTCACTGTTGGTGCACGAGTATCAGCTATAACTAGAGATTTGTTCAAAAATATTTTTTACCTGTTTTGTTTAAAATGCCTGTTTCATTTGCATCTTTTGTATTAGATGGGTTAAAACAATAAAAAATGAACGCAAAAACTTGCCTAATCAATTATTATCGTCAATATACTCTTCGAAACTCCGTTAAGTATCTATGACTTGCCCGTACACACCTTATCAAACTTTAATGCAAAAGTGTTGTCAAACATTCCACCACGCGTTGGAGTTATGACCCGACTGGATCCTAGACGGCGAGTTTCGATCCTAATTGGGCAATCTCGTAGTCGAACATTGGCGGCCACCTCATTTGTCAAAAGGGGGTTATCTGTACCGTAACGAGTTATTTACTAAATGTCCGATAGGAAGAAAAGTTGAATACGACCTCTCCATCGCAAAATTACACCTGATGCAATGAAGGTCTATCCTCACTGCAGAAGGGCTGCGTGCAGGTATTGCGACAAAAATATTGCTTGACTAGTAGATCGCATGACGAAAGTAAAGTTTTTTGCATTCTTATTTTTCGGTATACCCTGATGCTAAAATTGGATTGCCCCAAAAGAAGTTATGAAGTATGTAATACTGCAACAATTTATTCAAAAAGATTTGTTTTTAAAACGATTGATTTTGAATATTTTTCACCTATTTTGTTTAAAATGGATGTTTTTATTTGTTTTTTTTTTGTTTGTATTGAATGGGGAAAAACAGAAAAATATGAAAGCGATTCTTATTGTCAATATACCCTTCGAAAGGCCACGAGTAACGACGATCGTATTGTGTTGTAAAAGCCCTCTCAAGCTGTTGCGCAATACGTCCACACATGTAGTGTCCTTGTTTTGAAACAGACTGTTTTTTTAGAAATGGAAAAAACCTCAGCTATGACGATCCGCGCGCGGGACGCTCTTTAAGTAGCATAAGATGTTAAGTGCGGTGCTAATCTCGATCTGTTTGCTCAGAACAAGGCTCTGTACATTCAGGGATTGCAGTATGCACGAGTCCATCGGTTGAATCATGACCTACTGGGGACTCGAATGGACTTGGTTTCAATGCTTTAATTGTTGGACCTGACACAGTTAAAATTTGACTCGAATCGTTTCCATTCAAGATTCAACTTGGATTTGGGAAATTTGTATATAAGTGTATTGGTACCTACTAGAGATGTATCTACAATATCGCCATTTTTCCAATATCACCTAAATGTAAGTTATTCATCAGCCAAACTAATAACTTGGCTGCTTTCGCTACACAAATTTTATATAATAATTTAGAAAGATATGAAAAAAAATATCAATCGAATACTATTTTCCAATGTCTGAATTACAAAATATGGCGCTACAGAAGCACAAAATCCTCCACACATCACTCAATGTAATAGTTTAACACAGTGGTTCCCGAAGTTGATTGACCGGGAGTCAAAATTAAAAACAGAAAGATATTTGCGGGCGGGGCAGGAGAGTGCCCACAACGAGTCTATACCAGTAGAATTGAACTGTTATGATATATACTCGTGCTTAAAATGAGATAATGACGTAACAATTGATGGTATCTAGAACAAAAAATGAAAAACTTTTTTTTCTTCAAGTCCTCCTCATCGGCCATCTTCATGTTTCCAAGTCGGTTTTTGCACCGTACCTACTTAATGTATTCCAGCATCCATCAGTTTATCTTTCTAAGGAACGCTCGCAAAAAGGTTGCCAAAAAGCTTATAGTTTCAACTATTTCGTGAGATTTCTGTCCATTTCAAAACCACATCCGCACCCTGACCAAGTTCACTTTGTTTCCCATCGCCACCCTGGTACACTAAGCGAATTATGAATGCGATAGCTCAATTTCATGCTAGTTTTTCGTGTTTGAAAACCTATAAAACAAGAATCTGTAAACAATTTTTTCTTTTAGTTATCATCTACCGATTGCAATTGTTCGATACCATGTACTTACACAAAGTACGGATTGACGATATCTTATTCAACATATCCAAACCTACCAACAATGGAATCTTTACAGGTTGGGCGTTGTAACGGATACCCCTTGTTTGTTGCAGTAAATTTGTCGCCCATATGTTCAAAGTACAATATCCTGCTTACCGCTCGTACAATCAGTTCATTTAGGTTTAATAGTTTGTAGGTCATAGAATATTTGCTTCATTAAATGAGTGGTTAGTCCACACTTACTCGACTTAAACTTTTACTATCGGCTATACTTTTACTATATATACGCAATTTGACCAGACCTTGCGGTTACGCCTATTGGGACAATAAAAATAAAATAATCAAGTAGCCTACATAGCATATCATCAGCATGAAAGTTATGGGTCAAGAGAGAGGCCTCATTATACCAAGAACGTGCTCAACAACTACCCTCGTTTACCACTCTATATAAATTCGCTCTTTCATTTTCAGACTAGAATGACAAAGGATAAAACATATGTTCAAGGAAATTCAATTCAGTTTGAGATTTACTTCAATAGTATGAGCTACAGCACATTCAGTCAGTCTAAAAAAGTTGATGAATCAAGTTTAATCAGTGATCTAGGTTTGTATTTCGTTAAGTATTTCATGTATTTGTGCAGTCAGATAAGCAGTAACCGTAATTCAGCACACTGCCAAGCATCCATCAATTTTAAATAGTTATGATTATAGGGCGAATTTTACGTGGAACTATTGCATTGCGTAGATTCACCAATGCGGGTTGGTTTGAATAGGAATGACGGCGGTTAACAATCAGTTTTGGAATCAACAATATTTCAGCAGAAGTAATATGCATCAAAAATTATTTCCGTAACTTATACCGTAAAGGCGTAAACCAATATCAAGTCACAAAAACTCATGACATTAAACTGTCAGGAATGTGTATAATCACACTAGAGAAAAACCTCCACTAAGCTACCAAAGAGTTAAATCAATTATTTTAAAACTATATTATATGATTGTACTAAATTTTAGATTTTGAATTATTTGCACTACCCAGGAGGGCCGAAATGCTATAGAGATAGATGGAGATTGTCTTCTCTATTTATTATAAATAAGTTCTCTTTAATTCAGGTGGACAATTGGGTTTATGGCTTGGAATGAGTTTCATTACTTTGGTCGAAATATTTCAATTTTTGGGACAAAAAGCAGGCAGAACGTCATACAGAAGAGTTTCCAGAAAAGTAGACAAAAGCGTGTCCGCATAAAACAACGAAATCTACTTACATGAATTGTATCATGAATCTACAAGAACTTGATAACGATAATTAATTTGTAGTTCATCACGTACTTCCAGCGCGGCGTTACGCGATGTATAATATCTTTAAGATTTTTTCAACAAAGAAAGCTATTTCCAAAAAGCAAGTCAGTCAATTCACTACAAGGGACTGAAAAATAGCCAACGTTTTGTAATCAGTTTTATTACTAAAATATGATACATGGTAAAACGTATTCACTGCCTAATCGCGGTACCATATTAGTTTGCAAAAACCAATAATACAAAACGAATTTTTTTTTGAAATATGGAGATTGTAAATAACTAAATCAAACCTTGATAAATTTATACCAATATAGAATTTCATATTTTCTACAACAATCGACCATAGCTAAGTCTAAGCAGTAGTGCCACATTTGAATATTACGTGAATAGGCTTTGGTAAAAATGAGACTTTTTGGTGCTAGGCAGAATGGATCATGAAAATAGTACGTATTTTAGAATAAAAAATAGCTGTATCACACTAACCAAACTGTCTTCTATACATATCTTAAACGTAAATTTTTGAACAACCGTGTGTTTTTCGATTCCAGATACCATTCTTTTTCCGATTCTTAAATCCCAAATTATAAGGAGATGAAGGTTTTACAGTGGTAAAATCTTTGGGAGAATGTTTTGTTCAGTCGAAATCGAAACACTGCTGGTCCGTATGAATGACGATATCTAGGAAAATGCTCTTGCTAACATGTCTTTGAGTTGCACAAGGCAGATTTCCTCGATAACTTCGATTGTTCCTTCAGTTAGAAAAGGGCTTCCTTTGTTTCTGTGGTCAATTATGAGACTACCTCTTGCTAGATGTCCGCCCAACTCTACGCCCATGCGCAATTTACGCGACTTCTTTACGCAGTTGGGTTCCAAGGCAACGCAAACTGCGTAAATATCACAAATAGTGTAACCACGTAACAGCCCCTCAGAAATTTTGTGCAGTTGTATGTTCTGACATCTTTTGTAAATTTCGCGAAAGAATGTTCGTTTTTTGTCTTTACCGTTTAGTAGTTGATCTAACCAATCGACTGGAACAGCATGATCAAGAGTAGTTTCGTATGTAACCAAACGAACAAGGCAATGCTTTGAGAATGAGCGCAATGTCATCTGTGCAGCTTCCGGATCAACGTAAAAGTTGTATTCCGAACAAGGAGTTATATTTCTATGTCCTCTTAGAGTTCCACCAAGTATATGCAAGGCTTTCAGTCGCTTGGTCAGATCTGGGTCAAGCCTCACGGCAATCGCAATGTTAGTAAGCGGCCCAATCGCAAGAATCTGTAAACAAATACACCTTACAATAGGAAAATACGAACCGACTGCGATGACATGATATCTTATCCGGTTCTACATGACTATAGATTCATTCGAACACAGTGCTGCAATTTCGAGGATTGAAATACACTTTATCGTTTTCAGCTAATGAAAAATCCCATTCTGGAAATCATTCATGACCTATTTACACTATATAGATGGATATCATCAGGCTTGTTCATGGGAGATATTTTTCTGTCCCATTCCAATCCCATAGCAATTACGCCCGTCCCATTCCATCCCATGGGATTCCCTTAATTGTTAAATTTAGGTTTAGCGTCCACTAAATGGGACTACATGTACGAATAGACATGCAAATAAACAAAATTTACGGACTTTGTTAACTTTATATTCATAACTATTATACATGTGTCCATCAGCCCCTTCACAAGTTATATTGTTAATGCAGAAGATATTTTGCTCTTTATAACTAACAAGAGAGCTATGCTCAAATATATGGACACGAAATCCATAACGAAATATTTTACCATCATTTTCCTGAGAATGACACGGTTTTCGTGTCCCATGGGAAATAGAAATGTGTGCTGTCCCATCCCATGGGACGTTTTCGGATTCCCATGGACAAGCCTGGGTACCATTGCAAATAATATTAAGAAATTATTCTGCGACATTTTTGAAACTTTCAGCTTTTCTATTTCAAATTTTTCTTGACGTTGGTATATATATATAATATACTTCCGTAGTGAAGGGAATATGGGGTCAGAGTAAGGTTACACTTGACTCTTTGCGGGGCTGAACGCATACCGGATGAGAATATTGAGACTTCGTAAACTTCAAATTTCAGCCTACATCAATTAAATACTGTGATATAGACTTCGTGAAAACTTGGATATAAATATGCAATAGTTTACCGACCTCCAATTTTCCTTCATATTCTTTGGCCAAACGCATAATTGCATTCACACCATGTTCTTCCTAAAATGCGGAAAATGTAAAAATACAGTGGAATAAATATTGAATTTACGCACAATAGATTTTAGTACAAATACGATTTGTTCACAATTTCATAAATAGGGAAAGTTGCTCTCAGATATATTGTAAATGCGCTTGCTGTGAAAAAAACGTGGTTCGTTCCTGCTGTACATGAGGGTTAAGTGATTTGACTCGTGTCACTAAAACGTACGCTTTCTCTAGAAAAAAAAAAAAATGAGTTAATAAATGTCAATTTGCAGAAACCTGGACATGCTCCAGTAGCTTCTCGTCAGCACGAGGTTCAACATCTGGCACATCACCCATGCCATCTTTTCCGTGGAATGCAGTGGAGTCGATCGCACCTGGCATAATAATGACGGGATCACCACAACCTTTGAAAATGGGAACCTAGGAAACCAACGTTAAAGCAAATTCAAATGACAGTCAGCAAGTAAATTACGCCAACGTAATACCGCATTTAATCAATGCGGATTTTTATTTCAAATACACTAGTGCAAAATATAAGTTCTATTCTATGCGCTGGGTGTTATCATATACATGAGGAAAAACAAAGTACATTTTGTCATCTCACCTGATCGAGCATTCCACAAAGTTTAACGGTTTTGACTGTATTAATGGCAACTTGTTTAATATTTACATTCCCATTCACACAAGTTATTCCGACAACCTTTACTTTTGGATTTTGAGATAATGCCATCGTGATTGCAAAACAATCATCAACACCAGGATCACAATCGATCAAAATATATTTGTCTGGATTCATCTTGCTTGCTACAATTGACTCTCATGTTTCATAAAATAGGAAATCTTTAAATATGAACTATAAAGGCTTCGAAAAAGATTCAATATCCTTGAAATATTACCGGTATTAAGTTGAAGAGCTGCAGCACCTGCGTTACTCAAACCTAAATACGTTTCATTTAAATAAAACAGTACTGTATACAGAAGACTGGAATGCCATACCGAACCACATTCTGACTTTCGATGTACAGTTTTCAGGTGTGACCTACTTTTCATTGATCTATTACAACTAACTCCTCACTAGAGTTGGGTGGATGTGGTCCTCAAACTATAATTGAAAACAAGGTCATTAATTCAATACTGGTGGACAGCGTGCATGAATGCAACAGGCGCAATTTACCGTTTTCTGTGTCGCTACTAACCGAGTGCTACTGCTACTATCTAAACAGATCGGTGCATCATCGCGCATGCCGCTCTCTTAACGTTAAACAAACTTTGATTGAAGGGTGCAATGCATACAGTTTAACCGCAAGAACGTAGACCCTTGATCTGTCGGCTTTGTTTACAATTGAGCACTTGATACAATTTGTGTTGCAATCAGTATTGATTGAGCAGCGTCATTTCCTTATTAATTCAACCTGTATATACAACGGTGGAATAGTGTAGGAGAACCACAAGTCAATACATACCAAACATAGCTAAAATAAACTCTTTCAATTCTGTACAAAACGTAAATGGAACTTGAACGCAAAAAATACGGAAACTAGCAGGATCGGGTATGGTGAATTGGATATAGAATAACGAGATTCCAGCAGACCTAACCTGTGAACGAGTCAACTTCAAGGCAGAATGGGAATATTGGACGTCCCGGTTTCGGCGTAGAATTCTGGGTACGGGTATTCGGAATTGCACTGACAGTTGAACACGTCCGTTTAGGCGTCAACCTGCTTTAAAAACTTCATTCAATCAGTAACTAAAACACCCATATGATGTTACCCCGAGCATCAATTTCCTTGTTTATTTCCGTAACAACGACCGACCTGCATAAAGTCCGTCAACCGGCTTTCAAAAACTTCATCCAAACAACACCCCAATGGGATGTTTCCCCGAGCATCGATTTCTTCGTTTATTTCCCTAACAATGACCAATCAGCATAAAGTCCATCAACCGGGTTTTAAAACTTCACACAATCAGCTGAACTGCTAAAACATCCATAAATGTTTTCACAAAAGTCGATTTCCCTGTTTATTTCTGTAACCAAGAATAATCATCAATTTTTGTAGCCGCTCAAGACGCTTCGTCAGCTCAGGCAGACATACAAGCCTGGTTGTGATCATTGCCTCGTTTTGTCAGTTTTCAGCTGTTGTTATAAAAAAAAATCAAAATATAGTCCTAGAGAAGCTGCGATTAATAAAAATATAAATCAGTTCGTAGGTACCAACTCTCCAAAACACTCGAAAAATGGGCGTCCAAAATTTTGCAATTCTAAAGAATAACAAAATTGTTCTGGGGTCAAGCGTCGGAAAAACATCAAAATGAGCAAAAACTATATAAACCAATCAAAAACATTATTTTGAAGATGTTAAAATTTGTAATATTGTTCAATAAGACAGACTTATTTCGCTCCAAAATGTGGCTTTCAAAATGGACCCTACACCGTGCCACGTTGAATACCCCAATACCGTCATCATTTCTACTTTACAAGTCAGCCTTCTTTTCAATACACTTTCGGCTCGAATAAGTCTCAGTGCATATGTAAAAAGAATAATTATTTAAGAGCTGAACTATTTTGTATTGCATGTATTTTGTATTCTGAAATGGTATCATAGAACGTCTTCAATTGAAGTATCAGTCCTGCGAAACTATTTTTCGTCGGTCATAATATTCAAATTTGGCTTTAAAACGGACATAGCATTTTCATGCGTTTTCTAATCAAGCAAAATTAGTATTCAAAAAAATATTGTCATTTCTTTGGAATTGTTAATTTAGTAACGGTACCGATAATTTGTATTGTTCATGCGCCTCATTATTACGTTGCATACTTTTTAGGGAACACGTCAAATAAAAAAGTTAAATTGCAGTGAGTTTGGATGAGGTACGTAACATTTATCACAGTTGTAAGAGGGCACCGCAGATTGCTGGATATATACGATTTAACCCAAGAAATGGATACCAACACACTTCTCAACATCATAAAAGCTTTCACAGGTAGATATAAATTTTCAAAGCATTTTATACAATTGTCGAACCATCGTACAACGTCAATAAATGGCAATTGTTTAATCGAACTAAATTCAACGAATAAGTTCTCCTTGTCAGTGCAGATTGGATTATATTTTAAATCATCATCGATATTATTGCGAAGGTATCACTGCTTGGCGAGGTTCAAGCAATCAGGCCAATGTTTCGGCCACTAACTCTTTGAACTTTCCAACGTCTATTTCTTCAATCAGTTCAATCGCACCTTCCGTCAAATGTGGACTACCTTTGCTTTTGTGATCAATTACAAGGCTTCCTCTCGCTAAGTTCCCACCCAGTTCTACTCCCATGCGCAGCTTCCTAGATTTTATGATGCAATCTGGTCTCAGAACAACGCTTACTATATATGCGTCACAGATGATATATCCAGTTGAAATCCCAGCGGATATGTCTTCGAGTTCCAACATTTTTGGTGTCTTATACACTTCACGAAAAAAGTTACACTTAGCACTATCTTTCTCCAATAAATCATCAAACCAATGCGGTGGAAGAGGATGGTCCGTCGTTACCTCGTATGTCAGGATTTGTACTGGACATCGATGAGAGAACCCACGCAAAACCATTTGCGCCGCTTCAGGATCGGTGAAAAAGTTGTATTCAGAACATGGTGTCACATTCCCGTGACCTCTTATCGTACCCCCTAATATATGAACACTTTTCAATCGTTTAGGAAGATCCGGATCCAGTCTAGTGGCGAGGGCAACATTAGTGAGGGGTCCAATCGCAAGAATCTGATTGAAAGAAAATATAGTTATTTACTTTTTTTATGTCGATGTTTGCGAGAAGCTAATCTAAATAATCTAACAAGGCAAATGTTGGCAATAAAAATTCTATGAAGCTAAGAGAGAATAAAAACACATATAAACTTATATGCTTCTATCAAATTTATGTTTTGAAACCAAAATATAGAATAAAACATGCTGAATCCTAGTATTTATTGATTCGCAAAAAAAAACAGCCCGAGTCATGCCTATTCCCTCACCTATCGATCCGGAATATCCCATGGGTCGAAGAGTTTCGTAAAAATAGTTATACTCAAACAATCAATTTACCATGTGGATGATTTTGTTAGATTTCTTATCGACTGAACTTACTTGTAGTTTCCCTTCGTATTTTTTTGACAATCGAATTATTGCGTTAACAGCGTGTTCATCCTGAAAACATAATAATTTTTTCAGTACTTTTGAGTAAAGTGTAAAAAGATATCTAACAGCAATTGATGCCACCGACCTGAACATGTCTCAGTAGATTTTCGTCTGAACGTGGCTCGATATCCGGCACGTCTCCCATACCGTCCTTACCGTGGTAAAAACTTGAATCAATGCTGCCAGGCATCAGAAGAACCGGATCAGCGCATCCCTGGTAAATAGGCACCTGACCCAAATAAAAGCACAAAATATCAATATCCTCGAAATTGATAAAATATCAATGAGACGGCAATGATTAATATTGTTTTATTGTAATATATATATTTCGATTCGCACCAGCTTAAAATTAGCCATGTGAGTTGAAATAAGTAAAAATAACATGATCTCTTTCAACGAAATGATAAGTATATTTGTGAGCTTTCGTAAGATCATGGTCTAACTTCTTCAAACAATACAAGATATAACTTAATAACAGTAATCCCATACTTACCATTTCGTTGAAGAGATCAAGTTATTTTTACTTATCACGTTAATACTTATACTACTTCGTTCAAGCATCCTTGTGGCAAGTACCACATACGGATCCGAAGTAGAAAGTAAACAAAGAGAAAGGGCCTGAGGTTCAATACACAATATCCAAGTTCCCCTAGTAAGTTAAAATAGTTATGATTTAAGTTCATCGTTTCCCACCGCTTTACATTGGAAAATATTATTGATTAGTATCAGCACTCTTCACTCACACCACTGTGAGAATGGCACGAGTTTAATCTAGTAAATGATTAACTAACCTGGTCCAACATCTCGCAAACTTTTACAACTCGAACCGCGTTGATGGCAACCTGTTTGATACCGACGTTTCCATTCACACAAGTTATTGCAACAATTTTAATTTTTGGCCTTTGCGTTAAAGCCATCATGATTGCAAAACAATCATCGACACCTGGATCACAGTCTATTAACAGATATTTTTCGGGTTCCATTTTCTGATATTCAACTTTTTTTTTATGAAATGGGCTAAAGTTCACACTGAAATTCAAAAACGTAATGAACATTCGTTCAAACATCTTTAATGTTCGTCATTATAATGTTAATGCTACCTCGAATCAATGTATACTGAAAAATATATTTCAGTAAGAATGCGATATATGAATGGGTACTGCGAAAGCACAAATATAACACCACCTGATGAAAGATATTGAGTAGGTTCGCGCAATATAGCTGAAACTGCCATAAAAGCCTGTATACTCGAACAGCACTGTTTGATAAGCGAGCGCTGATGCGTGAACTTTATATACGTTCTCGACATGTAACGTGCACACATACACAATGTGACTGGCCAAAACGTTAGTTATTCAGCAATTTGTCCACCTGCTTCCATTTCGTCATTTCCAACTTATCGTAATGCAGCAAAGGCTGTCCTTTTCATTTTGCCACGTGATGTCAGCTGCGTCAACGTATGATACTATGATTTAACGATAAGCTATAGCTATCACCTATCATAAAGGCACATTCGTATATTATGTACGTATTGAGATGCATATCGCATTTTGACTTTCAATTGAGAGCGCACACGCCGCCGGAAGGATGGTTTTAAAAAGATTCAGTAAATACTTCGTGCTGCAACAAATAATATTTTAAGGTGCGCTGCACAGTGCTGCAATGTATTTCTAACCGATTTTCTTATGCGAGTAAGTAACGTGAAGTATATTGGTACCAACAAATTATAGTTGCATCGCATTTTGAAAAGATATATGTGCAAGTAGAAATTACGTTAATTAGAAGCGCAATCTCACCAAACGACAGGCACAAAAGATAACCCGGAACCTGGCATACTACTGTATGATATTACCTCTGCCTTTGCATGATAATGCCACACTGCGAAACGGTGAAGAAATTTAGAAATTGACGGCAATCGCCGAAATGCGAATGCTGTGATTATTCTGCAGACAACTCCCATGCGGAAAAAAGATCTAGGTGATTTGTGAAAAAGTCGGACGTGTCGCTAGTTTTGAAATGCCGTCGAAGTTGACATCTGGATTAGCCGTTGAAAAAAAACCTGCCACTCACCTTGTTATTTGGCATATTGAGAAAAGAAATATTGGTTTTCGAAGTTGAGGGAATGCTGGGAGCTGGTCACACAATTTGTTTTGAATTCGAGCATTTCAATCGTAATGACCTGTTGCGTGTGCATCATATGCTTCTTGTGTTTATGTTTATCGTAAAATGCATGGCCATTATATAACACCATGGTGTAATATATACACCAGTTTGGTTTTTAGAACAATGTAAGGCCTAAATTTTTGTGCTTACATATGGCCGTGTTTATCACTGATGATTTTACTCAAATGTTTCAGTAATCTCGAATATGTTCGAAATTCCGTCCCTGACGTTGGATACAGACTTGCATCTTGTGCGCAAAAATTTCACTCACTCGTACACGCTCCTCTATGGGGATTTCTATGATTCTTTCTGCAGTTGCAGCCTCGACATTCGTTCCGGCCGTCGTCGGGTGCGGACGTGTCTGCTTGAAAAGACTAGAGAATGCTAAGCACTGTATGTTTCGGTATTTGTATCGCGTAATATCAACACGGGCAAAGCCCATCCAACGGAATTAAAGAAGTATATGAATAAATAGACTGCTATGGAACATTCAATCTATTTGCCGAGCTTGTTTTTTAGTAACAATTTTTTGTCACTGTGTTATTTTTGCAATGAAATTGAACTAGGCCTACAGCATCGCCGTTTTACGTCAGCAAGTGTTTTTTATTCCATAGTTTTGTAGGAAAAGCACTGTTGTGTTACACATACACGTCTCACATTTTAAATTTAATTTAAAAGTATTGCCTGATTTTATATCGTGTTTTTGTTTTATTGTGTTTGGTGGACGGGCACTTTAACTTTTTTATTAAGTTATGCTTGTCTTTCAGGTCCTCTGTATTTTGTTTGTTGTTGTTTTGTATTTGTTTATATCAGAGTGAACAAATAAAATTGATTCATTGAGTTTACCAGTTGTTTGACGATTACCAACTTTCGTGACCTTTGACCGATGCTGCCAGCAACGTTTTTTCTGCTGTTTGAGGGGACGCTCGTTGCGGAGAACGGTACGTCAGTTAGCGTGTTTGTTTTGTGTGTTAGTTAGTGATTATTCATACAGAAAACGACAATTTACACAAACTTGATTTGAATAGATAGCAATATTAGTGAAATGCAAGAAATTAATATGTAAATGGCATTTGAAATTTAAGAGAATAACAAAACTTTATGCGGCTGTTTAGTTAGATCACAATATTTTTCACAAACTACACCTATCTAAAAATATGCTTCAAGTATACATTATCAAAATATATCAAAAACTGTTTGCGGCCCTTGGCACAATTCCCAAAATGCAATGTGGCCCTCAGAAACCCACAAGTTTGACACCCCTGTGGTAGACTTACAGCCTCCACATAGATTATTGAAGAAATTTATGTCTCAAATTTACAATGAATTGGGATCTGGTCATATTACTCTGGTTTTGGATGCAACAGAATTAAAAAAGAAAAAGTTATTTATTTAAATTTGAACACAATGATTTTGTGCTTTATTTTGAGTTTCCCAACATAAGTAGGTTCAAAATATATTGCAATAACATGAGAACACAATTCAAATATCCCAACCAAGCATGTTTAGCAACATAGCAAGGGTAGGTAGACCTTGTGTGAACTTTACCACAGCTCCTCTTGATTGTATCGTAACCATCTGAAATATATTGAGAAAAACATATATGATAAATCAGGTGGAATGCAAATTTTTTCATCTAATATCTATGCAGAACACCGAACGAATCATGAATTGTATAAACATTTTAGGATTGAAAGTGATTACAGCACTTACAGTCGTGATGAATTGATTTTGCTTTATCAAATATGACATAGGCTACCTAAAGCAGCTCATTCTGAATTTTCTATTACTTATATAATCACCTTTAGACATATAAAGCTCGAATATGTTTCTGTTCCCTGCATTTTTGATGGCACGCAATGGCCCGGCTGACATTCGTTAGTTGGTGGTAATAAGTTCACTGAGGCTGCCTGCCTATGTCACGGTCAGATTTAAACTTCTTCATAGTTCATGACTGTAAAAAAAATTGGTATTATATAAAATAAATAAAAGAAACAGACATGTCATATCCTTATTTAAGAAACTTTGTCTCATTTCACCCTGCCATTAATGTACTGTACATATTGAAATATATACTAAAATATCTGGTTTGTTTGAAATCCACATGTGTTGTTATTTCATCATTGGAGTCTTTTGGCCCAATGCTATATTTGAAAGGTTTGTCATACTATATTTTGTGGGATTTATGTAGTTGAGTCAGCAACAGCAGAACAGTTTTTGATATTGTGATAAGTGATAATTCAACTTTCAGACTTTACAATACCGTATATATAGCAATACCGTGTTTCCCTCTTATACTAATTTTCCTTTGAAAACTATAAGGGCTAATTTTAGGAGGATGACAATTTCTTATCCAGGCATTGATAACACAGCAGTCTGTGATTTTGTTCCACGAATTTGCCTCCCAAGTTACAATCCCTCCTAATTTAGGCTCTGGACTAGGTATTGTTTCGAGGGGAGGGCTTATATTGAAATCATTTTTGTAAATCAGGCTAGATCTTATTTTCGGGGAAACACGGTAGTAAGCAGTTGTACCGGTACAGACTAACACAAATTGAAATACTGTATGACCTGAGGACTGCACTTAAAAGTTGATAAATCAAGTTACCAATACAGTACCGTACGTTACCACGATCTGTTTGTGGGTTGGTTTGAGCTAGGTACGGTAGTGGTGCATTGGTACCGCCGCCGAACTTGCTGCCAGATACTGGTACGCGGACATCCTCATTTAGTCAGGATACTAAAAGTAGTACCGTACTTTAAACCATCAAAGAAGATAATACGACATACCTGATCTAGTACACTCCCGTTGCAACATTGGCACTCAACGAAACAAAAGCTCAAACCTGCTTATGAAAAGCGAAAGCGCGCCTGGCAGCAGCCGTCACGCTCCGCTGACTCGTATGAATATTGGTAATTGTTTTGATGCACATTGTCCTTCGAATAATCCTACAGATAAAAACGTGTGGGGTTCAAGTCCGATGAATAAGGCCCACTCGACGTCACTGCTGACCAGTCTTTCATGAAATCGCTCTCTCGGCCAGACAAGGGTGTGATTTGATGTGTGGGGCCGCCTCGTCCTGCTGGAATCACTGCTCATTTCGATCAATCCCTCTACCTACAACGTCCAAGTGATATCCAGAACTTCTTCAGCACTATCACGTAACATTCCATTTTCTTTTCATTTCGTCTTCCAACCTTCCCCTTTCATTTTCGTCATCCAGCTAATACGGCGGACCGATTGTGCCATGTTTGGAAATAAGTACCCACTCCGTACATCTTACTGAGTTTGATGGTCTCTTTGAGACTTCCTTCGGAGGCGCTATGTCCCAGTAAACATTATTGTTGCTATTGACAAGTCCAGACTGCAGAAAGTGCGCTTCAGGAAACCCAAGTGAATAACTGACAATTACGCGCAAACAAAATTAAAGAAATTTCTTCTTCCTCGTAGAAGTAATTAAAAATATTATTGGTTCGCCCTGTATTATCACAATGCCCACAAGCTTAAATCCCAATAGTATCTAATCTATTTTCCACTTCTGTTCTACATCGCATGGTGAGATTGTTCAATCACTTTTATATGGCATGTTCAAAACGCATTTGAATTGTGTTTGACTTGTGTATTGTCATTTTTGTACCATGTATCAAAATAAATTAACTAAGATACACTTTCCCAATGGTAGTAAACTTTTACCGGCAAGCGCATTTCATTTGTAAGGCAGAGATAATTTTATTAAAATACTAAGGAGAAAACGGTCAAAAATAGGGACAAAGTTCATATTTTCTACAATGAACCAGCAAAGAGCCAGGTCGAGATCATTGCTCCACCGCAAACAAAGTTTTAATAGAGTGAAATTACACTCCTGTATTGGCATGAATCATGACGTCATTAGTTTTAAAATATTTTTAAACTGTTCTATTCATGATTCTCGTTTAAACACGTTAGTTGCTTGGCTGCACGGAATACAGGTTTATATTGTGCACCGATGACAGAGAAAACTTTTGAACATTTTATTTTGAATGATAGTGTTTTATTGGCTTATGAAAATCCAAGGCTGCAAACGGGAATTACTCAACCCCAGAAAAGATAAACGGTCGGTAACTAGGAAACGTCTATAAAAAACCCATAGTTTACTTAAACGTGACGTGTTTCAAACAATTAACGTTACACGTATATAGAGAAGAAACATTTACACTTTGGAGGCGGTAAGCGTTTTATGGGCCCATCACCTGCTTCCCTGAGCACTTGGCAGCGCAAGTCTACGTGACCTTCTGTGCCAATCTATTCCTCAGGAATCAACGAAATTGAAATATATCTGATTACCCTATGATAGACTTGCACGTAATTGACAAAAATCAATTCCGTAATTACGGCCAAATCGATTACGTAATGACCCCGTAATTGCGATATTTTTTTCACACATTTAAACCTATCATAACAACCAATTTAATCTACTTCTATTCCGAATGGGACATCGAAGTTTGGTTTTCATATTCCCGGCAGTAGGACTACACGCCGGCGACAGATGTTAAAGAAAAATATCAAGGAGTGAATTCAAAATAATTTTATTCTGATTTTTATCTTTTGTATTAGTTTTGATTTTTTTTTACCCACTTTATCACCAACTTTTATGCGATCAATTTTATCATTAACAACACTGGTAATATATTTAAGAAACGATAGTTCGCTTTTTTAAAATCCTATCAACGTATTAATACGACTTTCGTATTAAATAAAAATTCCGGGTTGCTAATTTATTAATCAACTACAAGCGTATTCTCTCGTTTGATTATACTTTCGCTTGCCTCGCGACGAAGACTTGTTATTTCACCGTTTTTTACAATATCCGATTCTACTACTTAGTTAGCATTTTATATTAATAATTGATGCCGACTTATTGACGATATTCCGAATTCCATGCTTCATTTTACATTAAATCATTTCGCGGCCTAAAAGTTATAACATTATTTGCGATAAATTTAGATCAAATATTAATTATTTGCGCATTATTTAAAATACGGTACTTATATGACATGCCTTCTCCGAAAATACAAAGTTATATCGCAAAACAATGCATTTTGTGGCATTTATTTTTCTAATTCAAGTCGACAATCCTATTTGCCAAGATTGACACAAGTTTGGTCGAGTGCCGGTGGTATTCGAGTCGACGATGAATCAAAATAAGTTGCGCATTTGGTAAAGACAGGTAATCATATTTGGCCGACATATTGCGATGCATTGTGAAAAACATATTGAGCAATGCCAAGTCCGGACAGATATGTAACGATAAAATCGGTAACAGAACATCAAGATTTTGTAATAGAAAATGGATCTCGCGCAGAATAAACTGGGGAAATCCCGTCGTATTGTTGTTTCTCTGCCGTCTCAATCGCTTTACCGATGCCGAAATGACTAAGTTGCGTTGGTTCATTATGCAATTTCTTTTCCGTCTTTATATTGCTGTTTGATAAGCGAGACATTAATTATCACGGCATTTACAAATAGACCATGTTTTATAAGTTGATCTCTTACATTCTTTAGTCATTTCACCCGAAGAAGTTGAAACCAGGTGTGTTGACGTCCATCGGTCTCAACACAATTCTATTCCTTATCTACAGTTAATATGTACATTGGCCATCCTAGATAAGTTGATAATAGGTTAGTAAATGACGCGTTATGCCTTCCCCATCTGCCTAACAAGAGAGAGAAAACGGCTGCGAATACCGGAACTCTAACTTATTTTACTTAAACTTTAATTTTTTACAATCGACGGAATTGACTGCTCTGAAGAGAGCTCGTTTCAATCGCGAAAGCGCTCGACCAATAATTACGACTTTACGTAATTCGCAACTTCGCTTCCGTAACTCGAAATAATTCCGTAATTCCGTAAATTACGTGCAAGCCTACTCTATGAGTACATATAACTGATTAACTTGAATTCATCGCATGAAAGGATCAATGGAAGATTCAGTTTAATTCCAAATAAACACACTTGAAGAAAATAAATATCAAATTTAGAGCATGAATAAACAAATATAAAAACAGCGAAACCTTTATGCCAAGCTTCAGATCAAGCATTAACCTTACGTCCGTCAGAGTATCTGTGCAGAAGTTTGTGGTTCCATAAAGATATTAATAAGATTTAAATATCCATCACCCAGTAATGAGGAGCACCGATGAGACGACTGGATCATATGGCGAACAACTGCTTCTTGGCCGGTTTAACAGTACATGGGAATTGTTCAACTTTCAAATGCTCCAGTTGCACATACTTGGTTCCGAATGTGTTCATGGTCCACTCTGAATATCTCGGCACAGAGTGGAGCGTTAGAAATCTTCACCAACAGTAGGCAAGAGGAGACAAATATATTAATATATATCAACATTGAAAACAAAGCGAAAGAAGTTAGAAAACACTGGTGAAGATACAGAAACTTTGTAAAAAAAAAACACAGCACCTTGAAATAAGCTTATAAAAGTATCAAGACAATTATATGACTTAAATGAATGAATTCAAATATAAATTATTTTAATACAGGAAAGCACTCGGACGTGATAAATAAAGAACAGATCACTTTAAATCAAATCCTGCTTTCGCGAATATTGTGAGCCAACTAACAACTCTTACTATTAATTATATGTAAGACAAAAGTTAATAAAATTTGGCGCATGCCTGCCTTCTTATCACTAATGTGTCGGGTATACACATAAAAAGTAAAGTATTCATAAAATAGAATGTTCCAAACGAATGGAAGCAATAAGGAGAATTTTAAAGCAACTTTGTAAACTACAAATTGAGCAATAAATTCACATCACATTAATGGAAGAAAGTTATGTGTAATATGTGTTGAAGATTGAAAAAAATCCGAAACTTTGAACACAAGTGCAAAATATGAAGACATTGCTGTAGGACAATACTAGATTTTTAAGAATAAACTGTAATAAAAATGTAATATTTAGATTAAAAATAGAAAAAGGGCCACCAGCAAACAAAACTGTTAAAAGAGTTTTGATTTTAAACAGTACTTACCTTCCATAATATGCTTTTAGCTTTTAAGTTCACAAATTAAATGTTAATGCAAAGAAAAAAGATATGGTAGTATTTGAATTGTTCATATGTTACATATGATAGACCTTGAAAAATAAATATAATGCAGGCATACAATTAAGGGAATTGTTAGTTGCTTGTATATGTCAAAATTTTTGACCCCCTAGTCTATTTTTTGTATACAGTCAAGATTTATGGAAATTTCAGGACTTATGCAGTTGAATGAATAATGATGGGATCACTCAAAAAATAGTCCACATAATAATGGGGATAATCTTTCAAGAATAAAAAAAGCAAACAACAAGCATGTGTAATTTCATTAAATACAGATGGTGGTATACCAAAATATCACGACAAGCTAATAATAAACGAATTGACATGTTGGCACAGAGAAATTGAAGAAAATTTAGGTAGGAATATCTAAATTTAAAAATGCAGATATCAGTGGAGATTTTTGAAAATAACTTCAATTAACGATTTTACGCAGTGTCTAAGAGCAAAAAAATTACCATGAATAGAAAGTTGTAGCATGACACGAGTACAACAACCTAGTTGGAATAGTCGTTTTGGCATGGATTGGGTAATGGTAGGAACACAATAAGAATAAAAAGAGTAGTTTTACAAATATATCCCAGTGACAAGCCAAGTTGTGGGAAGTCACTATTACAACTTTTCAAGGCATCTTAATTGGGTTACACAAGCTTCTTGACTATTGTGATGTAATTGAAGTACAACTGTTTGCAAAATATAAAAAATGGTAAAAAGTTGAGGACATTCATGAAAGAGCATTTGACGCTATGTGATTTTCCATACTACTTTGGATTTAACCTATAAGTTGTATAAAATGTCTGAAAGACATATGGTTCTGAATACAACACAAAACACAAGTATACCATAAATTGTTCAATATGTATACAATGAAATACAATATTGGGTTGATGTGGTCCTGATCATCAAGTTCATTGACTTCTTCACACATCAGGCTATATAAATTCAATTTATAATCAGAGGCATAGAATTGTGCCACACATATTCTTAAATACTGAGAAAACCAAACAATATTGTGATATTGAACATATTTATGACTCAATCAGCCAGTCTAACTAGACCATATGTACATAGAATTGAGATAATCCTAAGTAGATGTACTACTGTAGAAAGTATGTACATTTACATCTGGTGAAAAAAGAAGCTTGTAATGATGACTGTTCAACAGTTTGTCAAATATTAACTCATAATTTATTGCCATGAAACAGTCAAAGTTCAAAAATTGAAGTACGGTAAAAGATATCACTTTGTCATTTCATAACAATTATTCGAAATGTACACGCACTCAGATACAGTAAACATAAAAGCTGCCCGGATTTCCCAGATAATCAAACTGGTGAAAGTGTGTACCACAAATTGCTTGCTCGTTACTATTATATTCTAACACAACATCTTGTTCTTCCACTTATGTATAGAGCTCTTTGAAGTGATGTATATTTATCTTCTGTACTAGAAATGCTGCTATTATCCGAGTCATCTTAATAACAAACAATAAAAAACAATGAGTAGGAATCATATTTTTATCTGTGCGCAGACAACATTGCTAACTCACCACAGCATGAAGTTGATGGTCTGCTGGTGCTAGCGGTAGTTGATGACTGTGAACAACCAGGTACATCAGATGCAAGAGAACTTGTGTCTTGATTTGTTGAACCTGAATCATGTCTGGGAGGAGTTCTTTGCAGGTAAGCGGGCATACTAGGATTAAAGATCGTAGTAGGATTTAGTACACATATCAAAATGATTCACAATTTTTTTGTCTTGCGATCCACATCATGGGACACAGAAGTTACCATATGGCCACACTATTCATTGATATTGCATTCCAAGTAATTTGCTTTCAAACTCGGTAGGAAATTGCTAACAAACAAAAACCAGTCAAATATTTCATAGTAGTTTTATTCAAACTAAAATCCAGGCACATTAACTTCAAATCAACTTCAAATTCTATCAATGAGAAAAATGTACCCTATAATTTTTTTTTTGCAATGTTTTTTTTAAACAAGATCTATAGTGCAAGTTGAGATTCTCATCACAGCCTACATATTAACATCTGTTAAGGAGCATATATTTTTGCTATTGTTAATCTTCATGCAAGAACTTTGCTTACAAATATAGTTTGGCTCAAACACAGACCACATTTACCATTACCACCAACTTTCTTTATGCCTGGGAATTTTTCAGAAGAAAAGGATCTATAAAAGTCAATCAATGTCTTCTCATGAAATAATTTTTTTCAATGTGTGATCTGACTGCAAGCCAATCAGTTCATAAATTTTACTGAAAACTGATAGTCATTGCAGTCTGGAGACATTAATTTAACCTATTATACAAAAGAAAAAAGAGTTACCCATTAACATTATTGCATGATTTTTTCAATTCGGTACAATTATGATCTTGCAGTAATGCGTGTGAAGCATTGTTATTGATATTTTGGTGTTCTTCCATTGCCAACTGAAACACATCATATATTATCGCAGTGGCAAAATTTTTTAGTGTAAGAAACGCAGTCATCTGCCGCCAAATCAAAACATGCGAAGAGACAAGTAAAATACAAATACATCCTAATACAAGAAAAAAATAATGAAATACACTGTTTTTCCACCGTTTTTGAATCGCGGAACACTTTTCATGTTATAAATTAGTTAGTGTATAAAAAGGATAAGACTGATGACTTGAAAAAATCAAATTCAGGGTTACAGCACAATTAAAAGATTTTTATCCTTCAGACACAAAACTCTCAAATATCAATGAGAATTACTAAGATAAGCTATTTGTAGACTCAAATAGCAACGCCATTTTAAAATGATATAGAGACTCGCTTCGATGAGAACAAATCTATTCTGGAGAAGAAGAACGCGTAGTTCTCCAACGGTTCTCAGTTGCATTTAAGTTTAATATACCTAGCTGTGTGCATCATGAATAACTGCATACAATCTGAAAATCTCTAACTCCTAAATAAATTTCTTTAATGATGCCATTAAGCTCAAAACAGGCTTCTGGGATCTCAAAGGTCGATGTTCTCACATGTCCATTGCCGGTGCAATGATGACTTAGTAATAAACTTAACAATTATGTAACAATTGAAATTTGAGCTGCCACTCAGAATTTGATATTTGTGGTAATTGTTAGATTCTAGTAGTGGTTCTAAAATTTAGATAATCGGTAAATAAAATAATTTAATGGTCATTTCGTTTTTGAAAAAGTTATAGTTTAGTTGCAGTGATCAAGAATTTGTTCCAAAAAGCAACGATAGTCCTGGATAATATTAGCTATCAGCCCTTTTAAATGACACTTTGTCAAATATTTTACATCATAGTGATAGGTATTATTATTATGCAATAGACAAGCATGGTCAAGGTCTATAAAACTGGACAACCGATTGAACCGACTGCACAACCGATTGAAAATCACTGGCGTAATATATTAATCTGGCAGCTACGATTTACTGATATCAAGTACATAACAATAATCTATAGTTGATGCTTTGTGCATAGTGTAGACTGTAGGGTAAAATGATAAAAGGTAACTATTATAGTTATTTATATAAAACATGGTCATTTGTCGCTGCTATACATTTCATGTCTATAGCTCATGTTTTTCATATATTTCTTTTAATTTGTGTATGTCTAGAGCGGATTTTCAGCATGATGAAGAAATAAATTACTGATTACTGATCTATTTGCAATACAAGCCAACCTTACCAGTGAGCTATCAACAGCAATTATATTAATAAATACTTCACAGGGTCAAAGTGAATAATTTTTCTTTATATAGATTTTGCCGATGAAATTTGATTCCTAACATGATTCATAACATACATAATGATTCTTCCACCAACTTACTTGATTAAGCATTAATAGACTATGTTATTAGTCAATGTGTGAAACACTTACAAAAACACTTGCCATTTATGATGAAGCTCGAAACTGTTGCATGCAACTTCGCTTGTATTAATTTTCATAAAATGTAACGCTAACCTAAATTCACATCAAGATAGTTCACAACAATTCTGTAACAGACACCCCTTCACATCAAGTAAACTAAATGCATGGAAATTGAACTTACTTGTGTCTTAATTATAGCAATTTCATCAACATTGTTGTCATTTGCATGAAAACAATCATATGGGTCTCCTGTATCAATCGTAGTTACTGTTGCATCAAGTTCATCAACCTCACCTTCATTATCCTGCATAACAAGAAAACTACTGGTGCTAATATTGGCATAAGAATTTAGATATTATTGTGCCACCAGCTTCGGAGATGTATCGATTCAATGAGTGCATTGATTTGTACTTGATTTTGTTCCAATTTCATCTTCAAACTCAACTAATAAATTCTATTTAAATCACAGCATTGGAACCATGTTTTATGACAGAACTGATTATCACAAATGAGTGGCATAATTTTGCCTAACCTAACTACATCATGATGGAAATTTTTAAACAAAAACTGCACTCACAGTGTTCAATGGGATCCTGAACACTTCTTCAGCAGATGTCATAGGACGATGTAAGCATTGCCATATGGATTTACGAAATCGGTGCATGATACAGATACCAACGACCAGAAATCCAAAAATAGTCAGTATTATTACAAAAGGTTTCCATGTAGTATGTCTGAAACCAAAACTTAATTTATAATGCTTGGACTGATGAGGCAGTTGTCTACACGCTTGCATTCTCATCACTAATTACCCCACATGGCTTTCTGATTCGATTGAAGAATGATTTACCATATATGCAAGAAAATTGCTAGATTTTTTCCATGTAGCAGTGTGGTTCATATTACCAATAGGCAATTCTTCATCCATACAAGTCTATGCATCTGACACTAATAAGTTGAATGACTGGCGTATCAACTATTGCAACAACAGACTTGTAATTGTAAACCAGATCAACCGCCTTTTCTCTCCTAAAGAGAATGATTCCTATCTATATCTATCCTTTCTCAATATTTTACATAATTAAAAATATATCACCAAGTGTTGCTTTTGTGTCTTGAAAATAGATATAGATGACTTTCATTCTTAGTTTACTAAACAATAAATTACCTTGCTTTATCCGTATCTTGAATAACATGATGAAAACATTTACTTATTCCTTTCTTGTTAAAAGCAGCAATTCCAATATAATATTGTGATCCAGGAAGGAGATTAGTTAAAGTGAATGACATAGCATTATTCTTGTCTGTGGATTCAATATGCCATCCATCTGTTTATTACAAATATAGTGTAATTAATTTTTGATCATAGGTGGGAAAGTACTGATAGAAGAGTTTCACTGACATGTTAATTTATATATAGATATCATAATATCCTCTGCGAGCTCTAAAACAGATGTTGACAAAGTCGTGAAACAATTTGAGTCAACACTACCAGAGAAACAGCTAGGTTGGAAAAAGAGCTAGGTATTGAAAAAACTTCAAGAAAAAAAGTGTTCTTAACAAACAAAAAATGTCTGAAGGGTCTTGTGTATTCAGATGAACTTAATTTAAAAGAAAACAATGTGGTTCTCTGATAGAGTCGTGGTTTCATTAAAAAGTTATTGACATAAGAGAATACTACTTTATTTGGCTAAGCGGTGCGAGACATCACATCATGCTTGCCACCAGGGCTGGGGAGCCGAAGCTGGAGTCAGAGCCTGAAGCCAAGCTTTTCATAACAGATGGAGCTGGAGCCGGAGCTGGAGCTACCAAAAATTTAGTGGCTCCAGGCTCCAGCTCCTAAATATCTCATTTTTTGTTTCTCAAATTTATAATTTTTTTCTGATAGCGTTACAAATGATGAAATCTTTCCTTTTCAGCTTATAAATAATTTTAAAAATTTTAGTTCCCGATATTATTCAAAAAGTTCCCAGTTATTCTGTATGTTTAAAAGTTTAGTATTAAAATTTGAAGCGGTCGCTTTTTGCTCGCTTATATCAAAATTTTGATTCTCATTTCCACTAAGCTACAGTTTTTCATGATTGTGGTCAAGCTCAAAAACCCTACCTAATGGCCATGGATTTCCAAAGAAGTGATTTTGGAATTTCCATGTCGCATATTATGATTTTTTCTTGGCGTTGAATATCCAATCCATTTCAAATGTCTTTAATTCTGTTCAACGTATCTCGAGAATCGAGATTGAGTCGTTTTATGACAAAAAAGAGGTTTAACTACTCCAAAATGCACCACGGCAGTCACCTGGCATAAAAATGTATGGCAAAGTGCCCGATTATATCTTGTTTTGATGCTATGTTATGAAGAAAAGTCTCATCAATTTCCGTTGTTATTTTTTGAAATATAGAAATTATATCGCGAGCAAGATTGATTGCGTTTAGATTTATTTTAGTGACCGTATAATTTTCAAAGTCAACCGGCAAATAACATGTCGTAGGCAAAAAAAGTAATGAGATTAACAAGGCATTTTTTTTTAGCTGTTGGGAGTCTCCTAGAACTAAGTTTATAGTGTTTCCCGTTTCATTTTAGTATCTTATAATAACTCTCCAATGTGGAAATTCGGCTTGCGAATTGACTCCTCTGTTTATCTTTAACATCTCATCGCTGATAATTATGAACACGTCTCGATTCTAGAACCAACTTTTGACCTGATTTGGGAAGGGGGGACGGCGTTTTATTGGGTGACTATGGTAATTTTCATTATTTTGGGTCTGCTTATTCAAATTGGACCATAAAATCCTTCCTCCCCTTCAGGCCAGTTTAAATTAATTGGTTTTCTCTCTCTGCGTATCTGGAATATCAACGCTTTTATTATCATACTTTAAGTTGCCCGAATTTGTGTATGTATCATGAGTTGAAGGACCATTGCCGTTACTATCACATGTGCGCTGCATTTTGTGAAAAACGTCAATTGTTTTCGTCGCCATATCATAATCACAATTTCTCAAGACATATGTTTTGTGTCCCGCACCATATTTGTGAGAAAACGAGTTATTACATAATCATCGGTGATGAAATTCTAAGATAAATGAAGTGAATTCCCAAACCAAATTTTCCTGATTAAAAAGCGACATTATAAAATACTAAAAATAAAACAGAAAACACCATCAAGTTTTGCTTTAGAATGGCCCACGACAGATTTTATTTGGCCGGCATTATTGTCAGTTATGTTGAACACAATTAAATTAAAATAGAAAGAGAGTTATTATGGGTTAAATATTATGCGGTAGAAAAAGTCATTATGAGCTGTTTTACTGAATGCGCAAACGCTACGACCATTCCAGAAGCCGATTTTCCTTTTCCTGCCCGTCTTATTGTGGGGTTATATGTAAAACTCTTATATGCTGGGTAGACCGATTCGCCAGGAAATACAGCATATAATAACTCTCAGTGGGTTCACAAGTTACCGGTACATGCAGGAACTAAAAGGAATTATCATGACATCGACTTAAAGGGTGTTTACAGCCTAAATAACATGCCACACTTTGAAAACAATTAGCAAAGTGCGGTATTGGGCTGCACTACTGATAATGGCTATGAAGCCGGAGCTGGAGCCAGCTCCGGCATAAAAAATGAAGCTTCAGAGCCGCAGTTGGAGCCAAAGATTGAATAGACTGCAACTCCGGAGCTGGAGCCGGAGCCATCATGATTTCGAACCAGCACCCCAGCCCTGCTTGCCACAACACCTCTAATTACTCTACGTGGGTTCGCAGGTTTGAATCCCATATAGGGTAATTCTGTGTGAGAGGATCGCTGGGATCATCACCATCGTAGGGTGCCTCCTATGCAACCAAGTCCATGCATTTGAAACAAATAACTGGCTAACTAATCCCTTACTCGACATGGACTGGTAATCAGACGAGAGGCCGTGGTTTGCCATATGATTAGTCGTCTTATCGTATTTCTTCTCCCCTTGGATAAATATATAAATCCTATTCTATACTTATTGAAGAATGCTTGAATTTTCAAATTGTAGTTTTGCAATATGTCTCCTTGTACTACTTTTTATATACCGGTAATAAAATATCAACACAAACTTAATGAATCATATTGTCTCAGATGAGTAATATCCAATTTTTAGGGTTACTTTTAAAACAGAATTGTACATATCTGTTTATTCTTTGCCATTTTCATCTTGATTTGAAATTAATATTTTCATTTGGTAATATGACTTTGCTTTTCATGGACTCATGAATTAATAACTGACCACTATTTTCTATTTCATAGATGTGTATAATTGTAAGAAAGATGAAATCTGAAATGATCATTAGCACGACATTACATTGCATTGCTGAACCCATAAAAGACAAATAGTCACCTGATGTTGTTCTATCTTTAGTTGCATGTTCATTAATCCAAATCGTTTCAACATGAGCATGACTTCTATTGCAATTTTCATGAAAAATATCTGACCGCAGAAATTAACAATACAATTGTCTCAGTAGGGATAATTAATCTAAATAGTTTAATATTACATTTGAGATTGATTCAAATTAAAATATATCTGAGAACTATTTCATCTAACTTGATTCAAAATATTATAATTTTATTACACATGTTCATTAATACACATTCCATTTCAACTTTTAGTATTTTTGAACAAAATGTTTAAAACACGAAGTAAACAAAGGAAATTTCAGTTTTTCGTTGTTACTTACCATATGGACTGTGGCAACTAATAGACTGATGTCCAGAAAGGCAGTTCTTGTTAGTTGTGTAATATAGTACATAATATCCTAAAATTGGGCCAGCCCGTTCCTCTGGCTTAACTGATGACCATGTTACAATCATTGATGTCTGTCTTATTTCTGTACAATTTATTGAAGAAGGTGTTCCAACAGGCTCTGGAAAGAATTGAGACAATCATTTATAAAGGTATTTGTTTCAACAACTTGTGCAACTTGCTAATTTTATCATCACGCAATATAAAGCACTATATATTTACAGAAATATTGCCAACTTACTTTGTATTGAATAGTAATACAAATTGCTATTGAGGCTTGCAGGCCCTTGAGATATTTTGTTTCCAACTGAAGATGACAAAGCAACAGCAATTCTATATGCAGTGAATGGTTGAAAATAAGATGAGAACTGCAATGTTGAATTTGTGTGTCTGAACATAATCGATAGGTTTCAGAATATATATTATCACTATAAAAATATGAAAATCATCCAAGAAAACAAGCAACACGGAATTGGATGTAAAGAATATATTGGAGAATACAAGCTGAAATGGCATTATTTCCAACTCTGGCAAATCTAGTTTAATATATCAAGTTCTGCTCGTCATATTTCAGTTTCCTAGTTATGTCATGCATTTGGTGTGATAACTTAGTTAGAACTAGAGATGTACAGATGTATCGGGCATCATTATCGGAATATCGACAATATCGGCTTTTTGAAATATTTGCTTATTGGTATCGGATCGGTATCGTTTTTTTGAAATATTGGTGTATCGGTACCGACGACAAAAGTGGTATCGGTACAACCGTAGTTAGAATCAAGTTGAATTAGAAGTTGTACTACTGAGTTCAAAGCCCACATCCACCCCTTTGTAGTAATAATAGATTATAAAAAATTCAAATGATTGCTGTTCTGCGCCTCATTCGAAGTAAAGACATGAAGCATTTTATAAAATGAAAAAATAGATATTAGGCTATTAGCTAATTCAAAAAGTGTTATTAGGATGTTCACCGAAGAAATTTTATCACAAAGAGTGTGTGATTTATATACTAAACTGGAAATATAAATTTCAGCCTATGTTGTTTTTAGATTGACGCTTCTTGTTTCACAAGATTATGCACAAATCAGTAGCATAAAAGTTTTGCACTCTTGCTTTGATAATTACCTTACCTCACATCTTGTACATGAAATTCCACTTCTCTTCTCTTTTTACTATTAGGTAATTTTGTAGAGTTAATTTCTATGTAAAATGTATTCAGCTTGACATAGGATGGAATTTCACTGGATCTGAAAAATGAACTCAAACAGCTATCACAATTTGTCATCGAATAATGGTCCAACATTCAGACAGTACATTCAGTTAGTTTGCGTTTAATTTTCATTTGATTTTTATGCTATATTTATCAAGATAAGATAATACCTTTCATATGCTAATATATGCATATGATAAACCAAACTTAAAGTTTTGGTATAACTCTTAAGTCTAAGTTGTTATATTGTGTTCTAGTTATGATATTTGATAACAAAAATGACGGTACAAAAGTACGGAAGTCATTGCGATACTATGTCTGCACAATAGCACCGAGTTCGCAAAATCAAATTGTTAAGTTTGGCGGAATATAAAGTCTGTTCTCGTAAATAAAAATGAAATAGCGAAATTTGGATGAAATATTGGTTCTCATAGGAAATTCAGGAACAAATAAAGGTCGCCTACTAGCCACAACAACACTATTTAACCACTGAAAATTTCAAAGCAATTGGTCCAATACTTAATAAGAAAATTGATTTTTAATATCAAAAAGAAAAATACTAACAACAACATATTAACAAAATATGCATAAGTCCACTTCGTGTTCAATAAAGTATTCCCTTCAAATTTTAATAGCTTGCAGCATATTAAGACATTTCTCATAGTAATTTATAATTGGCAGATGATGTTGATGTGCTACAAAGAAATTACAGCAGTACTGAACAATTGAACATTGCAATATTTGTTTCAAATGAATGGAAATTATTGAAGATTTTCATGAAACTGTTCATCCCATTCCCACATATCACACAATAGAACAGCTAAACTGGTATCACCCGATAAAGGATTTCTTTTTATTCTTTGCAGATTTTTCTTGCCACGAAAATACGCTGACTTTTAATGATTCCTATGAATAAAAAGATTAGAAAAATACAAAACTTTTGCATTAATATGTAACATGTGTAATTGTGAAGATCTATCAGGGATGTCCAAAATGAATTGAATATTCGAATGCATCCAAAATTCATTATATTCAATATAGTAAATTTTCGGATTGGGAATAAATTAAAACATTTTTATTTAAAAAATTAGGGATTTTGAGTTGTTAGACAAGTAGATCAAAACTTATAGGCTTCTGGTCCGAGATATCATGAATGCACATGCAAAATTTGAAGCAGATTCAACCTCGCTTTCGTGAGATATCGCGCAACATACGAAAGTGGCTAACAGACAAACAAATACCTATCAACATACCTACCGATCGAGATCGATAAGTAAAAGGACCTTTTATATTTGTGTCGTTTTAGATGTGATCAACATGAGGATATAGTAATTTATGTAATTTTCCATGTAAACTTACCCCCAATTGAAAATGTTTTCGATATTTCATATTAGAAAACATTTTCTCAGAATGTATTAGAAATAGTAAAATATTTGGTTTGGCTATCCTTGAGATCTATACTGTACATTCACCTCTATGTCCTTGAGATTGCATTCAATTGAAGAATTGGTTGAAAAATAAACCCAAACAATTTGAAATATCAATACTTTTCCCAAGTTATTTTTCAATGTTAAGGAGACAATCTCCAAATGACATGATGAATCTGTTGAAATAAGTAGGTTTAATTATTAGTATACCCAACAGAAAACAATCAAAGATCACAAAAATTATATATATATATTTGAAATATCATTAGTTTATTGCCAAAAGTGTGATTACAAAATAATGAAACATACCTGGAGAATATGATATAGTTAGTTTCCCATTTTTTAAATAAATTTTAAAGACTAAAAGAAATTTGAAGAAATGAAGTTATCTTACATTGGTATTTTGTTTCATTTCAAAACAGATATTCAATAAGGCAGGCAACCGCTTTCTATATTAAAAACACTCTAATTTGGCATGGATTAACTTATCATGTTTCAGTGAAAATCATCATGCATCACATTCTTGCACAGGACATCAATTGTAACAGTATTTCTGTCACTAGTTTTGTGTGCTGATCCAGTTAGGATTTGTACAGAATGCACTCCATTATAATATATTACCTAAAGAAATTGTGAACAATGGTGAAGAGGTTGTTCCTAAATCGTTGACGGCAGATATCTTGATTTCAGAGGTTGAATTAATGAACAGTGGTAGGGATGTTGATAATTTTGATATATTGTGTTTCTCAGTGGTTGATTGGTAATGATAAATATTTTTTTCATGAATTATTTCACCTTGCTCGCTCTGCAATAATTTTAGAAGAAGAGATGTCATCAAATATATTGTAGTGTAAATGGGTTTTTAGCCATAAATGAAAATCATCACTAGTGGAGATGTGGAATCAGAGTATTTTTATTGGCAAAAATTGTAGCTAACAGTTTTGGGAGTCAGAATTGAATGCCCACAAGTAAGAACATTAGAACGAGGAATTTGGGAATTTTCAAAAAAACTAAAAAAAGGTCTGCAAATTTCTGGTGGTCGAAACTTTTTTTTATAACGGATTCAGAAGATAGAGTCAGAGTCAAACATTTTTACCAATGCTTGGCCGAAAAGTTAGATCCAGGTTTTTAGATGCTCCTTAGTCAAATATAACTTTTCTCTAACACAACAGTCCTGAATCTGTTCATGAATAGCAACAGAAAAATAATTACATGCAAAATAAATATTCCACATGAACAATGTTTTTCATGATACCCACACACGCTTAATTATGACAGTATCAAAGATGAGACCATTCACCAATTTGGTTCATAAAATAGCATTTCTAATGTCAGCAAATATATTCCATAATTTTACTATGATATGCATATATAGATGACAATATATTTTGATTATTATCTCAATTGATTTTGATTATTCAAAATAACAACCCAACTCTACTAAGCACAATGACCACTTCAAAGAAAAAAATGTAATATAATTTTTCAATTGGCTGTGCCTATTCTTGAATGAATACTAAACAAACTCATAACATTGAAATGTTTGTGTTTTCATTAAAATGAGAGAATCAAATCAAGTATTCAATGATTCTAATTGCCATCATATAGATGTCTGAATATTCCTGTGTTAACCAATTATGAGATCACATAGCAAAGAACAAATGCCTGGTCTACTTGGTCGATCATGAAAAATGCTTCTATAGAACGAGACAACTCATTAAAGATATTGGAAGACACCCATATTTGGCACTCATGAATTTGTTTATAGTACAACTTCTATTATTGAAGGAAGCCACACAAAAATCGATTTTCTAATGCTATAATAATGAAAGTAAAAGCAAGCCATGCATTAGTCAAATTAACTAACATGCTTCCAAAATAGAATTGGACGTAATTGATGGTTGGTGGTTTGACTTTCATCAGGATAATTACAAGATAGGGAAGAACAAGAATTGTCTGAAAAATTGAAAATTATAACTGAATTAATGCAATAATGATCCAAAATAAGTTTTGATTCTCAATGGATTTCAATGTACAAAAATGGGAAGAATTGAGCTGTGCAATATAATCCTTACAATTAAATTTTGTACTTGCTCAATATATCAGTAAGATTGTATTGTTGCTGTTACTGTAATTCAAAATTTATTAAAAATTTATACATTTTTTAAAAATCAAAAATTATGTTGTGGTTAAAATAGTTCAATTATGCCATTTTAATTTAGTTTTTTTACTGTGTTATTTCTAAAATTCAATTCTTTGCTGTATGATGCTTAAAGTCAATGAATAATTACAAAAACTAGATGAAAATTAATTATTTATCCAAGTAATACGAACGATTAAAGAATAAGAGAGCTGATTGAAAAAATGCAGGAGGCTCCAAGTTGTTTGTTCTGGTTACAAAGAACGTGCTGAGGCTCCAAACACCGGAAAAGTCTTCACCACCAACCTTCCATCTAGCTTGGAAAATATACCTTGTGTTTGCAGGCAGATTATGGATTGACAACTAAAAATAGATACACAAATAAAAAAATTGAGTTGTTGTAAAAAGATAGGGACATAGCCAATTAATATTGCATTTTCACTGATACGTAAACTTTGGAACTTTGTAAAATCGACCATCATTCGCCTAGATTAAAAATTTTTGTTCTTCTATTGCAAGGGTTCTCAACCTTTTTTTTTTGTCAAGTACCCCCCGAGTCACGAAACAATCGATGCGAACCCCCGGTAATCAGACACCGAACAAAGTTGTGATATACTGATATATTGACTAACAATTTGTTGCGACACCAATTTAATGACCATATGTAACTAAATTAAATCGTCTTGTTGATATTATTGCCCTTGTCGTCTGCCTAACTAATGAATTCTTAAAATCTTTCCCAAGTTTCAATAAGCATAATCACTTCTCCAATGCTCGCAGCACACTGTATTTAGAGATTTCACAGTTTTTACGTAAAGCCTTGAATTTCACATTGTTGCATCACAATCACAACAACGCAAGATCAGGGAAAATCTAGTTTCGATTGGCGTCTAGTTTCAATGGGCACGCATTTTCTCATGATAGTAATAAAGGATATAAAAAAAACAGCAACATACAAAAACTCGACTGTCATCCAAGTACCCCTGGAAATCTTCTCATGAACCCCTGGGGGTTCGCGAACCCCAGGTTGAGAACCCCTGTTCTATTGCATTCTAATAGTATAGGTATTGCAAAAAAATTTGAACTTCAGCAAATTCGTCTTTGCGATTGTAATGTTGAAGTTTGCTAGGAAAATGATAGCGACAAACAATATGATGCAGGTCAGTGCAAGATCATCTTGGAAAAAACAATTGCCATATATGGTTCACCAATTTGGTTTATCTCATTAGATTTCTTATTAATTAAAATTGATAATGAAATCTATAGCTTAATTTACAAATAAAACATAGAATAGTATTTTAAATGAATGTGAAACTTCTAGTTCAATGGCAAGTTCTCTGTCCCACAAATTTAATTTTTTTATTCCACAAAACCATTGCGTTCATTTGAAAACTCCATTTCAGAATAGGTGACGGCATGGCTTTAATTCCAGTTTCAATGATAAAAACTGATTTATTTTTCTCTTAAACTAATTTAATATAACAAAAATCAAACTTGCGCTGCAGAAATGGATAATACTACAGCAACAGGACCTCCATTGAGAAGCTAATATTATCAAATTGCTGAACAGACCTTTTGAGCATCAACAGAAATGAATGAAGATCTATTCATTAAATTTCGATTCAGGTGATCATCTTCAGATGTGTTTTGAGACCACTGTTGCCAGAATATCTAGAATAAAATACCATAAATTTTTATATGATACAGAGGATTGAATTAATTAAAAGGTACAGAAAAATTAGAAAAATATACAAAAAAAGTAACAATTCAAGACCTTTTCATCATACTGCTTTATACTTTTCTCATCAACATCATCCTGGATCTCTTTGTAAGAAACCTGAACAAAATAAAAGATTGCCATGTATAATATTAATATATGGTGACTTTCTGTGAAAAGAGCTTATTAATTATGGTAATTAATATTTGATCATATAAATGTGGAATGTTGAATATAGAGATATATATATGGAATATTGAAATAGGGAGCAGTATTATTGGGCAGAGGGTTTCAGTGTAATCGGTTGATTCGATACATGTGATTGTAGATAAATAGATTTGGTTTGAATGATTTGTTCTAGATGAGAATATACAATTTATGGAATAATAGTAAAATGAGCTCATAAAAATGTGCAGATTCAGCAGTTCATAAAAAAAACACAAACAGGACAAATGATAAAAAGTTAAACTTGTAAATAAAAACATGTTGAAGGATTCATTTCACAATTCCTTGCACAACATCACATACAGGATGACATTTTCAAGACAATTTTCTCAAAGCAAGGTCACACGCATTCACATTGTAACAAAAATTTATCTATGAGTAAAGTTACGGTTGACCTCTGATATGCCAAGAGATACTGATTGTCACATGGTCAAAGATTGCATTGATATCCAAGCACAGTCCATAACACTACACTATATGCGCAATGCTTTCCGACTCTTAACTGTGCATATGCACTGAAGTGCTCCACGTTATGTAACCATTCAGTTTGATTATTAAAAATCTAGCTACAATGTTTAAAATACCATAAGATCAATATTAGATTACACGCTATATATTTTTGGTGTTTGAAACAGGAATAAACTTGAAAATCTCACCCCAAAAAGAATTTATCATCGATCCATCAAACACATACCATCAGACAATACATAACAATAACCTTGACATGATTAAATATTAATGAAGCGAGTCATCATATTATAAGCAGATAAAATAAATCAATAACACTAAGGTGTTAAAGCAAGAGGATCAGATGAGGATTTGCATACAAAAAGCAATGTGAAGAATTTATGTTCAAAAAAATTGGCTAATCATGTTGTTTATCTATACCACGTACAAACAACCTTTATTCAAATTGATACCATATTGAGTTGCATCATTCAATAGCAAGATGAACAATTCGATTTTTATAATTTTTTTATACCTTATTGTATCAATTTATCAATTGACTTGATTCAATTATGGTGTATATAACAATCTATTCATAATAATTCTTTAAAAACATTCAGCAATAATATACTCATAAGGATACACATATATATCTACTGTCACGATCACAGCAGTGTTAAAATACAAACAGTAAAATCATCAGGTCATGTCTTTGTTCAATCACGTAAAAATTGTGAGTATACTCCCAGTCCCAACTGTCCCAACACAGTGTCACAGAGGTGTGAAGATACAAGCATTAAACACAACGGTTTGTGCCTAGATTTGTTGACACAAAAATTGCAAATCTTTGCTCATTACTATTCTCACTAAATCAATATCACTAAATACAAGTTGCCTTAATTATGGCGTGAAATGTAATTTTTGGGTATTGGTGTAATCAAAATCGGTATTGCTTGGAGATAAAATTCTGAATGAAGATCATCTATTCAAATATAGAATTTTCAGAATTGGGATGTCTCATCCTGTGGGCTATAGTCTACCTATATACCATAATATGTTTGTAATTGAGCCGTACTGAAATGACTGAGGCATGTGCTCAAATAATACATTTCACAGACTTCTACTTCAGTGGCTACTATATACCAACTCTAATTATAGTCACTAATCAACTGCATTTTGTGCCCACAAAAAGATCTATGAAGTGTTTTGAAATAAATTTTTTAGCTACCTTTAACTTTTCATAAAAAGAAAAAAATTGGATAACATAATTTTGTTACAATGAGAATGTGGCATGTAAAATAAGTATGAAAACCACTGTCTCAAAAATGTTAAAACACTGATTTTATCTTTATTCTCGAGGATTTCTATCAATTTTCCAGCGATATTATTAGAATGAACTGAATTGTACATCACTCATTAATTTTGCCTTACTTGGAGTCTATAGCACTTTGCGCAATATCGATGGAGGTATTCATGAGTTTCCGGACTAGAGGAATAAACTGCTTCAATCTGTACTGTTCCACCTTCATTTCCTTGCCTTGTTATAGATGTATTCATTATAGGTGGAGACAACATCACTGTAGATTGATTTAACAAAATTTTGAGTACCGGTATATAAATTACAAAACAATGAAAATGTACTTTACTACATTCTCAGTAAAATTAGCATCTCACGGAAAAGTAAACTATGTATGTAATATAAGAGGCTTGACTGCCATTTCTGTGGAAACTGTAGATTGTAATAACTGTAATAGTCAAACTCAAATTAGGTCATCATAATTCCCCAAAACTGTCATAGTCAAAATCAAGTTAGGTCATATTAACCCCCAAAAATTATGTTACACAATAAATAGAAATAAAAGACAGAGGATAAACAACGATTTCAAACAAAAGTGAAAACTATGAAAACAACTGCTCACACCCGCAAGGATGGTGTGACACACCCTGCTATTATGTCCCATTTTTGTATTATGACATTCATGAGTTCTCGTAACAGGATACCATCGAATGAGGTTGTAGATCAGGGGTTGGCAACGCTTTCTTTCTAGTGTGCCGATTGGTAAAATTGTATGTCAATATATACATTTGCGTGCCGATGGAAAATTGTACTACAATAAAATAAAACACAACAAATATAGCCACATGTTCCGCATCGAATGTAAGATAATTTGTTACATTCATAGATAAAATGGAGAATTTGTCACTACTGACCATTGTCTTCTGGAGTAAACACTAGTACAGATGAATTTTCCCCCATAACATTTGATATAACAACTTCAATTTCCATATTTTTCCAATATCTCAAATCATCCTTTGTTCTGACAACACATGACCCATGAAAGTTTGATTTTTTCACATCTGTTGATTCTTTACACAGCCCTGTTGAAGTTGGACTGAAATGACAATTACACTCTGAATACACTCTGGGACTCATCTATAAACATATACACTAAGGTATGTATACTGAGGTATGCACTAATTTTTATTACCTCTGTACTGTGTTTGTGCAACTATGCACATTTCCACAACAATGCTTACAGTTGCTTTACTGGTAATTTTATACCAAACATGCTGACACAAAACCTATCCATTACAACAAACTTTTAGCATTGTACAGGGTGTTGTAAATACATCCAATGTTTATTCAAAATAATAAAAGACCAAATACGCATCTACCGACCTCAATGTTGAAATTGGCTATTGTAGATGCAAGCATACATGAACGCAATTTATGGTAATAAAAAGCACATGTATTCAAACGTACCCGGGGACAAATACCTATAGTCACTAAAACAAGGTAGACACGCTTCAAGCTGTTGTTAGCAGAATATACCAATATAAACAAACTTTACCTCCAACCTGAACTTTTGTATGTAGTAGTTGAAGTAGTTTCATGCTGCCAGTTTAGATGACTCTCTGTTCTCTTATCGAGATATGACCATCTACAATGCAGATCATTTAAATTCTGCATCAAACACTGAACTTCTGGAGCTACTGGACCATCTTTAAATGAAATAGCAATATAGGCAAACTTAAGCTAAAGATATATTCCTCAAAAAACAATATCATATAGAGTTTCTTTTAAAACAATGTATATTTCTAACAACATCTGATCAGAAATTTTTGATGTTCAAGATTGCCAGATTTATATTTCATATTAATCAGTTAGACTCAAATCAAAAAAGATTGTCTTCAAATCAAGCAAAATATACACTACTTCAACATTACCAGTAAATCAAAGGCCGTCTATTTGAAATTAGCTAATTTATCAATTTAAAATTAATCTGTATGAACAATATCCTTTATTCATAACTCAGATATTTTAAATAATAACACTATTTCTAACTTCTAATTTTAATTGCATCTATGAAGTACAGTAATTACGGCGCGGCGGTGTGGCTCAACGGGCTAAGCGTTAGGAATAAGCTCGCCTCCGCACCTCTAATTACTCTGCGTGGGTTCGCAGGTTCGAATCCCATGCAGGGATGGTTATGTGCGAGAGGATTGCTGGACTCCTCGTCGTCATTGGGTGGTTCACGTAACTGCTGGTCGGTTACGGCTTCCTCCACCACCAAGTCCATGCTTCCGAAAACAAACAATACAGTAAAACTAATCCCATACCCGACTTGGAATGGTAACCGGACGAGAGGCCGTGGTTTGCCATATGGATAAGCCGTCTTATCGGCTTTTCTCTTCCCCAGGATAAATATGTAAATCCTATCCTATCCTACCATAATAGACAACATAAGTTTACAATGAAATTTGTGTCAGGAATCTCAAGGAAAGCAGAACAACAATGAGTAATTGGCCATTAATATACTATAATGAGTATTCATTGAAACATATGACGACATTACAAAGGTATACTTACAACCAACATCTACTGTACATCCGTTACTGTAATAGTTGTCAGTGCAAACAACATCTGTACTTTGACGAAAATCATATGTTGGATCTAGTCCCACATTTTTCAAATTTAGCTGAAAAAAATATTCCATGTGACTTTGGACAAACTTTGCACTTACAATAAAACATTTATTGACGTTATTTTCATAATCTAATGTAGTGGTTCCCAACCTTTTGGGGCTCGTGGCCCCCTTCCGGCGCCTTTTTGCACATGTGACCCCCCTGTTCACCATTTCAAAAAACTAATCGTGTTGGATTGTATTATGTTTTTATGATCTTTAATGCAGAAGCAAACCACGAACAAGAAACTAAAAGCTTTTTAGTATACAATCAATGAGAATCTTGCGCTTGGGACTGTCTGACGAGGCTCCTTATATTAGACACCGTCTTTGATACAGCCAGACGAATGTCGCTGTCAACATCAAGATGGTTTCTAGATTTTGATTTGATGGTAACAAGATCAGAAGAACCAGATTCGCACAGATAAGTTGCAGCAAATTAAACTAGTAGTGAAGAAGCTTTCTTGCTAAGTAGTTGGTAGGAATCTGATATGTCACTTCATATTTGCATTCAAGAGTGGGCTTTTCCTCAGACAGAAGCCCGCACTTGGTCAATGTTGCCTCCTTGTCAAATCTAACTTGCTTAGCAACCAAGAAACCGATGCCAACGTCTTTCATCGGAAGGTGATTTTTGTCACTGTGGATTTGGAGTTTAGATGGACGTAATGATTCATTGCTCATTGCATGCAATGAGCAATCATTGAGCACATTCTATGTCATCTCGATTTACTTTGGTAAAGCCAAAGCCAACATAAGTGTCGTTCCATTTTCGTATTTTGGGCATTAGGAATTCACAAATGCATTTTTTGCGCACTATTTTAATTGGTAGATTTCAAATTTCATTATGATCAAACAATCTATGCACAAAAAAGTGAATACACCCTGAGATCGCAAATAACCTATTTAGAAAATGAAACTGCAGTGAACGCCTAAACGAAGAATTTTATTTTGAAAGGAAAGTATGCAATCGAAGTCGCTTTATCATCAATTATTATTAGCCTTGTGCCGTGGCCCCCCTTGAACTGCTTCAAGGTCCCCGGTTGAGAACCATCTAGCTGACTTGTCCTATTGATATTTTATTAACTCATAACAAGAAAAATGAAAATGGATTTTTTTATTCAGTTGATTGAATGGGGAAAAAAGTGAAAAATTCATTTTTCTCTGGATTTTTCCCCTTTTCTGATCTTTATGTATTTTCAACTGCATGATTGTAACACACTATTAAAATTTACTAAATACATTTGAATACACAAATTAGCTCACTATCATAGAATGATCATCCAGCTTTTGTACAAACTTCATATCAACAATTTTTCCACGAATACTCCAATAGAACTGAAGATTTATAAAGAAAAAGATTGACATTGGAATAAGCAAAAATTACCACTGTAAATACATTGTATGTATCATAATTTTATTTTTGATCAGAAAAAGTGTTCACCTGAAAATGAAAAAGATCATTTATAAGTAAGGCTGTAGGAAACCACTGAGTATGTTTAGCAACTCATGAATACCAGTAAAATCACATGAACACAAACAAGAAAACAGTTGTTCAAAAAATAATTCCAATTAATGGCGATTCAGAGGAAAAATATTGTTATCAAAATTTTCTCAACAATGCTGAACTTGCAATGTTCTTGAACATACTTTTTACATACATGATATTTTTACACACAAATTTATAAGGAACAAATCTATTTGTAAGCCAGCTCAAAAATAATATACCATGCATAAATAATAAATCAATAATAATAATAATAATAAGTTTACCCTGTGTATTGCCAACGAAGAATTGCATTTGATAGATATATCAGAACCAGGTTCAACAGCCATCTCATGTGGGGAGACATGAAGTTTTATATCATCTGAATAATGTAATTGAAAAATCCCATTACTGATTTTCTTTCTATAAATGTCAGTTGTCAGAATGGTTATAAATACCCACAGACCTACTTGCAATAGATAATTGTTTAAAAGCATGAGCTGGTTTGAAACATACTGAAATTTCACAAATATGCCTACTTACTTAGGTAAATGATATTGTATATATTTGATTCATGAAATCTAGGAATTTTAAAATAAAGAAGCACTGAATGATTTAGACTTTTAGAACATGTAATGAAAATGAACAAGGATACTTCCTGTACCTAAACAGAAAGCAATAAGCATTTTGTCACGTAAGTGGTCTTAGTAGCAGACAATTCCCTCCCTTTTTATTCTTGTATCAAAATTTTACCTATAATACTGACTGGTTCTGTCAGAAAATTCCCTGTTTACTCGAATATGGATAAATGCCACCTATATGATTTTAAGTATTCCTTATAAAAATGATTTCAAAGAAATATTCATAGAACGACTTTCTAATATTAAAAGGGGCATAAAAAACTATTTCATGAAATATTTTTCCTTGAGCTGATTCATAGTAGAATGCAATTATGATGACAGATTAGGTAATTAAAACAAGAAGTAAACACATGCGAACAACTACTACTTGTATCAGTTTGATTATCATTATCACTTGTAGGTTATTCATGTTATTACATGATAGTAATATCATGAACAATACATACCGTAATACTTTTTGACTCAAAACTTTACAAGTGATAGTATGGAAATTTCGTTTTGGGTGATAGAGGGATAATAATATGTTGAACTCTTACAATTTCTTAATGGCAAAGAAATCTGTGACTTGTTATTGGTTACATGAACATCATATGGTGGGAAGGAGAGCAACAATTCTCTGTGTGTAATTATCTCAAGTGAGATTTGTTTTTGCAAAGGTTTGGCCATGTAACTCTGTCAAGTCAGTTCATCAAAACAAACTGTGCCATAAAGGAATCAAATAGCTAAATTTAACTTGAAATAAATATGTAGCCTTCACATAGAGATGAAGCACATATTGTATGAGATTGCCCTGCTTTTTATGTCTTAAACTATTACCCGCATACAAAAATGCTCAAATGGATACTAGATTATTGGTGTACAGTATGAGCAGCATGCAAAATGTGTTGGTACACTATATTCAAAGACTTTCAAAATTTATCTAGACTTTCTACTGGAGATTGCAATGACCATGCTTGCTAAATTTGTCTGTGCTAACAAGAACAGGTGGTACTGCTCATTATCAGATATCACCCAAGTAAGCAAACTCCCAAACAATTTTAAGATAAACATTCTGTATAATATAACACTTGGCTTATAATTTATGCCATGTTATGTGAATAGAACCCAAACAAAGAGTTCAACATAGGACATGTATTGAATTATGTTTTTATCAGTTAGATTTGAATTCCTTTTGCAGATGTATGTCAATGCTCAAATAAATCAAGATATTATTAATATGATTCAGTTATCTTCAAATCCTGATAAAGAAAAACAAATGGTTAAAGTACACAACTGCAATGGAGATATAAATAATAATAATCATAAGAGTAATAATATGCAAATGTCAGGAAAGATCAAAATGTACTGATTGGAGATATGATAAGAGAAGGTTGTTCACATGTGTGAAGATCTCAAATATTAATACTATTACCCTGGTATTCCTAAGGAATGCAGTTGAAATGAAATATGAATGATGTTTGTAACAAAACATCATCAATTGAATATCGTTAATCAAAAAAATTTCAAAATTGGCCTTCAAATTTAATCAGTTAAATGCAATCCTAACAATTTTGATTTTATACTCTTATCAGATATCCGATACCTCAGATTTTTTCAAAACTATATTTCATTCTTATACCTGTTTGGTTTGCAATACATCCACTGATGAAAAAGATCACAAGAGAGTAAAATATTCCTGACATCTTCACAGACTCCATCTTCTTCAACATATAAAATCTGAAAAAAATGGTGAAGCATGTGGAATAATAGCATGAATGTTTGTATTGCTACTTTTGAAAAATGAAACACTAACAAGTCTATCCTTCAGGTGGGAAACACTATCATATCATTCGATAGAAAATCAAAAATGAACCCCAATATTTTATTGTGGAATATAGCATGCTATGGTACATACAATCCCTAGCATTGAAATAAGTTATGAGCATAATTTATGCTATATAAAATGCTATAGATTGAAAATGTTGAAAATTGACTACAATTCAAATACAAATTACCGAATAATAGAAAAAATTGTCTCAAGATTATACAACCATTGTACAGGGTGTCCAAAAAGTTCCGTCCAATTTCATAGCATCACCAATTGCAAATTTGAATAAATTTGGTTGTATGATAAATGGGGACTAGAACATTCAACATCTATAACAACCAATTAAAAACAGGTTGACTATATTTCTTTTTGAAATTGAAAAAAAAAAATAACATTTGATTATAAAGACTTTATTATCGGGTGAAACTTTTTGGACACCATGTATAATCAAAAATTGATACTCTAATATGTTTGCATCTCAAAGTCCAGAAACTTTAAATAGTATATATGATATAAGGAAAAATCAGAAATTGCAAATATCAGATTGGAAGCTATTAAGTGCGATAATCTGATACAGATGTCATTCAATTAGTTGAATTCTGAACTTCAATGAATTAGGTAATTTTTGTGTTTTCTGTAATGATCTTACAATGCAATTCTAGGAGTAATATAGCTCAAAGTGATTCTACAAATACTCGGATGTCCTGGTAATGTCTGAGTTTTATGAAGAAATTCTATGCAAACCAATACTCATTTGGTCATTATTAAATAAATCAAATACATTAAATACAAATTTATCTCTAGATATATTCCACAATATTATATTAGAAACATAGTAAAATAAATCATATAAATTCCCATATAAATGTTTCCTCAATCATATTAGCTATGAATAGATATCAAGCTTGGAGTAAAATTCAGTCCAACGTATGTTTCTAGTTTTTTTTTTTTAAATAATACAACGCAAAATTACGGGACCCCAAAATTACGGGGCCTCTAAATTACAAAGAAATATTTAGATAAATATCTTATTGGCACACAAATTATCTTTGACTAAAGAGAAGGCCGGTATGACAATGATTGGGTACAATGTTCATATCAATCAAAAGGTCATAATGATGCAAATTCGCCCTCAGTAGCTTTCAGATTTATGAAGTCTTTCTTGACTGCTAAAAAGTGTTTCGGAAATAAAGCACATACTTATTCTACTCATTATAAAGTATAAATGTATTAGATAATATTATGTAGAACATGTAACAAGAATTTCATCAAGTCAATTGATTTATCAACTTCATCTATTCGAAATTCATTACCCTGATGGCATATCTGTAAAACTATCGTATGAACGAATAATATATAGGCTTCGATCATTTTTTTTTTCATCAAAATTTGCATCCATTTCAATCTGTTCACACTAAATCGCACGATAACCCCCCAACCCCATCCCAACCACGATGAAAGTTAAAAACAATAGTCACTATAGCAGTGATTTCTAGAAAATAATATTGACATGACCTACGGCACTTAATACATGACCTTAAAACAATTTACAGCTTTCATGTCACAATCTGCAAATAGATGTCTCTCATTCTCAGCATTTTTGTACTAATAACAACCTCATGTTGGCTCGTAGGTAATCTCTCTTAGACCAAATCAAATGCAAAATGAGAATGTTGTCATATGTTTATTATATACATAATCCTATACAATTCACAAATTTAACCCCACTTAGGAAACAAAGATTTGTCAGTGATTACATTCTTGAGATTTATTCCATTGTTTCAATTTGAGTTACATAATGCTATGTCTTAAGGTCATGTCATATATTTATAACAAATGGAAATTATAATGTGTCTACTTTCTTTATTATAATTTCTGACTTTTTGTTTGGATGCCAAGAGAGTTACCGTAGTATCAAGTATTTAAGCAAGAAAATACAAGAACAAAATCAGAAATAATAGGTTTTGGATGCAAATTGTATGCAAGCAAACTATATATATATAAATGATTGCATATTGTCTTTATTTTATATTTTATATTAAGACCAGTGATTCACTGTTTAGAATTTACTGACACAGTTAAAATAATATGAAAAGATTTCTTCAAAAATAAGTTATTGAAAATATACCATTATTTAAAATTTTTTTTCAGAGATATAATAAAATAGAAAAAGTCTGTAACAGATCGCACAGTTCTATTGAAAATGTCCTTCAAGCACTCATGGCATGAGAAATATTGAATATAAATGCCAAATGGTCCTCAATCGAGCAAAATAGTTGTGTGTCATTTTACATAACTTTGCAACTTACTATTACAGGAAGTAATTAGCGTCATATGTATGATGATAAGCCAAATAATATGGTTTATATTGCCGATAGATAAAAAACATAAACTGCTTTGAACAAAAACTATTACTTGATATTCACCCTCTACACATTATTGGAACAAAGTTTACCTATGGATTGCGGACGCGGTCATGTCTATATATTTGAAAAATGCTATCTTGTTAAGAAGGCATGACATATCAATGATCAAGTGTCTGTAATTCTAACTTTGCAATTGTAAATTCACATCAAACGATTGCATTCTTGGTTTTACTATCACCAAAAATATACTACCAAAGACACATTTCTATACAAGAATACTATTAAGAATGAAGCATTAATTCATTTTTTTGAAGCTTTTTTTCATTATTATTCTCAAAGACATTAAACTCAACTTCAGTGGTGTTTAAGTATAAATATTACTCGATTCAAACCAATTTTGCAATACTTGTCTTGTGCCTTGGGCAAGTAGTCTTTTTACCTATGGAATGACAATATGTTATTGGCTTAGCTTCGAAATGGCAGGTGACTACACTCGATCTTCTAACTAGTGGAATTGGATTGTAATTGGACTGGACAAAATAAACCAGATCACTCCATTTAAACACTTCCATAACCACTTATAACTGTATAAAAACCACTTAAATATATTCAAAAATTAAGGTTAAATATGAGGATATTAAATTATTTTAATTGAATTTCCAATTTCCAGATTTCTCAAATAAAATAAACAGTGCTAAAAATCTGTAAGATGTTTAGTCCACCTTATTGCCATTAATCAGAAAAAGAATGCTACATACCTTGCATTGGTTCAAGTTACAAATCGAAGAGACATCGGCTCGCTCTACCATTGCAAATTGATATCTTGAATTTGGTGTTTTACCTTGCAAGGAAAATCAAGTTCATTTACTATTTTACGATAGGTAAAAAAGGAAAACAAATTTCATTTCTACCGTTTGTATACCCTGCAAGAAGACACATGGCTTACACATCCTACTAGGCCGCGTACTCACAGCCTCAACAAAGCAAATAGTTTAGCAAAATACTTTATGTATTCACGCTAAACCGTCATATAGGCGTGACGACAATGGCAACCAACTTCAGACATTCGATAGGCAATACACAACGGCGCAAGGCCGTCTCGTACAAATAGCAACGACGCGGCAATTCTTTTCAATGTCGCGTCGCAATTGTATCTTGTTACTAAAAAATTATTGTTCAATTATGGAGGGCAGAAGCCTATTGGTTAGGGCGTTAAAATTAACTATATTGGTATCGCATGGTACCCATCTCGGGTTCATACCCCACGCCTTCCAACTGAACCAGGACACAATAAATTAGGTAGGCAAAGATGAACGTGAAACGTTTAGGTTAAAGGAGAGTCTTGTTGGAAGTGAGTGTATCAAAACACATTATAAAAATATGTGCAATCACCGACACGTTGAGTGAATGTGTAGTGAGGTATCAAGTTTCGTGTCTTACATCTATCAACATATATATCAATACCACCTCATTGCCATTCATCGTTCGTTAAATTTCGCAAATGTCTCAAACAACACAAAGAAAGTTAGTTTCGGAACTCGTTGGCTTGTTTCGGTAGATGACTTGACATATTAATAAAAAAGAACGAACTATTTTGGGCGGGCCCTGAAAATGTTTCACATAATTTTACAGCAATTGGTGCAATATTATCCTTGATTACGTTTTATGTTGTGCAATCAACTTTTCACGCCTTCAACAAGATTATCAGTCAAAAATGAATCCACTAAACAGCTGAAATAAGGTTGTTGGGTTGTGGTTCGCCATTTGCAGATTCATTTACGTTGTGAATTGATTGAGAGACTCAAATAATGACAATAAAATGTACATCAAAACATGATCTAATTCTAACCATTAATCGAAGGTGCAAATCTTCACCCATCTACTTGTACGTCATAACTAGAAATCGTTGCTAGCAGCTGCTAAAGCGTTTGGGTATTCATTTACACATTTGTTCCAAATTAGAATCATACAGAGTACTACACAAAAGTATGGCGATGTTTATTAACATATTATCTCTTTCTTCGATAACATCTTCGCAAAAGGATCACCACGACAGTCACGAGTAATTGCCCGTAAAGATCCTAGTTTAGTTAGTGGATGAGCAATCACACACTTTAGTTCGTATATAAAAACATCGCCATACGTTACCTGTAAATGGTAATGTAAGGAAGTCCATATCGTAAGTAGCGGCTTCTACAGCGTCTATTTCGGAGAGAAAATGTGAAAGTAACAATTGTGTAGTTGCCTCTTTATTAGATCCGTCTGAGCGAATGAATAAATGAGCATGGCCATTTTCAGCGGTTGCTTGTACAAATACTAGTTCAGAGAAATAAGTAAAAGGTACACCGTTGTACTTTTGAGTAGATAATTGTACAGAGCCTTGTACTTACAGTTGAATGAACACAGCCATACTTTGTTGTCGATTTAAAGCCAATCTCAGAGCGAATTTGTGAAAAGAACAGCTAGAAAATCATGCTTGTACAGAGTTGGCTCTGGGTTGAGCAGGTGGTGAGTCTTTGATCGAGTATTTTATTATACAATGCTCACAAGCTCGATCAAAGACCATTTCATCGTGTCTTTTCCACTTCCCGTCATGTAATATTACAATGCTATCAAGCTTAAAGCTCGATCAGAATTTATTTGTGTCGTCACGGACCAAACAGTGTCTCACTTACCCCACATGTCCCGCTGGACAAGTGTTGGGCGAATGGGTCACGGGATGCAGGCGTAAGACACGTGGGGCAGGTAGAACGTGTGATACACTGAGATAAGTGGGACATGTGATGCAAGTGGGACAGGTAATACAAGTTGGACACGATGAACAAATGATACAGGTGATACACAAAAAGTCCTAATAGCGAGACGCCCACTTTTTCAGGAGTGGGTAAGCCTGCATAAATTTTTTTAATATGGGATGAAATTCCTCACCATAGCACTTCCAGGCCATCCTCAATACTTCGGGTGGATTTGTTCGATTCCATCGACACGGCATAGCTGTACCGGGAGAGTATTATCACCCGCTCATTCGAAATTGCTGCATTGTCGTCTGCTTCTTGCAGGTGCAACCCTTAAAGCTTATTCAAATTCTCAATCACTGGGTTCAGTCGAACCCCTACAATTCGATGGCGCTGTTGCAGGAGTTCGACGAAGGTCCTCTGAATTGAATGCGTATCATTAACCTGCTAACTATGCACAATTACCTATAGTTCATCGCAGATATACAAACTTATACGCTTAAACAACTCATAATATAGCTTAATTGTGTGTAGCTTCGCGCATCAAAAAAAGTTTAGCGGGCATGTCAATGACTGTTACACCCTAGAATTTAGTGCACTAAATCTCATATCGTAACAGATGTCATTTGTCCAGGTGTAGGGATTTGTTCGAAAAGAATTGTTTTAAAATCCTGCTGCGATGAAACCACCTTGCTAAAATTAAAATGCGATCGAATAAATGAGTTTGTATAACCTTGAAAAACTCACTTCAACCCTAAAAACAAAGTATGCTAAGCATAAATTAACCGAACAGTATTAACCTTAACAATGACTTCATTTTATGAGAAAAAATGTCAATACATGACCTCAAAATCCATATTAAGGCGTCATAACAGATTAGTTGTGGCGTCTTTGCATCAGAGAACCCCTACAACTAACATTGGCTAGGTTAGGGTGTCTCATCGTTCATATCAGTAGATTACCGCCGATATAAGCAAATTCCTCATTATCGCAACCCACACGTTTTGCCAAAGGGCTGCACTTGATCGAATTGCTTTTGTAGTAGGCTCGTGAGCTAATTTACATGATTTTTCTTATACTCAAAGCGTCCCTCTGATATCTCGGCTAAACATTCCGGGTAAAATCTTATGACTTTGGTGGAGATATAAAGTGGCGATAAATGTACGCATTAGTGGTAAAAGTCAAAATAAAAAATTTTACTTACATTTTTGAAATTATAATTCCGGCTGCGTGTGCAGCTGCCAGAATGCAACGTTTTGGCGTAGTTTCGCGGCGATGTAAGGGGTATTTCAATAAAAAATACAGGAAAATTTGGATCTAAAACAAGCCCTTGTTTTAAAACACGATGTTTTTTTAGAATTGATAAAAACAAAACCCTATCCAGGTGTACTTCTATCTATACCAGGGGTGTGCAACCTTTTTCGCAGGCGGACCAAATATCTATAACTCAATCTGTATCTGTAACTCAAGTTTACGAACAAGTCGAAGACGGGAAGAAAGTGTAGTAGTGTACATATATCAATATAAAATCAGGGCGTGTTTGAATTTCACCAATTGATAAATTTGTGGAAATTATTATTTCATTGCAGAGCTTTGCTTAATTAAACCTATCATCCATTCTGGACGACCTCAATATGACGCTGAGTGGTATCTCTATTTCTGCGCTACCAACGTTGCAATTTTTGCTTTATCAGTTTAGTGTTCGACGGGATCGATTTAGGATACACAGTCGGGCACTTTATGATGGCCTAAACCAGTTTTGATATATTTTCACGCTGCATCATCTCTTAGCCATAAAATTCAGTTCAAATACATGCGGAGGAAACATTTTATAGAGCTAGCTATGGTCAAATGGTGAACTTTAGAGACACATCAGTGCGCCGTAACACAGTTTTGGAAGCGCTAAATTGAGACTCTCGAGCATCTTTACATGTTTTTTCACCAAAGTTATATGCCGTAAAGTGAGATTGCCCATGCAGTACCTTTATGTCTCATGATGCAAACTTATTTTCCGTATTAGAAACTTTCCTGACCTTCCGTTCTGTGTATTCCAAATTTTTGTAATTGGCATCTTAATTCGCGCACGCTTTTCATAAACGTAGCTTTGACTGGGAATTACAATATTTGTGCAGCTGCTTGAAAAAATCAAATCCTCCGTCAATAGGACACTTCTATGATATATGTACCACTATACGAAGGAGGCTACCGAATTATCACTAGACTAAAATATCTAGTGCTGCTCTCGGACTTCACCTATGCGAATTCCCAGATGTGGGGTTGGTTCATTAACGAAATAAACGATTAACAGAGATCCCACTGGTGCAGAGTTAACGTCGCGCAATATGACGGTCCAAAACATTCAAATTTAGTCATTTAACTCGAACTCCACAGAATTGACGTTTTAGTCGACGAACCTATGCTATAATCAACCATATCATGAAGATGCAATATTTTAATATCCACTACACATACGACAAAAATAACGTCCAATTAAAATTTTTATCGTTGTCCTTCTCAGTCGACCCGCTGAAACATTTTCACGACTCCTGTTCACTGCCAAAAGCAATATTAAATTATCAACCCAGCCCATTATCAGGCGTAATACAACGAAGCGAATCAAGTTTGCCATTCGGAAGCACCGAAAACTTCGAACTTCATTCTAATTCTTCCACTCCAGAGCGAGATGCTTGGTGTATTATAAGTAACAAAAATGTATTCACAATCCAGATAAAATTTGCTATAACGTTTTACTTAACAGTCAGTCTTGCTAGTAGTAAAATAAGAAAAACCAGGAATAGACTTGCGCACCAGGAATAAGATTATAATACACAAGAATGTGCTACAATAAATGACAACCCAAATTAAAATTGTCTTTTCCGGCAATAAAATGTGACTGACAAGTTTCTTGAACGCTTTAGCAAACCAGTATAGTTACAGTACGTAATGAAACAATGAGATATTCACAACTAATATGAATCACCATCTTCAATTTTTAAAAATCGAATTTTTCAACGAGATCGTGAGCGACTTCTTGATCTGGATCCAGATCGACTTCTCTGACCATTCCTCTGCGGACTTTCAGATCTTTTGCGACTTCCAGACCTCGATCTACAAAGTGAAATAATTTTTTCAAATTCTTTTTTTCCTTCTAAATTCATAAACCTTCTTTTCAATAATATTACCAGATTTACTACCATATAGAAGTGATAGATGCCAAAATGTGGTTTGGTTAACTTTAGTTGAATACCATAATATTTTAGCTTCACACTCTTATCATCAATGCTAATCGGTTATCAAGTTTTTGCTGTAATTTATCTATCACAAGTCAAGTAAAAAACAGGCTTTAATTTTAATATCTTACCTGCTATGGGAATGGCTTCTACTCCGCCGAGGTGAGCGACTTGGACTCCGACGAGGACTGCGGGATCGTGAACGAGAATAGCTTCGTCTTGGCGATTTTGAGTAGGATCGCCTTCTTCTTTCTTTTGATCGAGAGCGAGTTCTGCTGCGACGACCACGACTTCTGGACCTCGAGCGCGACCTGGTATGAAAGAACCAATTAGCACTGGCATTACATTATATAAAAACCTAGCACCAATGTGCAGAGATTTTCGAAATGGTTTTCATGCATTTCAGATTACCGGTATTTAACTTTAAAATGTTGAAGATTTTGAATAAAACATGGAATGATTTCAAGCCAATCGTCAATTACACCATCATAGTTGTGGACGAATGCAACAAAAATTAACAGAATTTCTTACCCTTTCATGATCAATATGTGTAATGGAAATAAGCCAAGGCATATTACCAAAAGTTTGATTAAATATACTTAGGAAGAATATTGGAAAAAAATTACTAAAAAGTTCTGTCATTCTGTGAGCTCAATTCTTTTCTCTCACAGTGTACGAAACCACCTCACTTTCAAGAGGAATGAATCTGAGTATCTCCTCTCATAATTCGTTCAGTCTGAATCTGTCATACTCAGTTCTCACACGTATGATCTATATCGATTCTATGAGACAATAAAAACCTTTAGAACAAGGTACATTTTTACGCTGTATGTGACTGTAATGTCAACGAGATCAAAAAGAGGGGATTTGACTGGAGGTCTACGCCGTAATTAAATATCGCTTTTTTAAGTGAACACAAAAATAGAAAAGTGCTGTAGAAAAAAATGTTGGCTAGAACTACATATATAGTCTGTTGTAACTTTCAATCCCACTGATTTATTTTGCATATTAGAGATTTAATTTTATCTATAAAAGGTTTTTCAACCTCTGGAAAGTACAGGAAATTAAGACACTTTTATAAAGCAAAATTTGTGTATTATCAAGCATATCTTTGGTCAGTTCACAATGTCCTGAAATCAGATGTGTATGGTAAGACATACTTCATTATTTTTAACAGCCTTTTTACGGTTTCGGGTGTTTCTTATTTAAAAGTTCATAGGACCGATAGCACAGACAGTATGTGAAGATGAAATTGAAATCGTGAGAATATGTATTAAATTCATTCGAGGCAATAAATATTATATCAGACAAACCTGCGGCCGCCTCCTCCTCGACGCCTGTATAGGCTGCAATCATAAGCATAATGCCCACATTCACCACAATTGTAGCATCGGTCATTTGGGTCAAATGCACGGCGTCGTTCATGTGGAATATTACCACCAACACCTCCCCATTGACCACCACCGCCGCCGCCACCACCACCACCACCACGAGATCGCTGCATTCCGTGAGCTATTTCAACACGAAGCTTACGATTCATAAATGACCTGAAAATTAAAAAATAGAATAATATTGGAGCTTATTATCTTTTCAACAATTTTACAAGCTGATATGTCTAATTCTTACCAATCACTGTGTGTAGTGAGTACCAGTATATGACAGCCGTGACATGACAAAATTTTGCAGTATAAGTTACCATATCACCATATTAAGTGATTGATGATTTTTTATCTTATTGACTTTTTTGGTACTTTATTAATAGCCATCATTTGTATTTTCAATTGATATCTAGAAGCATGAGGTTTTTGATATTAATCGTAGAGTTCAGGAGTTGGGTATTAATGTAGTAGGTCAGTTTTCTACTTTTGTATTGTAGGGTATTAACTTGTCAATCTATATTCAGATATTGGCTTTCATTCAAAGAAAAGGGAGACACTCAAACAAACCTAAAAACTTTGCAGCGATACTCTTTCAGGTAAGTTATTAATATTTTACTTCAGTACAGCACACTATCCAAATTCCAAGAATTTCCCTCCATTTGGCTCAATAAAACAAACACTCCATGTGTCTCACAAACGAGGGGCGTCTGGGACCAAGACAGATGCTTCATATCGCACCATGCTTGTCTCAATAATAATCTAAATTAATGGCGGCCGTCACATGAACAAAATTGCCGTTTTTTACTAAAAACTCTATTTTTTTTCCTTCAGTAAATCGGATTATTTTATCCCAACGAATTCAATGATGACGTTACTAGATTGCGCTTTTTTGTAGTATTTTGCGCAACTTCATTATACTGTATTATTACCGCTATTGAGGGACAACAATGTCCAGACGTCTCTCCTGAAGGAGGGGTGTCTGATCATCTGTAAAATGGGGCAATGTCACCCGATTTGTAGTGTGCCGTACTGTACTTTAAGGTACTTTTTAGTCCAGGATTCAGTCAGTCAGTTATTGCAAATAGGCCTACTGACATAATTCAGAATCTGCAGGTGATACCTGCACCATACTGCCATACCAGCATACACCAGTACACTGATGTCCGGATGTGTAATACTGTAATAGGCTAATTCCTGACTACAGGTTACGGTACTAGCTTACCTCCCATCCAGGCCTCTCACGGCATCTTTGGCATCACGAGCATCTTCAAATTCAACATATGCGAAGCCAGGTGGATTCCTTGCAACCCAAACATTTGCAAGATGACCATAATACCCAAACTCCTTCTCAAGATCAGTGCGAGTACAACTTGAAGCCAAATTTCCCACATAAAGTTTACAATCACGATATGACATTTTTCTGTTCTTACTGGTAGTTAATTGTATTTCTGTAAGTAAGATAAATTTACATATTTATCCCGGGGAAGAGGAATGACGATAAGACAGCTTAAACATATATGGCAAACCACGGCCTCTCGTCCAGTTACCAGTTTATGTTGCGTATGGGATTAGTTAGCCAGTTATCTGTTCCAGATGCATGGACTTGATGGTGGAACAAATTCGAAATGCACGATATAACGAGACGGTGAATTATTTGTGAAACGACAAAACAATGTACATTTTTATAACAAAATGGCAAATGAGTATCAAAAAAAAGAAATACAAATCTTGTGTAATCAATTCGCTGGTGAAGAATATAGAAAGTAAATTGTCAAAAAGTGAAAAGAACTAGTAACAGGAAACACAGTAAAGGAAGCCGTCATGAAATCAAGCTTAAAGAAAGCATCAGAATAAATACTAATCCTGTAATCACACAGTGCAGCAGTGGGAGAAAAACGAAATTCTTGCACAAAAGTGAAAACTTATTACTTAAGCTGGGTGTATCGAAAAGCATAACCATAAAAGATTGATAAATATTTACAGGGAACGAATAATTCTCGTAGAGCATGAAAGAGCAATAATTGTTTTCATGGTAACAAAATGTCAGAATGTGGGGTCTCGTGAAGCAAACGCCGTAACTGCATAAATACCCCCAAACACAAATGTGGCGTGAAAATGAATGCTGTAAGTGCTTAATGAACGCCTAACAAAAATATGATGTAAAAATCCGACCCAAATTTTCATTTTTTTCTAAAAATAAAATTATGTCACAATACACGAACGCATACCGGTACCGTAGTCTACAATACACTCTGACACTGAATGCATGAGACAAATGGGAGGCGGACAACTCGACTCACAAGAGGTTTTACAGTTTTAAGACGATACCGGTACCGTACCGTATGGGTGTACTTTCGATCTTTTTACATTAAAATTTCACGTCACATTCTTATTGGGTGTTATTTGAGCAGTTACGACGTTCATTTCACATCACATTTTCGTTAGTTTTTTTTTTGGCGGTAGAGATTACGGCGTTTAGACTACTTTACTAGACCCCAACCTGATAACAGATAGGATAGGTAGGATTTACATATTTATCCAGGGGGAGAAAAAAGCCGATAAGACGGTTAATCATATGGCGAACCACGGGCCTCTCGTCCGGTTACCAGTCCAGGTCGTGTATGGGATTAGTTAGCCAGGTACCGTACGGTATTTGTTCTCGGAAGCATGGACTTGCAGAACAATGTTGTAGTACGGTAAGTATTAAAATATTTCAGAAACTTCTATTGTACAGTATACCGGTACCGGTGAACTTGGATAGATACGGTACCGGAACTCCAGCGGGAAAAAAAGTCGGAGAACGAATAAATATGTAAATCCTATCCTATACAATACAGTAACAGACTATCAGAACCTGCGATCCTACCCACATCATCCTGTTTTGCGGCGGAACAATTGGCTTTCCAAAATGGCGCAACTAGTCACATGAAAATCATTTATTATTTATTTGGCGCAGATGAAAAAAGAAAGAGGAAAATTACATTATTTCACTTTTTATCTGTATTTGTTTACGCAAATCATTTTTGCACAACAAATAATTGAAATTACACAACATATATTAATTTAGATTATTTTTTATTAAATGATAAATAAAAAATGAATTTTGTGATGATGTTAACCTCTGTCCAATTACTCGATGGTCAGGCAACAGTGTAGCACTTTAGTGCGTATGCACAGTAATGGTCAAAAGACTTTGCGCGTAGGGCAAAAATAATGTGACGAAGTCTCTTGGCTAAGACCCATCGGGTTACCATTTCCCAGAAAACTGGCGGGCCGATCGGGACGAAACTTGGCATGTAGTAGGGGGCAGTTACCAAAATAGCAAATAAAATTTTTCAGAACGATCGGGCCAAAGGAAGTGGGCCAAAACGGGCTTTTGGTGGCCCAAATTTAAGGTTGCGTGACATTAATTATTTCAGGCTGTCAATCAAGTCTCGCAAGAGTGATTTTGGGGTTTAGAAGCCGTTTAGCTGCGTTTCCGGGGCCAGAAAGCGTTTGCCCGAGTATTGGGATTTTTTCCAAGTGCAATTGGGGGTGGGGGCACTGCCCCCGCCCCCCCAGTGGTGGGAAAACGTGTGGAAAGCCACGCCCACTCAGATAATATGGTTTTTGGGCTATTAGGAGCACTTGGAATTGGTTTTTGGGCAAAGTGATGCTTAAATCTCAAAGGGACTAATATATAGAATATTTCACCACCTGAATCTTGGGAATTCCCCCTCCCAATCGCCCTCCAGTGGCGTAAGAAGGTTGCGCACCTAAAAATTAAGTTATCGAGAAATAAAATAGATAGATATGTTGGGAAAATTTAGTTTAATGCTTTTTTCAAGAAATTTTTTTTCTCTCACTCCCCAGTCATGGTCTAGTGATTTTGGCTTATTGCAGGCCTCTGAAAGGACCTGTTGAGAAAGTAAAGGCATGGGCATGTTTAGAAAAATTATTTGAATCTATTTTGAAAGAAATTTTATTTCTCCATCACCTCAGTCACGCTCCAGTGATTTCACGTTATATCTCGAGAATGGTAGAAGGTAGAGGCGCCATATCCGGGTCATGCAAGGTAGTTGAGGTCTAGTTTATGTCAAAAAAATTTCGTAACGGTTGAGTGATCACGGACCTTAATATTGGAAAAATTCGACTCCGGTTAGGGGTGATCAGTTTATTACAGGGTATTTGAACTTCTTAATGGACTAGAGTGGTCGGGGGCACAGCGCCGGACGAATTTCCGTCATTCGTCCGGCGCAACGACCCGGGTCCTCCAACAAACTTCAAACAAACATATGCTTCTAAATTTACTAAAAATATTTCCATACATTTCCCCTCGCGGGTAGCGCAGCGACCTTACCCTGGATTGAAAAAACTAAAGCCCATATATACCTGGAAAAAACGTTGCTTTTGCTCAGAGGAGACGCGAATGAGGTTGTATCTATGTCAATCATCAATCTTTTTATTTCTGACATAAATCGAAACAACGCAAAAAGAAGCAGAGATACCTGGATACATGTACGTATACCTCGAATCATATTCATCATCGTTTGAATTGGATTTTTAAGTTGCAGTCACTCATCCCCAACAACAAGTGGTTGCTACTTCAGAGAGATGGCCCTACTCGGCGTGTCCTACCAAACTACTACAAATACGTTGAGTAAACTACTGTATATAGTTTGCTTACCACGTTATCAGTTATGCATGCATTACAACCCAATTTCAACTTTGAACGTAGCCATGTAGTTCGAGTCCATGTACAGGCGGCATTTACGATAAGCTAATCTTGGTGGTTTTGGGAAAATTTCTTTTAGTCTCTCGTTGTTGTCCAAAAGCAAAATGTATTGGTAATCTGAAAAAAAAATTCGAATATTTGGTTGGGTCGGGTGATAGCTTGTGATGAATGGGAGCAAAGTTACTTTTTGGTTTCAGTTTTTGGGGTTAAAAAAAGTTTTCTATTAAGTTCTTTTGCCGATTGTATGGCATCGTAAACTACATTTGTTGGTAGTTTCTCTTCGTGAGGTATGTATTCAATATTTTTGCATGTTTATCAAAAAACTCGTTTGTTGAATGGGTTCTTCTTATTCTGATGAATAGACTTTTTGGAATATGTTTTGTGATATGTTTAGGGTGACGGGACGATGGCGAAAGATACTGGTGCGAGTCGTTTTTTTTTGCTTAAAATTTCCGTTTCCAATTTGTCGTTAATGATATGAACCTTAACATCCAAATACGTAAACAGTTTGGTGAGCATTCGAAGGTAAATTTTGATGGTTGGATGTAAAGAATTTGCTGAGGTAACAAATTCTGATAGTTTCTCTTTGCCATGTGTCTATATATAGAAGAAAACAATTATCAATAAAGCGGCAATAGTACTGTGGTTTTAAAGGGGTTTTGTCTAATAATTTGGATTCCAGGTTTGCCATAAAAATGTTCGCATATTTGGGTGCCAATTTTGTTCCCTGAATTTGAAGGTAATGTTTCTCGTCAAAAACGAAGTTGTTGTTTGTCTGGACTAAGTTGGCTGCTTTTGCTATCCAGGGGATTTCTTGTTTGTCTTCACTGAGTCTGTAGAGGTATTTTCCCCTTGCTTCTATGCCATCGTTGTACGGGATGTTTGTATAGAGGGAAACTACGTTCACTAGTAAAGATTCCTGTCCTATTGCTTTGATTTTTTGTAAATGATTTAAGAAATCCATGCTGTATTGAATATACCCTCGTATGACGGTATATCTCTTTTACACACGAGCGGAGTCAGTTTATAATCTACATAGGTCAAAAGTTTTTCTGTTACTGTGCCATTTGTTGATATTATGGGACGGCTAGGGTGATTGTCTTTGTGTATCTTGGACTGGAGGCGTAGGCGACCTGGTTTGGGGTCTTTTGGAAGGATTGATTTAGCTAATTTATCGTCTATCACTCAAGCTTCCTTCATTTTTGAGCATAGATTTATAACATCTTTTCCAATTTGTCTTGACTTATCTTTCAGCAGAAGTCGGTACACCGATTTGTCATTCAATTGACGCATCCCCTCAGCGACATAGTCATTTCGGGATATAATGCAAATACCTCCTCCTTTATCGGCCGGAAATATAATGATATCTCGTGCTGCTCGTCTTTCGAGTTCTTTTAGTGCCATAATTTCATCTTTATTTAAATTTGGATAAGAATGTTTTTCAGGCGTCTTTTTGCCTATTTCTCGTCTGATAGTATTGGCGAAGTAACCCAGATCCGAGTTCCGGCCAGAATTTCATTGGGGTGTATTAAAATGGACGATTGCATGGTAAAGTGAATGAAAGCGTTCATGTATCTTCGACGTAAAAGAAGAATGCACTGTGAATCCTAATACGTTTAATCGAAACATGATGAATTGTAGTTTGCAAGTTATATTTTTCTTATAGAATATCCAAGGCGAAAAGAGCCGCATGTAACCGGAGCAAGATCCGCATGCGGCTCACGAGCCCCGGGTTGGCCACCCCTGGCCTAGTGTAATGAAAAGATAGACAGACAAGAGAGAGGAAATAACTTGCTCCCACATATGTCATAAAACAGTGTTGTCAAGAAATAAAACAGCAAAATCTTGGGTGAAACATCGGGTATCATAAGACAAATAAAATAAATAAAAGTAACAGACTTTTAGCAATTTGATCCATTCTAGGTACTAAAAATTTCTAATCGTTTAGTACATTAGCTGCGAAGAAAAGCGATTTTCTATCGACAAGAAAAATTGCAATAAAACTCTAGCTAAACAATCCACAAGTACAAACGATGGCTATGGAAATGGACTATTTTTCGAATATATTACTGAATTTTCTGCATCAGAAAAGCAAAATGCACATTTCGGAGAGAGAAGGCGAGCATTTTTGAAAGATACGCTGCCAGTCGTAAATTTTCTAGGCCCGTCCCAAAATACTAAAATTATGCTTCTACGTGCTTCGGTTCATGTCGCGTTGGCTTGGCTCAATTTTCTCACAGTGAGCGTGTCTTATTTTAAGTTCGCTATCGAATCTAGGGGAGGTGCGTAAGCGCATGGATAGCATTCCTTTCTACATCTGATTGTCGCGTTCAATTTGAAACTTATTAAAACTGACGTCCTCATTTAGATATAGAAGATGTAATAAACCATATCAGCTCGACGGTGCGGCGTGCAAAGCGTTAGGAATACGCTCGTCATCACAACTCTGATCACCCTGCGTGCGAGGTTCGAATCCCGTGGGGGATAATATGTGCGAGACGAATGCTGGACTCCACGCCGCCGTAGGGTGGTTCACGGAACCGCCGGTCGCTTTTGGCTTCCTCTACCATCAAGTCCACGCATCTGAAACAAATAACCGCATGGCTAACTAACGCATACCCGACATGGATCGGATGAGAGACTGTGGTTAGCAATATGATTAAGCCTTCGACTTTCCTCTTCCCGGGATAAATATGTAAATCCTATCTCATACCAAACTGAAATATTCTGGTTGGACTTATTTCAAGTTTAAAAGAATGGCAACAAAAAACAAACACACATGTAGCGACACATTTGCTTTATTTTTTATACATAAAGAAACAGCTTAATTCCTTTCCGATGAAAAAACATCAAAAACTAAGGATGAAAAAATTTAAGACAAATTAAAATGATAACAGCTTTTTGCAAAGAATGTAATGAAACAAAAAAGTACGACTTCAAACAAAAATCACCCAACGACACACAGTGGTGGAATGCGAACGAAAATAGATACACAATCACGTAGATACGCTATACGCGGGTACATACCAAAGTAATGGTGAACCGAATAGACGCCTTCATAATATGTATTACTGCTGAAAGCTTAATAAGTTTGCTATACCTTCCAAGTCATATTCGAAATACATACGCATCATAAGCTTTAATTCTCAATTCCAGCTTATCCTTTGTTCATAGTTTTTAATACAAAAAATTTTGCCAATTATACAATTAGTCTTATGATAACATTTCAGAAAACTTATACTTTCGAATTGCACAAACTGTGAATGATCAATACGTAACCTTTTATAGCATTTCGTGGTGATACTTGCCAGCAATATAACAAATAGCACAGCAACCGTGTGTTACTCTTTCGGATTCCAAGAAGTTATAGTTACCACAAAAAATAACGGGAAAATTACTAGCAACTCAAGCCACAATCTCATTCGGCAAAAATGAGAATGGCATTCTGATAGAAATTCCATAAAAATAAAAATTATATAAACTTAAATAACCCATATTGCTAATGAAATTAGCATGGATGAAACAATCAAATCTTTTTTGGAAAAATATGAATAAGTAAAAATAAAATGGCTCTTTTGCGATATTTTTATTATTTCAAGAAAAGGGATCAGTTGAGCAATAATCGTAATAATTAATAACATAATCAGAATATGAAAATAGACAAATTAAAACGAAATTCTAAGAAAATAAAACGAAAATCGTCGACATCACTAAAGCGAATCGGTATAGGATTACACAGGAAAGAAACTTTCAAATATATAATATCACAAAATTAAAAAAAAACATAATTTAAATTCCGAATTAAAATACTATTTTTTTTTTGAAAGAATCGTAAAAGCTGAAATAAGACAGAAAAAAGAAAAAGCTCACCAGCAATTTTATATTGAATTAAGGCAGGCTATCAACAAGCATGACCACGTCGATATTTAGCTCCAATTCACTCATGCCCGTGCGCGCCAAATGTCATACAAATGAAATTAAATAAATAATAGAAATGCAGGAAAAACATATCAAAGTCATGGATGAATAGAATATCAGAACGTTCCAAGATTGAAACGAAGACAAGGTGTCTGATTGGGGACCCAAAGTTGGGAATAAAATAAATAAATTTTAAATTAAAACAAAACTTCAAATTGGAACATAATATACATACCAAAACAGAAGGAGTTCAAACGAAATAACCCGGTTTTTCGGTCCAAAGTCTAAGCTCAAACTTGTTATGATAAGAAAGTTTTGAGGATAGCTGTCCACGGTTTACGTCCTACAGATTCAACATTTTGATTATGCACATTATTTATTTGTGTGACGTCATAAACACGATGACGTTATAAACATTTGTTTTTCAAAGTAACAGTGTGAACATATGCAAGTCTGGTGTAGTCAGGTTATCATAGATTGTGTGTTTCTCTTATAGATACAATGTCCTTATGTGGACTAAATAAATTCTCCCTGTTTTCAATTATAGTCTGTACGATTTCCTTTTGATATTGCGCGTCGTTCAAGTTATACCTGGAAGATTTATCCTGCGATTTTTCTAAAGGGCGTAACATAGTCGGTCCAAAAACGATACCCAAGTTTTGCGCATTCATTTGGTTGCCATCCTGATCGCACACCCTGAAATATAAAAAAAATGTTATCAGTACTGTAAAATATGCTGCAATGAAATCATATCAAGATTTGGTAAAGTTAATTAATGATAAATAAATATGCAGGAGTGCTACTGCTGAGGATGCAGTCTGCATCTTTGCCATTCATCCAAGCAAATGTAATGAACAAGTATTTTTGATTATAGGATTCACAGTGGACACAAGAAAAGAATGGTTTTAATCAAATAGCAAGATCTTAAAGTGCAGTTGCTCTCAATTCAATCTTAAATCCTGACTACTATATTGTCTAACAAAACTAATCGTTGAAACTGATTGTGATAAGTGAAAATTGATTCGTTGACTAAAATTCCTTTATCAACTACAGTGGTTCTGCTTTTAAATAGTAGAATTTTCGGAGCAAAAAAAGACATCGAAAAACTTATTCACCTCGCCAAATGTTGCACAATGTGTTTCAAGGTCTGTAAATGCGCTGGTGGCATGACGTCCATAGCTCTTCGGATTGCCTCCAACTGTCCGTCAGAATATGCCAATTCTGTCAAAACAAACAAAAATGTCGTTATGGTTTGGAATCAATGGAACAAATTGCGACGTAAATCACCCGCGAAACAAAAAGAAAAAATAGCTGTAATTATTTGAAAACACGAACAACATTCAATACACGGCGACGAATACAGTATAATCATACTCACTCGCCGCATTTATGAATCTTGAATACAAGTTATAAGGTATCAACGGTACTGGCAGTTCCCGAAGATACAACTTCAAACCTCCAGCTACGATGTTAATGTCTTCATATACACTCAGATTAACGTCATTTCCATCTGAAAAAATCAAATTGTAAGTTAAAAAGGTCGCCGTTTCAAGTAAACAAAAATGTAATGAATAAGGGGGAAAATGATTGAGGAACGAAAAAATGTTGTCGAACTTACATCGATCAAAAGCGAGTTTCAATTCTTGGACGTCGTCGTGAAACCCAGATACACGATAAATTCCTTCGGAATCCATACCTGGAAAGTTATAAATGAAAGTCATCAAATCTCAATGCTAAAATAAAGGTAACTAACTAATTTCCTATGATATGGAGCTTCATGAAAATGTTACCGGGCTGTTGCTTGTTTCAATATTCATTGTCGTTTTCAGTTCAGCACAATTAGAGTTATTTTGATTGCTGTTTTATACCAGTTAAATTTAGTCCATGTATGGCAAATATGATAGTAACACTAAAACCTCTAATCAACAAGTTTCGAGAAGCATCGACCAAAATATTCAACGCCAGAGTGCCAAACTCTTCCAACAGTACAGCAGATTATTTCGAATTCCAGCAATTTTCTCATTACAAAGCTGCCGAACTCACTCAAGAAAAATTTCAATTTTGCGACAATGGGTACATATATTATATTTTCACACATGTATTCATTTGAATAATCCATATTGTTTATATTGCAAAAAAAAGATTACAGATAATTTCTCCTTACCTCTTTTTTCAATCTCTTCAATACATTTATCAATCACAATCGGTATTTCTGTTCCGTGAAGTTTCACAAGCGCAGTCAGATCTATTCCGAACACAGTTTTTACATGTTTCAATGCGGGTTGGCAATCACCAGGCACTAACTTTGAACATTGTTTGTGCACGTTGAGACCACAATCTAGAAGAGATGAATTGTGATTCATTCAAATATTTTATTTTAGATTGCAAATAAACGATGTTATTCTGTGGTTCGTAATACGTAAATCCGATCAATTACCCACATTTTTTAATAAAATTCAAATGGTTTTAATCTGAGAGACAAAATACACACCACAACCACACGTGAAATTCCAAAGAAGTCACGACACTTGTAACAAATATCATACCATGCAAAAGCATTTCAAAGTAATACATTTCCTAAATAAAAACTTGGATTGCGCATAAGATGTGCTGCAACACCCAGACCCATATGAAACTGGATCGGACTATAACTAAAGCTTGGCTCAATGAAAAAGATTAGAGTTGAATATCTGGTCCCAATCGACCAGGGCAATCGCATTGCTATATTGTCTATAAATTTGACTTTTAGGGCCATCACACACAAGATGTGACTTGCCAATAAAATGCAATGTGTTCACCAAAGTCAGCCCTTCAATAAACACGTAAACAATTGTAAAATTACTGAAGCGGATTGTTTTAGTTTGATTGTTTCAATATTTAGCGGCATTATCTTTGCAACCTTCGAAATAGTTGCACGCATATTGGAATAGAAATAGGTATTCATGAAAATACGGTTAGTATTATAAGATATATGAAAACCACAACTACAAAGTGTAGTAGATATCACTCTTAAGTTCTAAGCTATAAAAAATAGGAGACCATCGGCAGCACGACAGAAGTCTGGTACTTTGTTTAAATGCGATTATAATTACTATTCTCAATTATAAATCAAAGGTATTTACCTCTACATTGCATGCCTTGTTGTATAATACCCCACATGAAGTTTCCACAGTATTCGCACCATTGCCATCCACGATATGTGTGAGACTAAAAAGAGTAAAACGGTGTAAGTTGGCTATATTCAATTACTATATTAATTGTAAATTGTCATTGACAACCAGAGAAACGTCACTGAAGAGTGAAGACATTTGCATTTGTAAAAATCTGTCGAACCAAAGTAAAATGATTGAAAAAATGAATAACATATACATCAGAGAATATGACGAGACGGTAATAGTTTTCTATTTTGTTGTACAATTCTAACCGTATCAAGTTGAGGCAGTCATAAATTTCAATGGGACGATGTCGCATATAGTTTCAGGAGTGTTTGTGCACATTAAACACAAATGTATTTCTTTAACGTTTCGTCTAGTCGATGTCAAATTTCCTCAGACAAGTATATTGCAAACCTGTATAGTTTGATTGACTCCATTTAATCGTACAGTTAAAAGTATAAATTCGAATGATCATTACAATTACAATTCGATATAAAATAGGGTCTATGTTGAGAGGATTTAAATTATGAACTCTTTATGAGACAAGAGTATATTTCTTTTAACTTTAAGTTGAGGCACGCCCATTAAATTGACGTCATAATGTCAACAATAGGATCCACCAATGACTGATTTTATTCCCGGAACAAGGCAATAACATTTCGATCAACAATGACAATGAGCTTTGTATATCGCACCTGGCTAACATCAAACGAAATGAAAGAAATATTTCACATTTCAAACCGTGTAATAAAAGTGTAAGCAGAGGAAGGGTAAATTTGAACAATTTTAAGGCTTTTGGTCTAGGTAAATGGAAGCGTCATTGTAAACATCGTAAAATCAAATAGGAATTCGAACAAAGAACAAATCATTCTTTCATTGTGTATTGAGAAAAAGCATGCTTAGAAATTATAATCCCGATTACAGTTTACATGGAAAACTACGCAAAAAGTATTTGCGCCGGATAGCTATACCATTGGATTAAAAATGGCGTTTGAGGTTGTGTAGCAATGTATATTCCAAAACTTTTTTATTCACGTGGACAGACGTAAGGTCTGTCAAAAAGTGAGAGATACAATATTGGTGGAGATTGTATAAGAGTTCTCATATGTAGTGAATAAAATGGAATTTACTTGAAAATAAAAATTTTATTCCAAAAATATTTTCAAGACAACAGGAATCAGATCAAATGAGGTCAAACAAAGTACTAACACTAAAAAAATCAAAAGGGCGTTGTTTCCAAATTTCCAAAAAAACTTTTGTTTTTAGTTCTTAGAACACAACCCAGATTGTGACGTGGCATTCAAAATTGATTAGCCTTTGTGAAGTCTAACTAAAATACATTGTCCTGCATTGTATTCCGGAAGAATAAAAATTCCAAGAGACGATTTCGTTGGCAAAGCTACTTATTATCAAAAATTCTAGGTTACTAATCACAGGGTGTACGTTTGAACAAGCATGAACGATAAGGAAATCAAGCGCGGGATAAGCAAGAAACGCCTTTGTTTAGAAATATATAGGATTAAAATCAAAATACAAAGGCCTGAATTGATAGATGTAGTCAGTAGTCTTTTCCCTGAAGCTATCACGATCTTTTAAATTAAGGTTCATTTAACAACCGGTGGAATGCAATTTCAAGCTGCGATGGATGATAATTACCGTTTTTCTCTCTCTATTTCATTTATAAAAAGTTGTTGTTTTTTGGGCAAAGTAAGGTCAAAATAGACTAAAGGATTTGAATTTGAATAAAAAAATTTAAACGGTGACGTCAAGTTCTAAATGAGTAAACTTATTTTAAGTTCACTTTTATTTTTGTACCAAGTTCCAAATAAGGAACTAACGTAAATCAGCGTTTCGTCGTACTGGTTGTCACAATACGAAATGATTGCGAAAAGATTGCAATGTTATTTGCTAACAGGAAATTTTAACATTTGACCTTCTGTCTTTTTGATACGAAGCTGTATCAAATCAAGAATATTTTATGGTTATACGAAGTTTCAAATTACAAATTGACCGGTGAATTGTTGATATCATTTACCTCAGAATTATTTACAATTTTTTAAAGAGCGCAAGGTGTACATACACCTCAGCATGACAATATAACAAGATCGCTTATCATATATACAATCATATCAAGACAAGTTCGACGCATTACGATCGCTCAACAGCCCATACTAAGTAAACCCACAACACAGTACAGCACTAAAAAAATAAAGTGCATTTATTTGATAATGCCACACTGTTTAAAATAGGTGTATGGCTTTGAAAGAGCTCGAGGCTTATGTATTTCTCACCTTAAAAACATGTTCTTTATCATAGTATGGAATGTTATCGTTTCTGGGAGAAGACAGTGATGGTTGATGGTGTATGTGTTGCGCTCTGGGTGACATCGGACAATCTGGGCTTTTCTTCCCCTTTCTCGGTGAAGGACCGCTATTGGATCTCTGAGCCAATTTCTAACAAAAAAGCACGATTTCATAAAATTTTCACAAAACAATTTGATAAACAAGAAACCAAATCTCAAATATATGATCACGAAAATGAAAGGACTAATATAGCCACTGCAATGTCAGAAAAATCCCGGCCAAATGAAAAAGAATTGTACCGAATAGCATTTGTATATGAGCCCATGAATTATAAAAAGCCATCAAAATTTTGGGTTAAATATGGGGCCCCGTAGGACTCAAGGAATATGAAAAAAAAAAAGTAATAAGCTTCCTAGCAAATTCTCACAATTTCAACTACTTTTTAAAATTGCAATCGATTTGTCTTTTAATTTTCGGAGAACGGGAATTTTTCCTGGACAAATACCACAATTCGACAAAACGATCCATAGGTACTTCGTGTCCAATTATTGATTTTTACAATATACGTTTCTAACCTTTCCTTCTTTAATAGTCGGCACGGAACCATTAGCCGCTGACGCTTTCTTATTCGGAGAGCCGGTTGTTGCACGGCGTTGTAGCGGCTTATGTGCTGACGATGGCAGCAGATGTCGTGGCACCCCTTCCTCACTCGAGGTTTCAGAGTGATGCCTCGGCTTAGCATTGAGACCCGCGTTCTGTCGTGTAGCAGTGTCGAAGTCGGAGCTTTTCCGTCTCGGTTTTGAAGCGTTCAATGATTCCAGCTGGTAATTTAAATTACATAGAATTTGAATTTTGTATTTGCGTTCTGAATGAAAGATGGAGAAAACCAGACGAACAGTCGTGGTTTGCCATATGAATAGGCCCATCTAGGCTTTCCTTCCCCCTGGGGAAATATGAAAATCTAATCCTAGCATGACTTAAGACATATAAAATGAGACCGTCAAGTCATAAGAAAGTTATGCCTGGCAAATAATAAATATACAACGCATCAAGCGATTACGGCGCATTACTGACATCATATAAGCAGTCAAACATTGTTTGTTTTATGAATCGTTATATATCCATGTCGTACATGTTGTAAGTATATAATACTCACACTACGACGAAGTGTATTTCTTGGATATAAACACTTCATTCATAAAAAAAAACAGCAAGATTGCTTTTTATGTTTTAAAAGCTACATCTCACGTCTAAACATGCTAACATTAACTATACTAGAAATAATTCGATGAAACAAGATGGTCATTACATAATATTGGTAAATTCGGGTCGATGGGGAGTATGATGGATAAAAAATAGTGGCGGCTATTGAGACGGTATGTTTGATTTTAAAAACAGTTAAAACACTACGGAAGAAAACACTTTTAAGAAACATACCGGTGGTACACATGCAGTCTTGTTGTTAACCACCATCCCCATCGGTGCTGACCCATTCTTATTACGATCCTCATATACGCGGGTCGTTCTTTCTTCTGCTAATCTCCGCTGCCACGAGGCTTCAGTAGTGATGACTGCGTTTTGGCGTGCCAGAGGATTTCTTCCATCTCGAGAACTCGACAAACTGTTGTCATCTGTAAATATTAAAATGGAATAAAATAATTTTGTCGTTTCTACTTCATATATCAAAGGAACAATCCTTTGCCATGGTAGGTAAAGGCTTCATCAAAATTGCTATAGTAGGCACTAAGAATATGAAGCGGAATTTATGGAAAAAGGGTTCGCAAAAATAGTATTCTCACAAATGACAATTAGTGGAATTAACCCTACAGCACACGAATGCAGTCAGAAATGGGAGTTTTTGGCTTAGATGATATTAAGTGAAATAACTCGAATGTTGGAAGAGTAATATACGCTGGTTGTGCTTAGTGTAATCCATATGCGCCAATAATCCAAAAATTCACGGTGACATAAATAATCGTGACACGTATTCAAAGAATGCAATAAACTTCATTCGGATCAAAAAACCGGATTAGTAGGATTAACGTTCATCGAATCTAAAAAGAAGTCTGTGGAGTGGTATGGACACGGTATAGGAACCTATCATTAAAGCCCACACGCCAAGACGAATAACCGAATCTATCGTAAAAAAGAAACCGCGGAACGCAGTTAGCACTTTTCTGCCAGACTGAAGGTCGGCTGCCATATGTCACAACAGTCGCAAAGCGGAGAAATAGAATATAATAGAAATGATAAGTAGGCGTTTTCGTTTTTTCTTTATATACGCTTCTAACGTATAAAACAATGTTGAAACAAGTATGAATCGAACACAAAACAACGAGAAGCAAAGACTATCAGCTTTGGCCTTTACCAAACCTTACAGGCAATGCTTGTCAGTAAATTGAAAAAAAAAACGGCCAGTTTATGAACAGACATTGGAACACGGGTAATTGAAGGCTTAATCGTCAGATCGAACACGAATATTGGATAACAAAATTATAATAAAGTGAAAAACATTGCTTATCGCTTTAAATATACGTGCTTTTTGCAATTCTAACATGAGAAACGTGAATCCACTCATAGTTTAACAACAAGCGCGACAAAAATTCACAGTTGTATTCCTAAGTACGAATATTAAAACAAAACAGACTGGCAATGTAATAAAAGATTTCACAGCAATTTTATGGCTTATGTAAATGTAAATATATTTTGATATTCAAGGTCCCTATAGTTTTCTAAGATTATGAAGCAGTACAAAATTGACATGATATAATTACAGCGTAATAGAAAAATAAAAAAGATAGTATAGAAAATTGGGCGCTCCAGAAGTGTGTGTACCGTACCAATATGGGGTAACTAATTTTGTTCGCCTACTTTACATCAAGTTGTGTAAAGGAACTGGAACTTATGGACAGGGGGTATATTCACTTGGCTAACACAGACAGTCCCCGAACTCGTAATAGAACTAAAATAAGGAACTATCGGAATAAAGTTATGGCCTAACACTGCGAGAGTACCGAAAATCAAACGTTACATAACTAAATAGCCAAATTTAATTTCATACAAATATGTTAAGTTAAAACAGTTTAATATTGATAATATACGCATTCAACCGAACAAAATTGTCAGCTGTTTGAACTAATTCAAAAATAAACATGACTAGTTTTGATTTTTCTTGTTTTTTAATTATCCCATGTCTTCCCGTATATGTTAAACCGATACAAACAGGTTCAAACTGATTACTGAAATGGTTTAATATACTTAAATTAATACGCAAACCATCACGCGTGGGTGAAACGAAATCCGTTCAAAATGAAACTTCGACGGGCGAAGGCGAGATAATCCGGTGTGGTCCTGGCCCGATATCAATAACTCAATCTTAATCATTTGACATGAGCCGGATAAACTAGGAAACGTGAAAGGTTAAAAAAAAGTCGTTAACTTTAACCTAGATGTGATAAACAAAGGGAAATCAAAACTTGAAATTTGAGGTCGACAAAAGGACAGTTGAACTGTTTCGATTCAGCATTGGGAAAATTAGTTTAGGACATTTCTTTATCCTCACTGAACTTTCAAAAAATAGGCTAATAATCTTATTTAAACCGATAGGTAACAATATGTTGATAACTGAACGTCGGATTTGACGCTAAATATTTTCACATATGCATATAGCAACGTCACGAGCACCCAAACAAAATCCGTGGTTCAGAATAAACTTCTTGTATTTTCATTGCAGCAAATCAAGAAAGAAATCAAATAGATTCGGCGTAAGATAGTGGGTATAATATACCATAAGAAACGTAAAGTTATACCTAATCCTGATGTATCAAAGTCACAGACATACGTCCAAAGGGATTTCAGAGATGGCGAGCATTCTGTGAAAATATGTGGTATGGGCAATGCTTAGTCTTAAGTACGGCACAGAAAAATCAAGACAAAAATCTTCGATATTGAACACGACTTTTGAGCACGAAAAATTGATCGTGCCAATAGAAAAGGCCTTTTACTCGATTTTTTGTTTTACAATTTTCGAATTCAGCTGAAGTTGGTTAGATGACAGACACTTCGCCTAAATTTATTTAGTGACGAAAATAAAAAGCATTTCGCAAGAAGTTTGTCGTCATCAAATCAGTATTTTTAACTCACCACAAACTTGACAGATTTTTAAAGGATTAGCACATCTTAGCATTGTGGGCGTGGTACTTACTAAACGTGTTCCATCAACAAGCAAAAAAATTCGGACAAGCATTTCTCAATCTTAATATACATTGTCTTATTATATAAGGTAAACCAAAAGTATATAAACATTCTATATCTCAAAAAAACTACGACGGTTACACTCCTTAAAAATAAAAATTATACAACGAACTTTGAAGGGCGGATCTGACCCGGGGCGTGCGAGCATAAGACTACGTGGTAAAAAACATATACAAGAGCTATAGTTAAAACACCGGATTGTGGCAAATCCAACATGCTGAAATTCAGTTTTTCGTCGCCGAGTTCGACTTATAATAAATAACAGGAGCCAAGTGCAGTACAGTTCATGTTTATGTTTTTTCGTTGTCGATGTTTTGTAATGTACGCGCATTAGATATTTTTGCAGAAATAAGCCCGTAGGCAAAATAATCGGTTTGTCAAAATCGAGATCTTGAGACAAGATAACCTGCTTATATCGTACTATATAATGTCATAATACATAATCTAGCAGGGCTAATTAAAAACACGTGTGAAGTTGAAATCGGCAAAAATTGCAGCTGAAGTGCAGACCAATCGATTTTTCAAATGTTATCACTCCGAGCCGAAACGATATCTGGTTTAGTGCCAGAAATCGAAGATTCTTGATTAAACTAGTTTTCTGTTAATGTGGTATAAAACAGAAAGAAAGTCTATTATATGCAAATTATGTAGAGGTGATAAGTGAAATGAAATTGCTCTGAAATTCCATAAAACACACGTTCATGTCCAATCCCCTACTACACAAGCGCAGATTATCCAAGGCCGTGTTTGAACAGTCACACAAAAAATAAAAATTTCAATCAAAAATCAAAATTTTATGCTTATAAATATGCGAATGAATGCGACATATCGATCTGTATCTGATTTAATTAAGCTTTAAATATGAAGCGAAAAATAATTCATAAGACGGAGACGTACTTGACTGAGTGCATTCCTGTGTTATTACGGTGGTCTTGTAAGCTTTCTCAATAATAAATTTATCTCAAATTATCATCTAGAATTAAGCACCGAGAATAGCTCGAATTGAACTTTATTACCAAGGTCACCACCCGCTCGCAAACGATTCGCTAAATTTTGTATGTATTTATATTTACTATAGGGATGGGCAGATTTAAAATAAGTATAAACTATAGTTTTGCGAGGTATATGATAACAGAAGCCCAACCTAGGATAAACTATCCGTGAAGTTCCATACAAAAAGTAATAACCACTATATAATAGTAGTTTGTTGCTTGTTCGGAGCCTTGTTGGGAGAACGGGGGATCGACTTTACTTTAATTTCAGTCCAACTATGATTGTTTCTAGCACTCTTATGTGAAAACTTTGGTCAAGCCGATTAGAAGAGAAACATGTGGTGGTATTTTGCTTAGATCTTCAAACTAGCGATGTGTTTTGCATTGATTTTGCGTCAGTCATATTGATAACATGTTTTGTTATTGAAGGGAAAGTTTTATATAGAATATTGGTTACCGCATTAAAAAATTTCCAGCGATGATTCGACCAGTAGTAAATCTAATTATTGCAAATGTGAATCATTAAGGAAAACAGCGCACTCACAACCCATGATGTCATATCGATGAGAATACCCACAATTTTTTTAGATAGTCGAGTTGAACTTTTTTATCGGAGCAGAGCTGTCGATTACGATGGCCTTTGCCAATGTGAATAGACAACGTCACTATTTCCACTAGTTTTTTTTTAACCCGCCATAACTTTAAGTGGAATTTTAACGTATTCCAAGTTCAAATTTGATTATTTTGCAACAATTTTACCTATGACATGTTGTTTTGTATTGACAGATTATATGTCACCCTTCGCTTATGACTATGACCTTGTGTCAAAACAATGCTAACACTTTGCTTTGGAAAATTACGTCAAAGTTACAAAAATTTTGTTGTAACTACAAACGAATCATCCAATAGGAAATACAAGAATATGAATTATGTAGATACGTTTCAGTTATATGATAATGGAATGCAAAAAGTCCAAAAGTCAGAATTTTTTTTGTAGCTTTATTTTAAGAGTTTAGTAATATGAGAATAAGAAAAACACATCAGTGCACATAGAGGACAGGCAGGTACAATTGGTAAATACAAGATAGCGTCACCGATAACAATGATGATAGAATAGATATCCAAAAATTTGAAAAATTCAAATTTTTTGTGGTATTTTTGTACGTGAGTAAAAACCAATTTTTATGAGCAAGGATTAAATATACCTTCACATACCAAAAAGAAAAGTTATAAAAAGCACACAATCCAACTTTCGATCTTACCTAATTCCTAAATTTTAGGTACAGAACTGAAATTACTTTTTGGTTGACAAAATTAGAAATTCGTACGATTGGTTTGAACACCATCCATGAAAAATTAGAATGACAAATACATTTTTTAGTACCTGAACTACAGCTTCGCTGACTTGTGCTGTGTGGCGATGGAGAACTCTCTCTATCCTCTCCTGTCCATTCTTCAGACGACAAACGGCTTATTGAATCAGGAGACTGCGGGAAAATAAAGTAAATATCCAATTCATTTTACTCATAGAAAATAGCGAAGGAACTTTAACATAACAGGTATAACAAAAACAAAGATATGGATGCTCATGCTTGGCCCGGAGAAAATTAAGTACATAAAAAGGATTTTATGCGAAAAATTCCCGCGGGTGAACAAATTTTGTGATTTAATTACATTAAATAAGAACAGAGTTTTTTTTGAGCAACCAAATTGATAAATTTGTAACGTAAATACCTTATAAAACGTCTGCTGTTGCTGCTGTTGTGAACTTCCCATCGATATGCTACTCAAACTTGAATCACATGATCCACCACTTGCGGCGCTAAAATACATTTTACTAAAAGTTAATTTTTTCACATAATAAAGTTTACCAAGTATTATTAATCACCATCCTTCAAATTGTCTTGTCACAAACCGCGCTTAGATCGCAATACGGGCGGTCTCGGAGGGAACGAATACTGCGCAATTATATGCATAAAAGTTCAATTTTAGCTCATTAAACGGTCATATGATACGCCAAGATGTTTCCTAAAACCGATTGCCAAAATATTACACTAAAGCAAATTATCTCACGTTTAAGATAATTTTGTTCGAAGCGTAACACAGAAAGGAATCGAGAAGTGCAATGACTGTCTGTGCAAGTTAGCAATATGGACGAGTTGAATCGATGGCTATTGGGCTGCCGCATTGACAGGGTGATTTGCAAGGCATCTACACACGATCAAGTGCAATTTTCTAGTAGAGACTTGATGCAACCGAGCCTACGCGTTCAGTACAAGCACGTACGTTTGTGGGCCATTCCAAGTAAATGTCGAATTTCATCAATTTTTTAAAAAGTGCATGAAAGGAATAATTTTGTAGTTTCTATATCAAAGAATTTGATTGGACTGCATTCATTTCATGGAAAAAGTTTAAATTTCACCCAGGTTTTTGATGGTTTACACAAAATGGCCTGAAATGTAGAAATTTTGATACAATTGGCATTTTTTGTGATGACTCGTAACAAAAAGTGTTTGGTTGTTTGGTACAGTTATTTCATTTCAAAAAGATGCACTGGTCTCAAGTTAATAAAGATTAGGTGTTTGCAGTGGTATAGGACATGTCTTTACCTATTTATTGTTAGAATTCTATGAGATGATGAGCCGCTGTTCCGAAGTGGAAAAATGTCCAATAGTGTCACGTCCAATAGAGTCACGTACAATGTGCACATTATCGTCATAGATCTACAGTGTTACATTGGGTAACTTGGGTGGCACATAAGAGAGTCTTCCAGTTACTGCACCAGAAAATATTAAGGGCTCTCGCGGTACCAGCGCAACAATTTACAACACAACACAATGAAACGTTAATGCGTGGTGGATTTGCTGTCCGGTAGAGTCACGCTATATTTTATATTCACTAATTAAGTCTTGTGTTTAAAACTTTTGTGCAGTTTCGTTGAAGCCCCATAAAGCAACTGATTGGACAATAATACAAAACATGTAGCTAGCAATGTAAAACATATTGCATCTAACAACATGCAAAATTTCTGGAATTGTTCTGTAGAGTCACTTGGAATAGCCCTTGTATTTGGTAGTGCAGGTGAATGTAAATTCTTTACAATCCATTTCCAGCTGAGATAGGATAGCTATCCGGGATTGCTGTTTGTCCGATGTCAGACAACATAATTGACGAGATCAAAACTGCCATCATGAAGGTAATTAGTGGCGACAAATGACAAACAGATCGGTGTAAATCTGTCGCCGAAATGCAAACAGAAGCAGAGCGTTTAATGTTCGATCAGTTTACTCGCTGAATTGGTAGAATGTATGCAATAAAGGATTCATTAATAGTGATAAACGTTGAACGTGAGCAATGCAATAACCTTTTATACAAAAGTCAACGCGATAGGTCGTTAAAATTGGTGAATTTATGAATACAATCATGCTTACCGTAGTTCAGAAATTAAATTTTGCTCTGTCGTTAAATATTGTTCCCGGATGTTTCTAGATGCTTGCTGTTGCCGATAAGTAGCACTATCTTGAACTCCGCTGTTCAAAACGCTGGAACAAAAATAAAATAATTTTTTTTAAATATTCAGTCTAAATGTGACAAAACGTTTAGGTACAAGTTTAAACGAGAAAAATAACCTACTTCAGTGGCTCAGTGCTATAAAAAAAACTTTGAAACTTGTTAGTTTAAAGGCGTCGTTTTAATAATTATTTGCATATAGCATTAAGGAATTTCAGAAATGATTCACTGCAATTTTATGTTATGAGATTTATGAGATTTTCAACATTGCCGTTTAGTGGGTGCAACAATTTGAAAAACCAAGGTGTAATTTTGCCAGGCAAAAAACGCTAAGGCTTAGTTTCAACCTCTTCAAATATTATTTACGCAATGCCATAACTGACACATACTACAACATCATTTCCGTTAAGTTTGGGACAGTTTCAAACATTCTTGTGTCAAGTTACAAGTATTCACCTTGCCGATCTCCTTGGAGAATTTTGATGATTCTGAAACAATTCGACCGGTTCAGACCGTTGACGACAGTGAATATCTCTTGGGGTTTGTTTTGGTGGCGCCTTTCCGCCACTATGTGGCCTGACAATAGGCATCATGCCAGCAGTGGTGTGGCTTCTCGTCAACCTTACTGGCGTCTTGTGATGTCCTCGCAAAGTGCTGACCTCGTCTTGCGCTTCTTTTCTTATATCGTCGTCAGAGGCTGTAAAAGTTAAATATGAGGAGTAAAACACAAATAGAGTGGAAAGGGTCGTTGGGGAAAGGGTCGTAATGTTGAGTTTTGGGAATAAAATACACGCCATCGAATTGAACAAACAGAAAATTAAATCTACGTCCTTGCTCAATAAGATGAAGAAAAATCAATGGATGGAATTACACTTATCGCCTTTACATAATAGGCATGAAATAGACCATGAAATACAGCATTAGAATATACAACAAGTGGTTCGCCAGAGAAACCAAACTGTTTAAAAAATAAAACAATTTTAAACAAGAATCTTCGATTTCTGCCACTAAACCAGATATCGTTTCGGGTCGGAGGGCGATAACATTTAAGAAATCGATTGGTCGCGCGCTTCAGTTGCAAAACCATTGAAATCACGCCAGAACTTTACATGGAATGTGAATAACATGCGGTCTGTAATGGCCATATTTCACACTAGTTCAATTTTAAAGTACCAATTTAAAATCAGCGATAAATTGTAAAATGGTTTATGTAAACAAGAGTCGATGTTGACTTTATATCATCTCAGCGTTAGTGTCAAACCGGAAAGATAATCCAATTACTCGGTCCGTGTTACGTCAAGTTCACTAACGGTCGCTTGTCGTTTTGCGCGGTCTCGCAATAAATTTTATAAACAGTAAATCTAAGCCAATTACTTTTTAGTTATACACAGATGAAATTGTCGAAAAGGTAAGAAAATAGAGTTTTGATTGGTATGTAAGTAAAAAAGCTATGCATCTACGATTACTACTGCACTATTTGGGGTTTCTTAGGGTGGTAATAGGTATGGTTTTCAGAATATAGCTTGGAGACCCAGATTTCTTCTTATTTGTACTAAGAATTCATTATTCAATCGTTTGAAAAATTCTATCGAAACCCAGTTTATAATCCCGTTTCTATTTTTGTTTTTAGTTAACTATTCTTGCATTAGGCAGTTTGTTAGTTGATTGACTCATTCCTAACCCTCCTTTTCTTGTTTGATAAATACAGTAGTTTTCATATCTGACAATGTTTTCAAAACACATGTAGTAAAAGTCTGGATAAAACAGAATTTCAATAACTATTATAAAAACTAACACTCAGACCTCGTTTTCTCATACTCAAAGGACAAAGCGAATAATAAGACACGACAAAATTGTAGGGGCAATACAACACACTTTAGTTTGTGACTAGGTTGGGCAAGGCAAGGTATGCTAAAATAAAATGCATGTCCTACTAATAGTATCAGTAATGTCATGAAATGTAAGAGACCACCTTCTTCTAATCTTTTTTGGAACATTTTCAATTGATGAAACGTTTTGGCCGGAATCGCATCACTTCCGGAAGACGAATCGAACCCCTGATGCCGGGGACTGCTTCTAGCACGACTTGGGCTGTGATTCAGTTGTGATCTTGATTGTGGCGTGGCAGTGCTTAAATACATCTGATTGTCGTTTGCGTCCAGTACGATTTTTTCTTCCGACCCTGAACAGAATTACAAAGTGCAAATTCATATTTAATACTAAAACTAAATTTGCGCCTTTTTCAAAGTAAAATTGCATAAGATTGTTAAACAAGTAAGACTTCTTATGTGAAGTTCACACACTTGAATTTCCCAGTTTCGCATCAAGTGTGAGGCCTCATTTAAGAAGCATGTGTATCGGCTCTGAAATCCAACCCGATTTCTATACTAACAGACCATAGAAATGGACGATTAGGAGCGCATATTCACTTAACCGACTATTCCTGACTGTCAGTGAGGTATATTAATAAGAAATAAATCTTCATTACAACCCTACATTACTGTAACTGCATGATAATCTTGAAAAATTGCGACTGACCTGCGCTATTTAGTCTACCGTTTGCTGATAAATTAACATGCGCTGGAACATTTGACATATTAGCGATACATCTGCCGCCTTGGCTTCCTCCAAGTTGCCTCACGTGAGCTACATTCGTATGTGTGTGTTGAGCTGGCATAGAACATTGATAGGAGATGGAAGACAGCGTTAGCTGAGTGTCTGAATTGTTACGAATCATTGGTGATCGTTGCGGAGAAGCGTTTGGTACCGATTGGTGAAATGGCCTATTCTGCAGATGCATCGGAACGTTTGGTTTGCTAGGATATCGTTTGCGCCCTTCACTGTCCGTGTTTGATCCACTGCTGTTGCTCGGTGTTCGACTGTGATCGTAAGTCGCCATAGGAGAAGGCTGCCTCACATGCATTGGAGATCCTTGCCCTAATTGATTATAGGCTTCGTAATGATGCTGTTGAACAGTTTCTTCTGTGGCGACCTTTTTAGCTCTAGGACGTTTTCGTTCGTCGGACGAAGTAGGGGTGAGAGACTTTTTCGTTCCTCCGTTTGATTCAACTCGAAGTCCACCGTTTTGAAACGACTCTGAATTGAACGTCTGAGCTCGACTGCACATCAAATTGTGAATCATACTGTTGCTACTGCTACCAACTGCAAAATAGAGGATGGTCAAGTTAAACTCGTTAGTTAAAAATTTCGTCTAAAATTAGAATTCTACAAAAACATACCGTGAGTTGGATTAGAGTACGATGAGTCTTGAAAGTACGGTGATTCTTCTGTGATAATACGAGCGGCAGTCATTTGGTTTTCTAGTGCCGCTGTACTCGCTTGACTATATTGGTCAATCGCGGCTTGGTTTTGGTAGTGTGTGTAAGGTAATGCGGCTGATTCCGTGTTCCTTCCATTGTGAGCGTGCCGCGGCGAATTCCGAATTGAAGGAACACGACGAGGACTCATTCTTCTATCGTTTGTAACCGGTGGAACAAGTTGCCCATAGTTTGGTAGGTGCTGTGTCAGTAGCTGTCTGGCTCTGTGAGAGGATAGCATTTGAATGTACAAAGCGAATTAATTTCATATATTTCAAGGAATAAAACGTATTAGATAGCGCGACTTAAGAAATCAAATACAGAACATGAGTCTTATTGTCTCTGAGGCTTATTTTCAATCAAAAAATATGGTATATTTAACGACTTTTATATGACTGAATGGAGAGAATCAAATCAATACCTGCTCAAGCTGGAATACACCGATCTATCTTTCGCCATATTCTGAATATAATCGTGAGCTTTTTCTTCAACGTACATTGTGATAAGACCATCCTCAACAAGGTCGTAAATACTGAAAAATCGACAGTTCCATATAACAGATGTCAAAAGTACACATCAGGGGGATCATAAAGTTTCGTTGAGTAAATTTTCACTTGGATATATAAATTTGATTGGTTTTGAATAACATGGTTACTGTTTTATATCTTTTATTAGATGATTTGAGAACTTGATAATATTTTTACTGCACTTAGGAAATGAGTTTCATGGGCGTTATAACGAAACCAAATGAAAGCAGTAAAAATTGTGTTTCAATACAGTGAATACTTAAGATATCAAATATTGAAAGTGTTTTACTAAGTAGCATGTAGTCGCTAAGAGACCACAATAGGACCTACAACATAATTAATTTTGTGTTTTACACATTGAGCCCATACTATTGTTTTCAATTATTTCATTGATTATACTACAGCGGGTGGTGTAAGGTTGGATCCAACTTTATTTTCATTGCGTCGATAGCTTTTAAAAAAACTACTTAGTTTATAATAATACATTGTCTGGTGCTCCATAAAACTTCCAAATCAAGTAATCCTCTTAAAATTCACAATCGATAACTTTGGAAATATTTACACCGCCTTCACAAAATGAACCCCCAATCCATGATTTCACGACCACAGTGTCAACTTTCTCCGCTTCAATTAGAACAAATTTAACTCTCTTATCTACCAGACAAAATAATGTGTCAGAAAATATAAATAATCGCACAAAAACGACAAACATTCCGAGGCGCATAAAGCCTTACGCAATGAACTAAAAATACGCGTAATACTTCGAAATGTTGAAAATGCATATAAGGTTCGTCAAAATGCATATTATCTAACTAGCACACGGTTGGCATTTATCGACATTGAGTGGTTTTATCAAATATGAAGAGGCATGATACTTCTATGGCTTATAACCGACCATTCAAGTATTTCGTAAACATCTGCCGAGTCAGTCGAACACCAATAATTTCATATTAATTGTATTTACATGACTAACAGACTAATACACAATGAAGCTTTGTTCAAAATATGCGAAAATAAAATCTGACTCACTTATCAAATCTTTTGTCACCAACAAAATGCTGTCCGTCTTCCCAATATAGCTTGAAGTTCTTCACAGCCCCTAGAATCCTGGAAATGACATAATAAGATTCGATGTTATGTCTGTGTGAGCTATCGTACGGTACTTTGGTAATCTAAATAAATAGTGCGTGACTTCGGGCGAACCGTGAAGTCCTAAAGGATTCACGGGTGAGTGTGAAAACCCGCCGATACCCATTGACAGTAATCTATTACTAAATTAATTCGAGGTCAGTTCTTTTTTTCCTCGTCATATTAATATCATGCTTGACCGAAAGCCACTGTCAGGATGTAAATAAGAGGCAGTTACACAAAAGCGAAGAAAGGTCTACTAGCCATTTAAAAATAACATAAATATTTCTAAAAATAGGACAATTATGTCCAATCTATAAATGGGATTTAAAAGATTTCTTATTTTTTAAGATAATTTTCTCAAAGCAAGGTCACACGCACTTACTCAGAATTAAATAGACCCATTTCTAAGCGAAAACGACAAACTGAAAATGTTTAGAACCGATTATGGTGGTGCATTACGATCCGGTAAATACCGGTTGACGCGAGACTTGAGTTCAAGTCAATAAGATCAGGAAAACAGCTTTAGGGTAGTGAGATCCACATGACCAATGTTCAAAAAAAGAAGATTTCTGATATAGTCTCAGTTTGATATAAAGGTGTTAAAGGTGCTAACCTATGGTTAGCTTCAACTATAAAAGGTATGCCAATGAGTTATTTCGGTTTTTATATCCTTTTAATTGTCCACCCTGTTCAAATTTTTCAATCGATGAAGACGGCGAAAAATTCCATTACGTAAAATAGATTTCAATAAGTTCACACTATGTTTTAGTGCGAAATGACGCTGATAAACTAGATTATGAAACGTAAACGGTAACGGTATGTCAGTGTTAACGCCCACCCAATATATAATTTATAAATTATGTTAAAAGAATTACGCCTCCGGTAAAAAATATGAATGTCATTATTTTCGAAAATAGCCAAAATTATCATGAATCAAATATGCGTCGTGATACGAAAATCCCAGATTAAAAAATCTTGACGTATGTGTTCGTCATAAATGGGGTGATTTATATCGAAACTTGGTCGTGGTACACGTTGGCTGTCACAACACTGGCATCCCTCTTTCCCTTACCAAGAACATCGCGATATACATAAGGACAGTAAAGATATTATGTGAGTGGTTTGGTGGATATGAAAATACAGAAAGAACCTTGTCGGAATATCACGGATAAACCTCAAACCGGAACTCTGGATCGGGCAGCCTAGACGTATTTTAATATTTCAACATGGAATAATTTTAGTGGCTCAAATTTGCTTCTGAAATATTGTATAATAATTTGTCATTTGAGTCTCCAATAGAATCATATGCTTATAATAGGAGTTTAAAATAAGATGAGCGAGATCTTTCTTTTTTATCATCGTTGACTATACTAAAATGGGATAGACGGACCCCGGGGAAAACGAAGTTAACGTAAATTCGTGTACAACGGTGTCAAGAATGAGCCCACGAGTCGTTCTTGACGCACTCTCAATAGACGATCCCAGGCGACGTAACCTGGTAAGTTGATAGCAAGATAAAAGATATACATTTATCAGAGGCCGTTTTCGATAACAGACATTTATAAAGTCAATATGTGTATATTATAGTTGACCGTGACCATATTTTATGGCCCATACATAGACAGTCGCTGACAAGTCACATTGGACATTATTCAATGCGCAACAAAGTTTTGAATTCTGACAAACTTTGACAGGATAAGCAGCGACATTGAGAATGGGAATTTTCTTTTTGATACATTAGAAAGCATTCGCGTGTTTTGGCGAGATATTCCCAGGAGTCACACGCATTCTATTAAAAAAATTGGAGCTGTTTCTTCAATATCCATTATGGTTCGTAGCTTATATTATTATAATAGCGTAAAATTTATAGACCACCAAAATTGAATGAAAATGAAATCGCAAATTGCCCGCCTCATCGAGAATTCGCCGAAATAGGTCATCCGTTGCAGACTAATATGCCACATTAAACCCTTCATCGAGGAAAGTGCCGGTTGCACGTTATTTCGTTATGGGTTACTGACTATTAAAAATCGGATCTAGAAGTTCGCTTCCTGTAGTAGCATACCAACGAAGTTATTATCATATTTTACTGTAAAAAATGAAAATCGAATCTACTTGTATTTTGATCACTACAATGTGCCGAAGGAAATAACGCTTCTCGACACCGCATGATTTGCGTACGATTAACCAAATTACTTATAAATATAAGTATGGATTTGTTGTGTTTCGACAGTACACTTGACCATTGCTCTTGTTGTTGTTGAAAATTAAGGATCGGAAGGCGTGACCGGCAGCCGATACGGTTATATTTAATCTCTCTTTGAAGTTTTACACTTGACATGGCTTTCGTCGTGCCATGCGACCCGAAACATACCGTATTCTATAGAACAAAAGAATCTGTGGCGACTGTGGTTAAATATATCAAGGTCTATTCCACAATCGGCGACGTCCAAATAAACAAAGCATTTGTCTTTCAATGCTGGGGAACGTCTATCATTGCAGAGCGTTTTGATCGAATAAAAACAACTCCAGCAAGCTCACCTTCTTTGGGGTTTCATTTGGGCGAAGTTCGCAATGGAGCATTTTGGGATCCGATAAAAATGAGTAAATAAGCAGCTAAAGCGAATCAAAACACAGTCTGTATATGGGGCTTTATTTTAATGAAAGTGCAAATAATTCGAATGTTCAAATATCTGAATCTACAGTTAAATAAATGTCCTTGTAGTATAATAGGTAACAGTCAAATCAAGACTATGCACAGTGAACATGCAGAACCTGTAATCTCAAAGAGAATAGTGATTTTTAATAGTACAAGCACGCCCTTGTGACATGTACCTATATAGTATGCTTTAAAATAGAACTATACTTGTAATACAATGTATGAATTCAGCTTCAGCTATCTTGAAATTGAAATTACCAAGCACGTCTGTCACGTCACACTCGCCTGCGCCAAACAGGCGAAACACAACTTCATTTTGAGTTTTATGACATCAAATGAAATTGCATATTCAATACCTTTCATGATGCATCGGGATGTAATATATGAGCTATAACTACAACCTGCACGCATGAAATCAAATGAACAGACCTGCTGTTGTTGCATGGTCGCTAAAACTACCGCATGTTAAGTAAACAACCCCAAAACAGCGACGAGCTGTAAAAATACTGCACTCGCAGCCGCACGGTGTAACAACAAGTCTATAATCCTTCAAAGGCCGAGCTGAACACAACAAATGTTGTAATAAAGTTGCAGAAAACTCAATGGCATTTTATTACTAATCAAATGTTACCTACCAAAACATGAGCAATAAAATACGCTCTTGTAGTTGTAATTCATCTTTTGCTAATTTTAGTTGGCTGAATTGTAATTAAACTTACTTGAAAATTCAAAATAACGGGTGCAAATTTTTTAACGTTATATGCAAAAACTATGAAGCAGAGTAGCATAGGTATTTCGAAATATTTTAAATGCTGCTATCTGCTGTTATATTATTAACAGATAGTAATATATATATATAATGTGTGTGGCCGACACGGGCTTATCCAAAATATCCTGGGCATTGATCTAGAATTTGGGGAACGTATAATTTGATGATGTACAAGCAACAAAAGCGCATTATGTATAAAAGGTCAAACTCTTTATGGTCAAATTTTCCACAAAAATCCGCTCAAATATGTTGCCATTTGAACCAAAATGATACGTTTTTCGAAGCAATTATATATATTTTTTGTAATCTAGGACATAATCTAGCATAATTTCTGTATGATACCTAAAGTTCTTGTAGTGGGGTACTATAAATTCAACAATATATAGTTAAGCAAATTCTAAATTTATCTGTGACATACTGCAATCCAGATACTATCTAGAACAGGTAGTGTCATAAAGCGTGTGGCGCTTTGTTTATGGTACACTAAGTTTTTTCGTGTGTCAGATGTTGGCGTTTCAACAATTTCCAAGTCACGCTCCGGACGATTATATCGCGCTATTTGAAGTATCGCCTCATTACGTTTACGTTATCGATAGTTTGAATTTTGAAATGCACTTGACTTTCAGAAGTAATTAGTGATGGCGCATTTCTGTCATCTAAAGTACTCATTTTGTCAGGTTCAAATTAATTATCTGAAATGCTAAAACAATAAAACACGAGAGCGGTGCACAAATATATGGACACGAAATAAACATTCAATAGGGTACAGTAGTCTACCGGTACCTAACCACCAACAACAACTTACGCGAAAGAGGAACCGCCATAAGAAGCGCAATTTTTTAATTTGATGACGTCATTGCATACAAAAACGAACCCGGTAAAGGCAACCGAAATTTTTGAAATGAATAAGTAATAGCCACCTAGCGAAAATACAATGTTTAACCATAGAAAATTTCATCTGGCCAGTAGTTAATGACAACAACAAGAAGAAGAAAATACTAATAACATGATCAACAACAACATAATACCAAAACGATCCATATGTACACTTACTTAGTGTCCGATTATTGTAAGTTAATTTGGATTTTTCATTATATCTGTTATCTTAACTTATATGGAAAAACTCGTTTAGGCAATTCACACAACTATCTGAGAAGATAAACAGATTATAGAATAGGAAACGTACAATCGAAGTACTAGGATCACTAATAATCAAGAAAGACAAAATGTAGCGGAAACGAACCTGTAATTCAGCAAGTGTGCGTACGGTTTAATTATAACATCTGAACACGCCCGCGTTTGATAAATAGCTATACCGAAGACTTCGACGGTTTGTATATTTTTACCAGACAGACAGGATGTTGACACAAGAACTTATGAGAAGTATCGAATGCCCGACTTCACAGCATCCAGTGTTTTATAAACATAATCATAAATGTAACGAAAGCTTAGACGCTAACCGCTCTTGTAGGATGAAATATAATACAGAAATTAAATTTATAATACACCATGAAACACAAATTGCCAATTGGACTGAATGCAAATCGG